TGCGAGTCATTGTTGATGTTCAAAATGTACGTCGCCAGCTTCAAGCATAGGATCTCGAAGGCGATCACTGCAATGGCGGTGGTGGTGATCGAGCCGAGAAGCTCTGGGTGGAAATCGCCCCGGAATCCAGCCAATAACACCGACAGCAGAATATATGTGACCAGGGCCATGACGGGAATATACATGTCCGGCGAGTTCAGGTCATCGCGGGGAGGCAGGAACATGGACGAATATTGTTGCTGCAAGATTTGACCACTTGCTCCAGGGGTCGGGGCCATTCGAGCTTGCTGTCGAGACCATGGTTTGTGTCGCCAGGGGAAGAGGACAAGGACCAGCTTCTTCAGAACGTAGGAGTTGGAGACGTTAAAGTAGTGCTTGAGAGCGGGTATAGAGACGTATCGATTGAACTGAAGATCAGTTTTAGGTTAGCTATTAGTGAAAATATAGATCCGTCAATAGTGCATACGTTGCTTTCCATATATTCCTGCCCAGCCGCCATTGCACTTTTGCCGACCTGGAACCCCATCTGCGCTGTGGGTTCGTTCATGAACCCACCGAATCCAGGAGCTCCAGGGGCATAGCTTCCACTACCACCCTGAACGGGCGACGGTTGGTATGGGTTACCACCATATCCAGCGCTTGGTGGTTGCTGGGGAGCTGGCGGTGGAGGTGAGCGCATCATAGGGACGGTCGAGACATGTTGCGGGACGGGGTGGTGAAGGGGCGGCGATTGCGCGGGCGGCGGAGCGAAAGAGCCCCGATACATGATGCACCTAAATAGAGAAAGGAAGATAGAAGGATATGGAACGTGAAATTTCGGGGGCGAACGTCGTCGGGATCGCCTGACGGTGGTTTAGGGAAGAAGCGAGGTTGATAGCGGAGGAAAGTGTTTATACGTGGCTGAAGATCCAATCCGCTTCCGAGCTCCCCAACTTCGCCCCGTACCGCCACCAACAAGTCACACCGGCCTTTTTCCTCCTCCCACACTAATTATCTGCTTCTTACATTCGACGATCAATTGCTGGAGATACTCAGAATGTTAGAGGCTTTTGAAATTTTGACGACTTCGGGCGTGGTGCTCTGGTCTAAGGCATACGCTCCAGTGGGCGCACATGTCATCAACAGCCTGATCAACGATGTCTTTATCGAGGAGAAGGTCGTGCCGCAGAATACGACAGCTGGTGGAGTCTCACCGGCATACAAGAAGGAGAAATACACACTGAAATGGAAGAGGGTCAAGGAATTCGATTTGATCTTCGTGGTATGTCTGTCGCATGTGCATGCGCCTCACTGTTTCGACTAACTCTTGAGTCTATGCAGGCCGTCTACCAATCGCTACTCCACCTTGGATGGATTGACAAACTTCTTGAGAACATTTCAACAATCTTCATCGATCTCTACAAGGACCAGGTGAAAGGAGACCGCGCGAGAATCCAGACCTACCGGTTCGATCAATACTTTGAACAGCAAGTTCGGGAGCTTGAAGACAATACCGGTGGCTTTGTAGAGGAACATGTGTCAGAGACGGGCGAAAAGAAAGACCCGCTTGTTTCGTCGGACAATGGCGGCCCACCACCGCCACCAGTGCCTGGCCTGGTGAAAGGTATGGAATGACCACACCCCCGGTTCCAAGCGCATATTGACCATCCCAAAGCGCAGCCTAGAGCTGCGCTAGCCGGGGCAACCTCTGATGAGAGTACGCCACCAGCTACACCAGAAATTTCTAGATCTTCGACCCCCCAGGGTCATCTTCTTACAGCGAAAGCCGGACCTGGAGGTCGTGGTTCCCGTCGTGCTCGCAAGGCTGCCAATTCGAGCGCTAACGCATCGTCCGGTGATGAAGCTCGGAAGGGAAAGCCTGCCAAGACACCCGTGAAGAAAATGCGCAGGTGGGATGCCAGTGGGATGGCAGATGAGGATGACGGAGAGATCCTCGACTATTCTGCCCCTGCAGAGGAAGGGGAATCTGCTGCTCCAGCGGTGGAGGCTGTCTCGGAGGAGGATTGGGGTCGCCGAACTGGCAAGGGCCAATTCGTGCTGAAGGAGTTGGGCGAGGAAGTTCAATCCATCTTGGACCAAGCTGACGCGGAAAAGTCCAAGGGCACTGCTTCGTCCGGTGTCGTTGGCTCCGGATTCAACGCAATTGGTGGCTTCTTCCGTAACATTGTTGGCGGAAAGGTTCTGACAGAATCTGATCTCGAGAAGCCCCTCAAGGCGATGGAAGAACACCTTCTAAAGAAGAACGTCGCCCGTGAAGCTGCTGTCCGACTCTGCGAGGGAGTTAAGCGTGAGATGATTGGCAAAAAGACTGGCAACTTCCAGAGTACTGATGCCGCCCTGCATGTGGCAATGGAATCCTCGCTGCGGAAGATCCTAACACCGACTTCTTCTTTGGATTTGCTACGCGAGATCAACGCCGTTGTCGCTCCCACCACTAAGCAGCAAGCGCCTCGCCCATACGTCATGTCTATCGTTGGTGTCAACGGTGTTGGAAAGTCGACCAACCTGAGCAAGATCTGCTACTTCTTACTCCAAAATAAGTACCGTGTTCTTATTGCAGCATGCGATACTTTCCGTTCCGGTGCCGTGGAGCAGCTCCGCGTGCACGCTGACCGTTTGAAGGAACTGAGCGTCCGCGAGAATGCAGGCGACGTGGAGATCTACCAGAAGGGCTACGGCAAGGACGCTGCCAACGTTGCCAAGGATGCAGTTGAATATGCAGCGGCCAATAAGTTTGATGTTGTCCTGATCGACACTGCCGGCCGTCGGCATAACGACCAGCGACTGATGTCCTCGCTTGAGAAGTTCGCCAAGTTTGCTAACCCAGACAAGATTTTCATGGTTGGTGAGGCTCTAGTCGGCACGGACAGTGTCATGCAGGCCCGCAACTTCAACCAGGCATTTGGCACCGGTAGGAACCTAGACGGTTTCATTATCAGTAAATGTGACACTGTCGGTGATATGGTGGGAACACTGGTCAGCATGGTCCATGCCACGGGAATTCCCATTGTATTCCTGGGTGTTGGACAACATTATGGTGACCTGCGGGGCCTTAGTGTTCCCTGGGCTGTTAGTCTGCTGATGAAGTAGTGACGACTTGATATCATAGTTTGATACCTTTTTAGCTGTGTACATTTCATATGAATCCTTTTCTTGCTACTTTGTTTTGCAGTCACGTTGTTATATTAGTTTTACATGATAGATTCCTTGTAAACTATGCGATCCCATTTATCAAGCCATGAATACCATTGCCGGCACCAATTCAATACAGCTGAATCATCCATGGTATTTTGAGGCCATCTATAGGTAGATATATGCTTTACTTGATAGTTATGCAGTTCGAGCCGGGGAGTTCCGCCTGAAGCCTCCACCATTACCACTGACATAAATAGCAGTCGGACACCCAGTCTCCTAGGCTGTCTGTGAATATGTCATGGGTAACTAAGACATTGGGCGTCACCGCTACCCTATAACTAGATATTTCACGGGTATATTGTGTGTACATTCGGGCCTTCTGAGAACTCCAAGGCGAGTGCAGAAGCAACTACGAGAACTAGGACAACTAATCCGAAGGTTCACTCAGGCTGTCAAACGTGCAAGTAATCTTATACACTATAGCAAGATCCGCAAGCAATACATCACTCTCCAGAGTCTGTCGTAAAAAGTGCGATGAAACCCATGTCTGGGATTCACCAATACGGGTTTTGCAGAGACTCGTTCACCAGGTCGTCGAGAGAAGGAACTTACTGTTCGGCTTCCAGCTATGGGTTTGAGTTCTACTCCGTATGCATTGGCAAATTATGCAAGAGGTTGACTCTCCCAAATCGAAGGCACTGTTTCTTGATAAAGCTACTATGGAAAAAAGCCCATCCTTCACCCTAGCGCAGTGCACCAAGGTCCTTGCTTCTTGTCTACAGCCATTATTCTAGATGATATTAATCCTACGCCTGCACTCCACATATCAGAACATAATTATAATAAAGCACGGTTCAAATTCCGTTCTTGCTGGTCAGCAACCCCAAAAACTAGTCCAATCGCCACTCAACCACACCACCCACCTACCTCACTTGTTACCAGTGAACCACAAGCAAAAAGAAAGCGAAACAAAAAGTATTGACCGACGCAGGGATCGAACCTGCAATCTCTTGATTCGTAGTCAAGCGCCTTGCCATTGGGCCAGCCGGCCTTGTTGAAAAGATGATCCAGTTTTGATATATGGGTCGGACGGAGTTTTTAGGGCAAGGCCCCACTTCAAGAAATTTATGTCGCGTTTAGAGGCTTGTTCCCTCCAGCAACCATGCGTATATCAGATCAGTTTGAACAGTTCCAGCGAAATTAAAGTTACACAAAAGTGATACGCCAAAAATATAGCAAGAAAATATGTATCAAAATGGTTAAAGCGCAAAAAGAAATCTCTCCCTCGGGGAATCGAACCCCGGTCTCCCGCGCTTATCGGTTTTAATGACAAGCGGAAATCATCACCACTAGACCAAGGAAGATGTGATGGCTGAGTTACTGCTCGGCCACTTGGCTGGTTGATGGAAATACTTCCATATTATGACTCTATAATCAAACAGTTTTAGAATGGGAGGTAAGCGTCAATAATAATTTATCGATATTGCTGAGATATTCTTGACCGGGAAAGAAGGACATATTGAGAGAAAAATGATTTATATTTGTATTCTTCTGCACTTGAACAGGCCGACTTGAGGAGTTGCCAAATTCGCCAGTTTGCTTCCCGTTAGATCACCTAGACGTTCTAAGCAGCAGGCTATGTTGTGGTTGTGCATCATGATGGCCAATTTATATGATAAAACAAGAATAACCGTATCTCGAGTCCTAATGGTTTGTGATGTTGGTAGGATATTAACGGTATAAATGTGACTAGATATACGGAGTATAGGATACTGTTTGTCGGGAAATATATATCTCTCTTTCATCTTTTCTAAGAACAAATCTAACAAAACTGGGATGCACTTCTATATTGTTTACTCACCTCTTCAATTGCATTCCACTGTGCTCTTTGCAACCACCAAATCGGCAATACTCGCAATAGACACGCCGCCCATGATATCAAACACGGCTACGGTGGCGCCAAATGTTTTACCAACCCAGTTCCGCAGCTCCACCGCCATCAGGGAATCAACCCCATAGGTGGATAGGGGCTTGCTCGGCTCAACATCCTCAGACGAGATCGACATGGCACCTGCCAACTTGTCTGCCAACGCGCGGTGAACAATCTGAATACGTTCAGTCGAATCAGATGATTGCCGGAACAGAGTAGCAGGGTTGATATCTCTCTGCTTGACAGAATCCTGGTTAGGAGAGACACCCAAGCCCGCAATGTAAGAAAATGCTGCCAGCAACGGCCGGTCGAGCAGAACAGGTGGAACGCGACCTTGTGCCAGATGATCAGCCGGAGTCCGAAGACCAAAGAGTATCTGACTTTCAGACGGTGATCGTTGTGGGGCATCCGGGTGGCAACATATATCCAGCAATGCAAGGAGCTCGGCCCCATCGATTGGCCGCATATCGTCTGCAGCTAGCCGTTGGCGTTGATAGGCGCCCGTTTCTGCAATAATGCCAATATTGCGCATCCAGCCAATATCAATCGAAATCGCTGATTGACCTCGGGACACTCGATGCCGCGCCAATGCATCTTGGAACGTGCAACCTCCAGCATAGTTCGCACTGGCCATTTGACCAACCACACCGGCAAGAGATGAAAGGAGGATGAAGAAATCAAGTTTTTCAGGTAATAAGCGATGCAGGTTCCATGACGTCTGTACTTTCGATCGCATGGTCAAGTCCCATTTGGCGAATGTCATGTTTTCCTGGAAGATGCTGTCTTGCAAAACCATGGCTGCGTTGATGCAACCCTTGATGGGTGGCATAGTTCGCGCACATTTACCTAGGACGTGTGATAGACTTGTCTCAGAGGAAACATCACATTCAGGAGCAACAATAGTTACTCCTTGAGCAGTCAACTGGGCAACTACCTGAGCTGCAGCTTTGGAAACTGCCCCTGATCGCGATGGCACAATCAAATGCTTGGCTCCTCTGTCCACCATCCACTGTAAAATGGCCCGTCCGATGCCACCAAACCCTCCGGCTACCAGATACGATGCGGAGTTGTCAAATTCCCACGTTGGGTGCTCTTTGACAAATTGCTAGAGAAGGAAGTCCGTTAGCTGAATACATAACACCCGGAGACTTTCACAAGCGACTACTCACCGGTACAACATCATCGGGGCTTGCGGTGACCACGATCTGGCCCATTGGTTCATTGTCTTGAATTTTCTTGTGGATCTGTTCAAGCTGCGACACATTGAACACTGGCGGTGGTCGTAGAATCTGTATTTCGCCATTTCCGATCAATGCCATGACTGTCCTCAATAGACGAGATAACGGTTTCGGACGGAGTCGCGTGGGATCAACGATCGAAAAAGCGATATTCCTGGTAGAGAACTCGCGTGGAAGGTTGAGCTTGGCCTCCATATCTGCACGACTGATCTCGATGAATCTGCCACCGAGTGCAAGACACTGGGAATATCCTCGCAGCGAATCCTCTCCCACCAAACAATTCAAGACGACATCGACACCTTCTCCCTCAGTAGCACGTACAACATCTGCTCCAAATGTCACATCCTGGCTATCAAAAATGTCCTCGACTGGTATACCCAGAGCCTCCACGAGGAAACTCTTTTCTTCCGATGATGTCGTGCTCGCATAGACATGAGCCTTTTGCTTCTGCGCTATCTGGACTGCAATCTGGCCCACGCTGCTTGCAGCTGAATGAATGAGGATTGTGTCTCGCTCGCCAAGGCGTGCTATGTCGATCAAAGCATGGTAGGCAAGAATGGCCGGGTGGAAAACCGACGTGGCTGCTTCGATGGATAGCTTTTCGGAAATTTTGACAATGTTGGTCTCGTGGGAGCGAGGATACTTGCGCATGCAATCGAGATCTGAAATGCAAACGCGATCGCCTATCTGGAAGGAATTGTTACATTCACTGCCAACTCGAGTGACCACGCCACCACAGTTCCCTCCGAATAGGTCATCTTTTGTTCGATCGATAGCTCTGCGAATGTCCCCTTCCATGAAACTCCAAGTATCTGCGTGGATCTCAACATCGTGAGGACCAAGAGAAGTTTTGTGGACGGGGTCCTGGACAAATATTGTTGATTTTTGAGGTACCTCAGTGTCCATTGAAAGCTTCAAGGCCCCTGTTTTGGCCCAGGGCTCATGTGCCAGCTGCGGTAAAAGAAGGGGCTGTATTGTTTTGTTACCTGCTACATCTTCGATGACCCGGGCGGTCATGAAGATCCCGTCCTTAAAGACATACTCTAGCTCCTGGGATGATGGAGAGCCAAAAGACTTTTCAACAACGTTGACAATAGCGTTTGCACAAGCAATACCATCGGTGTCACCTTCGATATTGAGGCTAATAAGGTGACTAGAGGGTTGTTCGGCACGAATAGAGCGCAGGAAGCCTTGGATCACGCTATATTCGGGGCTGTCAGCCGCGCTGGCGCCTGAAGATGTCACCCACAAGAGCCTGGGCGTGTTGCGAAGCAACTCCCGCAGGGCTTTGAAACTCTCCTCAGACAAATTGGCGAGCAAGGGCCGGCCCACTTCAGCTAGACAGACAACAATATCGTTTTCGGAATTTGCGAGGGATTGTTGGAGGTCCTCCGCAGAGAATGAACAAATTCGGGGTTGGAACTCCCCTTGATGATCTATAGAGTTGTGAATCGATTCGGCCAGATGTAATTGTCTGCTGGACTGATGCTCATCGACCACCAGAACAAGGTTGCTGGCATCTACCCGGGACACAACAGGCTCTTCTACTTCCTCCATGGCTGTGCTGAGAATGATACTCACAACATGGCAGTCCTCGCTATTGTAGTCTCGAATGACCATGTCATTCCCAGAGAAGCCGTTCTCGCTTAGACAACGGTCCCATACGGCTTCAGATACAGCGGGTGAATGAGGCCGCCATTTGTCGCGAGCAACCCACCACCCAGGGACCAAGCCAGCCATGAAGTTGGTGGCAACATCCTCTGGTTTAATTGCCTCAAGCAATATAAGGCGACCACCAGGCTTCAGCAACTTGCGTACATTTTGGATTGTACTCTCGAGGGTTGGTGTCGCGTGAAGGACACTGGCCGCGATAATCAAGTCATAGGAAGCTGGTTGGAAGCCTTGATTCTCAATTCCGTGATCAATATCCAGTGTTTGGAAATTCAATCGACTCTCAGCCTGGAATCGGGGCCAGCGGCCTTTCGCACGTTCCAAAAACATCGGCGAGATATCGGTATAGTTATATTCAGCAAAGCTGGGAGCTCCGATTCGACTCTCACGCTCTTCCAAGGCTGCGAGGACTTGAGCTGTCATACCTCCGGTACCAGCACCAACCTCGAGAACTCGCATTGCTGGGTTTTCATGTGCAATCAACTCCAAAATACCAGCAAGTCGTCCATCGGCACACATGTTTTCAAAAAGTCCAGCATAGAAGGTATCCGCCAGATCGTGCTTGAAGATCACTTCGAGAGGGTCTATCTTTCCGCTGAGTATCTCTGGTAGCTTTTGGGCGCATACAGTGTACAGCTTCCAGGTCGGAAGAACTCTTTCGATCTCGTCCATGCGGGCCTCAATCTCCATTTTACTCATCCGGTAGGCGTCTTCTTGCTCGGACAACGGCAACCTTCCAACGTGGAAGTCAAGCCATTCAAGGTGACGACGTAGATTTTCCGGAACCTGAGCACGATCCAAGGCTCTCACAGTCTGCGCTGCCACTGTGTCCAACAGTGAACATAGCTTGGGATAATTGACCAACATGTCAGTTTCGTCAGCCTTGGTATTCGCAGGGTACAATTGGGAGAGTTGTTTGGAGTTGAGTAGGCTCAACTGCGGCTTCCAGTCGATACTGTATAGCAACTTTTTATCCGTTTCTTCGAAGTTCTTTGATACAGTCGTCATGTTAGCCTGCTGAATGCGACATAAAGTTGTCCCGTTCTCGGCGAAGGCATAGATACTGCCTTGTTCTCCATCAACGGCGACATGATCGCCACGGGCAGTGGTGTGCGATGTCGCAAACCACTGAATCGAGCTATTATGTGGAAGTTGCCACCCAGAGGGTGCGAACCATGCGTCCACAAGGCGAACAGGAACATTGGCGGCTCGTTGTTGTCCGGAAGCCACTCGCAGGACCTGGAACGCTTGATCTAAGACGGCTGGATGCACCATGCTTTCCGTTTCAAATCTTTTCTTTGTCAGGTCGACATGTGCTAAAGCAGAACTTTTGCCATCCCAGCAAACACCCTGTAGCAGTTGAAACATTTCTCCGTATTGAAGGCCATGTTCAGCCGCATCTGTGTACAGGGCCTTGGAATCAAGCGGACGACTGCAAGCTGAAATTGCGGATTTGTGCATGGCCTGAAGGCCTTCATCGACGGTAGTGATAAGAGAAGACTCGCTATATTCGGCCACGATGGTTGCATTGCAGCACTCCGTCCACAAGTTTCGTGAGTAGGAGAAAACTGCTACATCAAACAACGAAGTGCTATCATTTTGCGAGCCCTTTATCGGTCGCAAACGGACTTGAGTCTCAGTGCGCTCTTCCCAAGTCTGTGGTACAACGATAGGGCTCATGAATTCAGCCTGTTTCACGAGATATCCCCGAACTGTTCGGTCACTAGGCACCATTTGTTGAACTGCTTCAATAGCCATGATCAGCATACCCGCGGCCGGGTAGAGCACAGTGTCTGTCATCTGGGTCAAATTAGCACATCTATTTGTCAGGACTTATAGCTTGTTATGAAGGGCCTACCTTGTGGTCTCCGGTCCATGGGGTAGACTCGGTGCTCAAGAAATTTCTCCACCGGGGCTCCAAGGGATTCCAATCGGATACTCGGACCCCTAGTGTATCTCCGGAGACAACGCCTCTCAACCTGAAATCTCGACTGATGCGTGACTCGGTCCAGTAAAGCCGTGACCTATCAAAGGGGTATACAGGACAATCCACAAGGAACTGTGGGCGCGCGTTGGCCGATTGCATATTTACTGCCGGCAAGGAGATTGTGTGACCAAGGCAAAATAGCTGACCAGCAAGTTCGAGAGTGGTCTGGATCGCGCGATGAGACCTATGGAGGACATGCAGATATCGAATCTCATTTTTCCGATTGCCGACCTGTTGGACCGTGTCATTGATAGGCCTCTTGAGCGCTGCATGAGGACCGATTTCAACAAGATCTGTTATACTCCCCATGCCAATTTTAAGCGTCGACGAATGCTGCGTAAGTAGTTGGATGGCGTCGGAAAATTGAACCGGAGAAATAAGATTGTTCACCCAATATTGTGCATCGGTCAAATTGGCCTGGCGGATGGCCTTTCCAGACACTGACGAAACCATTGGGATCCGGGCCCTAACTTTGCTCGTTTGTCGATCTGCACCTTCGATGGTCCCAATCAGCATCAAATACTCATCCGCAATTGCGTTCATTGCGACCGAGTGATACGCGACCCCTGTCTTGAGTTTCTGTGCAAATAGGCCATCCTGATCTGCTTGGACTTTCACCGCGTTGATGTCCTCTTCGGGGCCTGAGAGGGTGCAATTGAAGGGACTGTTAATACAAGCCACGGTCAATCGGCTTGCCACTTCTTCCCCAGCACGCATGAGATATTGCGGCATTTCAGCTTTAGCCACATTTATCGACAGCATACCCCCTGGGGTAATGGCACCGCTGCTAGTAAGCTTTCCTCGGAAAAACGCGACCTTGCACGCTGAAAGCAGAGAAAGAGCCCCAATCGTATATCTGGTAAGATTTTATCCGGTTAGCAATTCATTTCTAAAACCATTCTTGATGATACATACGCGGCAGCAATCTCGCCGGACGAGTGGCCCACAACTGCCTTTGGCACAACACCAAAGCTCTCAAGTAGCTCTACAAGAGCAATCTGAATAGCAGTGCTGATGGGCTGGCTATATTCTGGTTTATCGATGTTCATTCCATGGCGGAGCTCATCTAATGATGTTGTAAGTCACCGTTCGTATTCTGGTCGAACCGGACGCCGCCTACTTACCAAAAAGTGACCATTCACATCCTAGGCTGTGGTAAATCTCATTAATTTGCCTTAGTGTCTGAGCAAATATCGGGTAGACAAGCAGCTCCAATCCCATTCCCACATATTGCGCGCCCTGTCCAGTGAACACAAAAGCGAGCCCAGCGTCGGTCGAACTTCGAACTGGCTTAACCGGCGAAAGGGACTTTCCTCCTTGGCTATCATTTGGATTTGGGAAGACGGCGAAAGCTCTCCATAACATCCGACTTCTCCGTGAAGCAAGGGTGTATGCTAGCTGATCGAGCTTGGACGGGTCTTCGAGACCCAGATCTGTACTGGAGACCTCGTAGCTCTCAAGCATTCTTTCCACCGCTTTCTGATCGGCGGCGGACCAAACAAGTAGCTTAGGCTGTCGTGTGGCGACCTTCGGAATCTTATCATGGCCATTTGTTAGTGACACTGCCCCGTCTCCATTCATATGCGCGGACCCATTTGTGTATGTAGTTCCGTTGAGAGAATTCGTTCCGTTGGTAAGTCTATAATCGCCATGATTCCCATTTTCATAACCAGATTGTGTTCCGGTATTGGGGATGCTTGCAACCCCTGTGATAGTGCCAGGGAAAAGGGCCGTGCAGTGGTTACCAGCTAGGCCACGCTGCTCCATGTAATGACGAGCGTCATCAAGAACGACATGGGTGTTAGAACCACCGAATCCAAAGGAATTGACAGAAATTCGACGTAGGCCTTGACTTGGCCACGGTATACTTTGCACTGGGACCTGAATCGTAGAAAAGTTAGCGGGATTATAAACAAGGGTAAGTGCTTTTGTACCTTGATTTTAAAAAAGTCCACATCAATGGCAGGATTGATCTTTTCAAAAAGAGCATTTGGTGGAATTATTCCCTTTTCCAAAATCACTGTGGTTGTTAGTAGTCATATCAGGACTTGGAGACACGTGAAAATGGCCCTCACAGATAGATTTGACCAAGCTTGCAAGTGCGCTAGCCCCTTCAAGATGTCCGATATTTGCCTTCACGGATCCACTAAAAATTATTAGCGTGCGACTGTTAGATTAATTGTAGAACCTACACATAAAGAGGCTCGTCCGCAGTTCGACTTTTTCGGAAAACCCTGCCAATAGCTCTCATTTCAATTGGATCACCCACGGGCGTTCCCGTTCCTATAGAAACGTCTTAGAATGGTGAAGAGCGGACGTGGTTTTTTTTTATACTTACCATGGGCTTCGACATATCGCGTCTCATCAAATGAGAGTCCGGCCTGCTTGTAGACATGACGAATCAATTCTTCCTGTGATTGAGGGCTCGGCTGCGTGAGCACAGGAGTGTGACCATCTTGATTTGAGCCCGTTGAGCGGATAACGGCCCGAACCATGTCGCCGTCCTCAATTGCCGCAGACACGGGCTTAAGGACAAGAGCCAATGTCCCCTCTCCTCTGGCGTATCCATTGGCACGCTCATCAAAACTATAGCAGAGGCTATCAGGAGAGAGGAAGTTCTGGGTAGCGAGCATTTGGAAAATGGAAGGATCCAGAAGCAGATTACATCCAGTGACAAGAGCCTTTTCATGGTGAGTAAAAGAAAAGAAAAATGTTTGTCTGTGCATCAAAACTTACACAAGAGGCATCACCGCTGCGCAATGACTTACAGGCCATGTCGACTGCCGATAAACTGCCTGAGCAGGCTGTATTGACATGGATGCTGGGTCCACGCAGATCAAAATACCAGCTTACTCGATTGGGAACGACACATGCAACGGAGCTTCCTGTAGCAGCTGTCCGCTCTGTATTCTCTGCGTCCATGGCAACCAGACGGGCATTATCTTCCAGCATTGAAGCGGAGAAAACTGCAGTACGAGAACCCCTCAACTTCTCTACTGGTATTCCAGCTACAATAATTGTCAGCTTCATTATGCTCAAGATGCTTTCAAGTTTGCTACTCACCTTTCTCAAAAGCTCGATATGACTCCTCCAAGGTCCATCGCTGCATTGGATCCATCGCTGCCGCCTCATCATACACTCAGTATAATATTCAGTTTACGTCATTTGAGTTGTACTTACTTCTTGCGCCGTGACCGAGAAGAAGGGCGCATCAAAAGCGCCAAGGTCTTCATTGAGAAAATGTCCACCTTTTGCAGGGAACTACAGCAAAGGTCAGATATCACAACTCGTTGATAAACCGACGCTGAACACACTTTTATCAATGTATTGTTCAAGAATGAAGCTGGATTGCCTCGGGATTCCGGCCAATCTGTTCTAAGATTCCGGCGGTTCTCTAGAACCTCCCAGAACGACTGGTCATCATTCACATCTTGCGGGAGTCTGAAAGAGTATCCAACAATTGCAATGTCATCTTTCACTGTGAAGGAACTTGAGATGCTCATCTTTTCCGTATTTGTCGATTGATAATGCCTGCAGGTTCGTTAGGCTCAAAAAAAAGTACAGGGTACTTCTGAAAAAAAGATGACCCCGGTTTCGCCAGCATTGAGCAAACAAGTACTCCCAAACATGCACAGCCATGGTCATCTCCACTATTCAAGGTGTGTTTCCTTTCTGGGTCTAACACTTTTCACCGAGACTACCCCTCTCTGTACGGACTCTACGGAGTCGTGAATATCTGATAAACTTGGATAGATTCCCCGGGTACGGAGTACGGGGAGGCTTTAACGCACAGACCTCCATTCTTTTTAGCGGGCCGCAACTTTGGCCGGGCCGTGAATAGGTTGAGTCCACTTATTTCATTGATACTTTTATATCTTAATACTTTATCTATATTTATTGCCAATATATATATATATATATATATACACCCATGTTATATGCACTCTGAAATACAAGGATGAGCTGTTTCTAACTGCAGTGCATATGGAGCTAGTGGTGTGGGGATTTAATGCCAAGCTCGGAGAATCCAGCGGGCGTTTCAGAAAATCTCGAGGCGCAAGAAGGATCTTTTAGGGACCGTCAGCTCGGCCACTTTCCATGTGAGTTTGATCTAGACGTTAGAAACGCCAAAAACTTTATGGCTGAGGTTGGTAAGCGGGAATGCAATGTGACGATGACCTTCCTATTAAGTACAGAGAATGGAGTAATCCCGAAACACGGGATAAAGGTGTATTATCGAGATAGGGTGCTAGCTAAAAAGATCAATAGCCCTCTCAATGGTCCTTTCAATGGCTTGAACTGTCTCCAAAAATCCCTCCATCGATTTGGACCCGGGAATTTGGTGCCCTAAATCATGTCGGACCACCTCGCGTAACTTCTCATCGCATATCTGAACTAGTGCCTCCTGCGCATCCTTCTGGCACCACAATGGTGCCAGGGGTGATTGACCCCGCAAACGAACAAGGTTTGCCTCAACTATTAGTGCGGTAGGAATATGGAGCACGACTCCATCGGTATCTGGGTCGATACACCGTAGAATTTCCGTACGGACCACATCTGGGTCCAAGGGCAAAGCTGCGCTAAAAAATATCCCACATTTGAATCCTGCAAAGGGACGACGGGCATCTTCCACAAGTAGCATAGCCGCCATAATGCCTCCCTCTGAGAATCCCATTACTCCATCGAAGGGCCCATTGCTGTGGACGTAATCCACTAATCCTGCCAATAGATCCCGACATTCACTAGCTTCGGTAATGGAATCTGGCAAATATCCGTAAAACTCGTCTGTGATAGCAGTGGCACCTGTTGTCTGTTAGACACAAACTGGTTATCTCCGGTGTCTCACCACCACTCCCTAGAAAGGAAGGACTTTCCTTCAGTTGGCTCTGTTGCAACCGGCCCATCAATAAATACAAACTCGTGGTCGTCCAATACCTCGCAGATCTTTGCTAAATTGAGACTAAGGGTCAGGCTTGCAGTCAGTCCACATTTCTGGAAAGCCACGTACCGGTCTGCATTTCCAAAATCTATTCGCATTGGTCAGTCACCCTTGGATAATATGCTCATCAGAAATTAACTGAGAAGTCGAACCTTAGAGCAAGTCCCCCTGCTATGGAGGCAAAGGAATCTCATTGTTTCTTCAATGTTGAGACTTGCGACTTCTGTAACAGTCGAATAAGAAAATCATAAGGGGGCCTGCTTAAATTATCCCCGCTAGGACCTCCTTTCCGGAACGACTCTATTTATGTACTAGCTCTACGTGGTTAGATGATTTCAGAAAGCAGCTGTATGGCTAGTGAGAATAAAATACAACTCCATCTACTAACTATTTACGTACATTCATTCATCATCAAGGTAATGGTTTTGAAGAGCTTCTAATTAGCCATTCAATGCTCTCGCCGTACAAAAAAAAAAATAAAAAAATACATTGGTAATAACGTTAGAAATGATACATCTTTCCAGTGACGCGTTTGCTTTTTTAAGTCACGAATAAACATGCTTTTGTTGTTCCTTCTGCAGGTACTCGGTGGATTCAGATGGCTTCAGAGTGTCCATCTTGTAGTAGGCATTAGCTGTGCTTCCCGCCAACCTGCTGTGATTGCTTGATGACTGGGCTGTTCCTTCACTTGACCAATTCCGCTTAGATGTATTCCCTAGAGAAGACATGCCGAGAATGCTCTTTATCTTAGCCCCGGCTCCTGTCTCCATCATGATCTTCGGAATGCACGGTAGGGCCACGATAAAAAAGCCACATGTCATTTCAGCGGTCGCCCAGAATGCCAGGGGAGGTAGCGTCCAAACAGCATCTGCCGACTTGCCATGCGCGATTGTGGTTTCGAGTCGGAAGATAGCGGAGATACATGCCCTATGAGTTTCTCAACATTAGCTCAATAATCCAGGTTGTCACTGTATATTATCACTCACAGTAAACCGAGGCCAAAGATAAAGGAGACACCCAGTCGCTTTCGCCAGGTCATCTTGAGACTCCAAATAACCTGTTGAGGCAAGAGCAGAATGGCCACATCAGAGATCAGTTGAATACTAGCAGACGCTACTTGTAACTTGTACAAGTTAAAGCATTTGCTAGTTGCCAGGATGGTGATATCCCAGATTGCGCTGTGAGGAATGCATTGCATATTCAGAGCGACCACGATGCTAATTCCAGCGGCAACCTGAACGAAGATAACCACCACACACCCCCACCAAAAATAGCCCTCAGACCGGCGGCCTCTTGGGGCGAACATTCGGCAACATCCTATCAGAATCGTCACTTTAAGCAACGGTAGAACAATTGAATAAAAGACGCCGAAGAGGAAGACGTACTTTAATAAGGTCAGTTAGAGAGCTTCACAGGGGATTGTGTCTTGGACTCACATATTGGGCGAGGATCATATCCTTCAATCGAACATTCCATTGGTGAACGAAATAACCTGGTGTGTCGATAAGACCTATCTCGGCATAAATGGCCCCCCAGAAACATCCCTGGATAGGTGTTAGATTCGAATAGTGGGTTCTTGATTCGATAACCGACTGACATATGCGCAAAGGGTTAAGCCTATGAGATGGCTCAAAGTTAGTGATACATCAATGGTATGAGATGATAGACCCATACCTTCTTCGATTTCCAGTTTTTTCAACAACCATATGCGAGCATAACCACGTATGAAAAGACATATAGTAGCAATAGCAGCGCATGCTGATAGTACCCCAATGGCGAGTCCATTGTTATTTGGTGGGTTGTCCAGGTTTGGAATAACACCAGGTGGCGGTGCGAGGGCAGGACCGTTGAGATCCATTGCAAATGATGAGTGTCTCTTGCAGTCAGTGTCCACCTAGGCTTGAAAGACCTTTTGAGTTTTATAAATGAACCAAAGGATTGTACACGGACCCCTGCCTTTGTACGACTAGAACCCCATTGCGATCTTCAGGAGTCTCGGGATAATGACGGGTTTGTATCTTTTAAGACTCTAGTAGCCCGAGGGTAGACATCTTCTTGCAGGGATTCGATTCCTGTTGTAGACGTTTTACCGGTTTCAGACAGGGATGCCCATTATTGTAAACAATACTCCGTACTAGTAACGAAAAAAACAAAGAATCTAGACCGGCAAGGATATAATTAGGTTGCCGAGGATAAGCCCTGGAGGGTGGACTCACTTATCATAATTATAGTACTCTTTAATATATAGGGCAATGCCGGGTTCAACCATTCAAGTATGGCTAGAAGCACTTAAAAGAAACATGTGAGTCTCAAGTTCTGTGATCTTCATATTAAATCCCAATCCCAGTAAAGCATTCTAACAAAGTGCAAATCCGAGCCTTGGCCAAGCATGTGGTTAATCCTATTAAACCTCGGAAGATTTCACAACGGTTAGACTAACAAGGACATTGCCAAGATATATACCCTGCAATCAAAGTGACATGAATTCTTCAATTGGCAGATTTGCCTTGTGGATCAAAAGATACCGGGAAACTTTGGGGCTAAAAAGAAAGAAATTGTTCCAAGCCTGAGAAGCGCCAATGTCTCAGAACCCCTGCTAGCCTCAATAACTTACTCCGTGCCTGTTTTTTATTAATGTTGATCCTCCATGTCAGAGTGGGGTTAATTACCGTTGACGGCATGTCCCTATAAAGCTTGGACTTGCATGCGCGCCAAATCCCACCTTCTCCTTTTATGTCTCCCTGTGCTTATCATTCTTAGCCAATCACCGCTATGCCCAAGCAAGACGTTTTTCAGCTTCACCCTTTGGGTTGGGAAAATGATCCGGAGGAGGAGCGTTTCAAAGTATCAACCCTTGACTACTTGACTGCTTGTACCTACAACAACTATGCCATCTTCTTTCGGGTGGATGATGCAGACAAGGCTCGAGTCGCCGATGTGCTGAAGGCTGGTCTTGAACGTACCCTGAGCCAAGTCCGACATATCTGCGGTACCATTGAGAAAGACCCTTCTGGTGGCCACTCATTTGTCAAGAAGAAGGATAGCACTGTACAATTTGTGGTCCAATGGCTGGATTCACCAGAAGACAGCGATGACTACCCATCCTTTGACGATATTGCCAAAAACTATTTCTGTACTTCGGCACTAGGTGATCTTAGTCGCTGGAGTATCCCTCCGATGACATACGGCGAAAAACCAGAGGCTCACATTGATAGTAGCCCGGTGGTTGCAGCCTATAAGGCTAATTTCATTCGGGGTGGATTAGTCTTCATTATGCATCATCATCACTATTCTAATGATGTTATGGGCTGGGCCGGGCTTGCCCACCAGCTAGCTGAAAACTGCTATGCAACTGTCAACCAGACACCCTTCCCCTCATGGGACCCTGCGTGCCTAGATCTATCACGTGTCACAAAGCCCATTGTGCCTGAAGAATCTTTGGTAGATGGCCCCCCTACGCCTGAGCGAAATCCTGATCATCTCGAGTCCGAAATGCTGCTCTTCCACTTGCCTAAGAGCAAGGCAGCGGAGCTAAAGAAACTCGCGTCGCCCACGTCGACGGACGGATCTTGGATCTCGACGTATGACGCGTTCTCCGCCTTCATATGGCGCACTGTTACCCGGCTTCGAGCACCTGTCTTCAAGCCAGACCTATCGGCCCCCTTATTGTGGATAGAAGCTGTTGATATGCGGCGGCGAATGCACAGTCCCAAAGTGCCGGCACGGATTCAGCACAACGTTATGACTGGAGCTCTCTCATCTACTGCCCCAGTCACTGCGCCTACAGCAGCGGAGGTCATTTCCGAGTGGCCACTACCGAAGATAGCTTCTTATGTCCGCCAGATGACCAACAGCATTACACAGGATGCTATAGATCAACTGTTAAATGTTGTAGCCACAGTGCGTGATAAGGGCGCGCTGAATCTCCGCATTGACTCGCATCCGCCAATGTCGCTTCTCCAAACAGATCATCGGGATGCCAATATCACAGGCGCCGACTTTGGCTTTGCAAAGCCTTTCACGTACCGCCATCTCATCGACCGCTTGACTCCAGGCGTCCTCATTATCTACCCATCGCGTGATCCCTCTCCTGAATCAGACGAGGGACCCGAATTCTCGATCTCTTATGAGAAGAGCCTGAAGCAAGCCCTGATTGACGACCCAGAGTGGAACAAGTACTTCGAATACCGCGGCGTTGATGCCATCGATGCCTCCACCCAAGATCATTAGGGGTGTAATGAAAACTGAGATGGATAATTCCCTTGCGTTGGCCGGCTGTCTGACCTCCTGTCTATATCGTTAATATAGACTTCGCAATGTATAAGGTTAATGGATTATTATTTGGGGGCTTTGAGTAGTACACCGGTAGTTACCCTCTCGTGTTAGGCATACCTAGCCTTCGAGGATCTCGTAAAACCACGCACAAGGCTGCATATAGCGTTCTTAACCCATGATGGATAAATATAACATGGGCCAAAATTATTTGCAGTGTCAGGTAATGCTCAGGGATATTATGACTTGGCGTGCCCAGTTCTACTAAGCCAAAAGCGGCATGGGCAAGAGCGAAAGCCGGCAGATATTATCTACATGTTCATGACTGCATTACTTCTTTACATACACCCCTTGAGTGGGATAAAGGGCCAATGATCATTAGATGCATGTCTGTATTATGTGGCCAAGCGGTACATACCATTGGCTATATATTTTGACTTGCGGTCAATGGTATGATGCCTGCATAGTCCTGGCATACACCTGCGCACCCGACCCACCTCAGCTGCCAATAGGTGAACAAGTTCACCGTATCATCGCGATTCATAGTGAGAGAAGAACAATCGGCCGCATAAGCGGCTCTGTGATGTACAACATATTCACAGTTGTCTTTCAATGGTCTTTTTAGAGGTCTTCTCAGATATCATTCTGTTTACATGCCTTGTCAGTTTTATAGGTCGATGGCAAAGAGCAAGGGAAAACAGGCATTGTGAATTGGGCTTTTGCAAGTATAACCATTGATATCCGAAATAATTACACCGAGCACTGCAAGGGCTAGCTGGCGACCTCGGGCCCCGGGGATGGGCGCTCGAACAAACTGACTCAGCATCTAGAGGCTTACATCATCATCGTCTTTCCTTGATCCGGTTGTCAACTTCAACCATTCTAAGCTTCTCGACCCTTTTTCTTCTCGAACATCTAATTATACTTGCATATACAACTTCATTCTATTGACTGCACAATTATCCCACCAGTGCAGGTTAACTATACCATCAATTTCCCACTCGACAGCATTACGTCTACAATCAGGCCTTCCACGCGACCCCAAATCCAATCGCATGGTTATTTGTGAGAAGACCATATTTAGTCTTGATTTTGCTGGTGTGTCGCCAGAATGACGGGTCCTGACCGGGCTTCGCTCAATCGCCGCTCCTCCACGCAGCATTACCAGACCTTCGATACCCCACCGCCCAAGTCGCGTGGGCGACCTAACTCGGGCCAGTCCGAATCCTCCGCAGACGGATCACACGATCCCCACAATGACACCGCTGATCCCCCGGGAACCTCATCGCCTCTACCGAAGAGGCAAATGGCAGTGCTAGCGATAATTGCACTGGCGGAGCAAACGGCCCTGAATTCGATCAGTCCATACCTCCCACACATGGCATCGACATTCCCCGAAGTGAAACCGACCCAGGTGGGCGTATACGTGGGAAGCATTGCATCGGCATTTGCACTGGCTCAATTCAGCACGAATTATTTCTGGGGCTGGCTATCGGATCGTGTTGGTCGCAAGCCGGTGATCCTGCTTGGTACCTTTTTGACTGCGCTGTGTTTCGTTGCATTCGGATTCTGCAAGACACTTGTACAGGCTATAATTGTGCAGGCGTTGATGGGTGTGGTGAATGGCAACCAGGGTTTGGTGTCCACCTGTCTCGGAGAAATCACCGATCGAAGCAACCAGTCGCAGGCTTTCACTTACCTCCCAGTACTATATGGAATTGGAGGTATAACGGGACCCCTTCTAGGAGGACTCTTCATCTTTGAGACAAACCCTTTTACTGGCAACGAAAACCCGTATCCCTACCTTGCACCAAATATCCTGTCCGCTGTTGTCCTTCTGTTGGACTTCATCTTGACGGCTCTTTTCCTGGAAGAGAGTCTCGAAGATGCAGAAGGTCTTCCAAAGATCGGCAAAAAAGTCCGCAGCCTGTTCTCATGGCTGTGGCAATTCACTGGCAATGCCCGCCATCCGACCTATGTGGAGGTCGCGCAAGAAGTGCCATACCCCCACGGCCCGCATGATATAGAGACCGATGATCATGACAGTGACCTAGACTCTGCGTCTGAAGTGTCAAGCCTCCTTGGCCACCACGAGGAACTCTCTTGGGATGAGCTCTTCACTCGAGATACACTCTTACTTCTTTTGACATACCTGATCTTTGCTCTTTGCAATGTCTCTTTCAACTCGCTATTCCCAATCTTCGCGCAAGCTAAGCCTCCGGCCGGACGGTCACTCACCCCATCTGAGATCGGCCTTGCTCAAGGGTTCGCTGGATTCGTAACGATCATTTTCCAAATTTGTGTTTTTAACCGCCTGCGGGACAAGATGGGTAATCGGTGGTCTTACCGCGCAGGCCTATTTGGATTTGTCATCTCATTTATCTTAATGCCTTTCATTGGTTACAAGAGCAAAACTGGCAATGGTCTGACTAGCCAGTCGGCTATAATGGCTGTCGAACTTTGCCTCGTGTTGCTGGTCAAGACCATCGCTTCCGTGGGTGGTCTGACCAGCGCTCTACTTCTGGTAAGGGATCCCGACATTTCCTTTCTGTAAACTTCACTGAAACTAAAAATTTCTCCAGATCACAAATTCGGCTCCTAATCATGCCGTCCTTGGCGCTTTGAATGGTCTTGCACAGACTCTCTCCGCAGCTGGACGTGCAGTGGGCCCATTCCTCTCCGGAGGACTATTCTCCCTCACAGCCAAAATCCAGCCTAAAGGAGAGGCCCTGGCATTCGGAGTTTTTGGTGCTGTCTCCTTCATTGGCTTCATCCTGAGCTTTGGCATCCGTGGCCGTTCACTCGAAGCAGAGGGCTGGAGCGACAGTGATGATGCAGACAAGTCGGACGACGACGAGCCGAGTGGTGTTTGATTAATATACACGGATCTATAAAATGTGCCGATATGACGATGTGACGAGTTTATGCTTCCCTTTCAGCCTTTTTGCATTAAATATACATTAGCCTCGTTCCTTTAAGATAGATTTTGCTGTTGCATTCTTTGCTGAGATAAATTCGGGTTTCGATTCAACCTTGCGCCTGGGAGATCTGTGGAGAGTAGTACTAGACTTGGCAAGGTGAGCCTGGGAAAGAATACCACTCAACTATTGGGATTTCTAGACTTGGACCTATACATGTATTTTCTGAAGCTGATTGAAGAATATGTTGACATAGAGAATATGAGAATCTATAACCAAGAAATCTCAAATGCACCATCTCATGCACCATACATCTTCATATCAGAATCGCACCACAATAGGAGTTTTAGACTGAGTTGGCCTTTGGGAAACATATTTCATGTAACAAATATTGCAATTTATGTATTACCAATAGATTAGTATTAAATCAGAATAAGCACAATTCGATAGAGAGACACGGAATGAAAACTGATCTATGAGAATGAATCAAAATCAAATGAAAATTCGAAGTTAAAATAACAAGGGTATATAGCACATAAGGATCGTGTTAGTAAATCATCGATAAATGACGTGAAGGAAAACGGGACGCAGGCTAAAAAAACAAAAAAAAAAAAAAAGCAAACTAAAACACTATCAAGCCCAGCGCCAGCCCGACTCTTGTGACTTCTGACGCTTAATAACATCTGCCATCAGGTTATCGCCTTGGCCTAAGGGATTGTGCTGATTCTTTTTCCGCTGACGCTCAAGTAACTGCACAGCAGCAGGAGCATCAATCCCTTCACCAGTATCTGTAATCTTAAGAGCCCACTTAGCGTCTTGCGGATTAAAGCCAAGTTCATTAACCATCATATCAATGGCACGGTCAACAGGGTCCAGCACCTGCGGCCGCAGAGGCCGAGGAACCATAGCTGGTGGCGGTGGTGGTGTATGCGACGGAGCAGGGGCATTAACATAGTCCGACAGGTGAGTCGGGGTATGAGGAGCAGAGCCAGAAGTTGATGTCGAGGACCTGTCAAGAACGAGAGCAGGCACAGATGGAATGGGCCGGTGATCCCGAATGGACCCGTTGAGATTATGGACAATAGTACTGAACTCCGACATAGGGCGTTCAGCAGAGAAAGAAAACCGGCCGTTGGGGTCTGGCTCGAAACCGCGTTCACGACGACGACGAAGCTCGTTAGCGAAACCGGCTTGGCGCTCACGGATCTCGCGGTCGCTTTTGGTAGGGGTTGTCTTTTGCGGGCTGATTTCGGTCGGGCTGTCGAGGGAACGTTCTTGGAGCTCGTAGGCACGAGAGACTGCCTCTTTCAGGAATGATGATCGACTTGCTTCGGTTTCGGTTTTTTCCCATTTGGTCAAGCCGATTGACTTTGCTTTGGCGAATGTGGCGGCGGTGGTGTCGGCCGGGCAGACAGCGCTGAGTGTTAACACTGCACCTAGACCGAGCGTGAGAATGTATGACGTCCATTCCTCTGTGTTTCTAAATTAGCTGAGATCGAACAGAAAGGGTGTTTTGTTTCACTTACCGAGAATGGTCTCTTCGAGCGCCAGTTCGGTATCTGGGACGTTCAAGCCATCAAAAATGCCGACCTTTCGGGCTTCAATGCACTTTCCATGCAACGGCTGCAACAGAACACCCATGCACGTCCAGATCTCCGTTAGATCGTACATCTGCTTCTGCGACAGACCTTTAAGATTTCCACGCCCGAATCCCTCGGGTGGCTCAAATAGAACATTATTCATACCGAAAGGTTGTGTCATCGTTGAAGCGGATGTGAAATGACTCTTCGCCTGGACACCGCCCTTCAACCAGTCCATTTGGCCAGCAATATCATTCTCACGCCCCTTACCACAGCCGAAGATGCGGCAGAAGGTCCAGAGTCGCCAGAACGCATCGTCGACCTCCTCAGCACGGGTGTTATCAACGCCAGCCAGACCACGAATGGTATCGCGACGCAGGAACGGAGCGCACCGCGCAAGCACCAATGCCTTCAACTTGGCGAGGGTGTAGATATCCTGCGCGTACCTCTGCAGGTACAACGTAGGCGTGTATTCTGGAACCTGGGAATCGGGATCTATGAGTAGCTGCCACTCCATTTCCCAGGGCGGACTCATCTCGCGCATTTCCCATGCGGGCGGGGACATTTTGAACAAGGCATTTTTCAGCATGGACAGTTCCCGACTTTTGAACGCGGTGTAGATCTTTTTGTTGACGAGGGCAAAATTGAAAAGGTCATCTAGAGAGTCAATGCTCTGCATAATTGACAGAATCAAATCCACCGGCATATCTTCGGGGAGGGTGCTATTGACTGTGGCATTGTGCTTTACCTGGCGAGGGAGCGCCGATGAAGGCGAAGGGGGAGTAGCGGGAAGTTCATAGATCTGTTCTGTGAGTTGAACGCTGCTTGCATGGGCAGTCGAGACCATAGCCCAGCTCTGGCGGATTTTGGAGGCTATAGGTCTCTCTAGTTTCACCCCCTCCATCGCGACCGGGGCGGGGCTACCCGATAACACTGCTTTTTCCGCAACGCGATCGAATATATTTTCAAGACCATTTGTTTGCAGACGAGGTAATTGAAGTAGAAGGCTGTCGCGCGTGGGGGCCAGATCGAGGGGATCGGTAGAAGATTCCAATGTCATGTGGAGGGAGTCCTCCGACCGTGAGCCGACGCTAACTGCATCACGCAGACCTTGACTTTGCTTGCGGAAGCCCAGGAAGGATTTCTTGGATTTGTCTTTTTTGATGCTTTGTGTTTTCTTTAAAGCTGCAATTCTTGCGGCTTCTTTGGCTTCCCTCTCATCCAATTCCCTCTCCCTATCCTTGCCGGTTTTGGTTCGACGAGGCTTGTTTTTCACCTCCGTCTTGCTGGGTTTGAGACTTTTGTCTTTAGCTGGAATTGAGCTTAATGATTTGATCGTGTTGACCCGACTGGTGTTTGTCGATTTCCCTTGCGTTGTTTGTGAGTGCGGCTTTGTAGAAGGGGGGAGGGGCGCGGGCCGGGTAGCAATCAAGTCCCCGTTATGGCGACTGATCTGCAATGGCCCATCGAGGATCAATAGAGTTTTGTGAGACAAATCTTGACCAGCAAGGTTCGCGAGCGCATCTTCGAGTTCCTCGGCAGCCTGTGACAATGTTGGGACATGGCGCGCTCGATGACCAGCGATCACCAGATCTGACCGATGTCGACCTTGACGTTGGCGCTGCGGCTGGCGCTGACTGTGTCCGCATGCATGGCAGGGATGTTTAGATTGTCGGTGAGTATTCAAATGGTGTAACATGGACTCCTTCGAGTCAGCCTGGCTCATTGTGCCGGGGTGTTGCCACGAGATTAGCGAGTCTCTCTTGGAGTATTGCGTTGACCATTGTGACCTGGGATGTGGTGAAGCTGCGGAAAGGGGGGAGTCGCTGCGGTAACTTGAGGCTGGGCTTAGCCCGAAAGATGGTTCCAGTGGCAAGGGTTTGTTCTTTAGGTCATTCATTGATACCTTTCTGCTGACGGGATTTGAGAAGGGATTTGACACGGTCAGGTGGGAGGGAGCCACTATCGAGGAAGGCCGTGAGGAACAGATGGAATCGGAGTCGTCAAAGACACCCGCGGCGACGGGGGAAAAGATCGAGTACTCATCGGCCGTCTTGTAAGGGTATCGTGCATCATCTCCCCAAAACGTGGTACCGACACTGCTCACCGAATTTCGACGACTATAGCACGACGAAGCACAATCTAGGGTCTCCTCAGACCCAGAAGACAAGTGGGGAATTTCCGGTTGATCGGTAGACCCATGTCCATCGGGAGACCCATGTGGATCGGGAGCGACATCTGAAGAGCTTTGATATAGATTCTGCACTCGTTCTTCCAGTTCCCGTTCGAAAAAGGAGGGCCCGGTGGCGCGGTCCATATTGGAATCTGCACTGACCGGGGAGACCACGGCGAAATGTGAAGATAGCTCTGGGAAAAAGCGGGCCACGCGTGAAGTTGACCGCAATGGCGGGAGATGACTCGACAATGGAGAAATTTCAGAATCAGTTTCAGAAGGAGGCGATTCCAAGTCAATCATAGTGCCTGAAATTTTCTGCGGGGAGGTAGCCTGGATATCCCCGATCTCCCCGCTTGCGATATCTTCTTTGTGGCCTTCGTCGTGTGATTGGGCCTTAGTCTCTTTTGAGTCTGCTGCCATGTGGCTAGCAGGGATCCCTGGGATTGTTCCAGAGGGGCTCTGGGTGGTGTCCGCGATCTGCACTGGCATTGTCGGCAAGTCTTTGTCGACTGTGGGACTCGATGGAACTGAAACACTCCCCCGAACAGCTGTGACTCGGGCTTCCAGACCGAATGGCTTCATTCGAAGCTTCAGCGACGGTGGACGAAAAAGTGATTTCTTCTGCTTCGAAGACTTGGTCTTCTCGCTTGGAGGAACACGAGGTGAAGGAGGCGCCATCAATAACCAATAACTCATATTCCAGTGCTCGTGGATATTCAGTGATGGGACATTGTTGTCTCGAATAGGCTACTTTTGCACTTTGTTAGCGCGATGTTGAACAAAGCACTCCAACCTAGCTTCAGTTGTGTTAGAACATACCGTGGATTGGTGTCTCGGTGAATGCAGACTCGGGGAGACGAAGTGTAGGGGTTTCTTTGTAGAAGATAGTTTGTTCCGGCTGTGGCTGCCTAGAACAAAGAACCCATCTATTCTTTATTTTGTCTCTTACAAGTATAGGAGGTTACGAGATGAAACAGAAAAGAAAGAATGGGGATTACTTTTGGCAGATCTACGGACCCGGTTGATATCACTTCTTTTAGGCCCCCGAAACCAGCAGGTGGTCTTCCAAGATTCCTTATGGAGCATGGCGTTTCTCAAAATACTATCCAAGCCAAATGGTCAGACCACAATTGATTATTCTGTTGATATTTGGATTAGTGTACTGCAGCTAAACAGCGATCCTCTTGGGGCCAAAAAAAAGATCAACACCCAGATTCCTAATTGAGTAAGTCGTGCACATTTTAGATACGGAGTAAATATGAAGATTCCCAACCGTTACTGGCATGAAAAAATTTTGTAGTTATATTTACACTGAATTTCGTGTTCTCTCGTACCCGGAAAGGCGCAGTGAATGTTATCTCGTGTTAACACGAACTGTGGGAACATTGAAGTGAAGTTACTATATGAATACGAATAACCAAATTGGGCCAATGATATCTCGCAATACAGATTCCACTAAAAATACGACAAATGCGGAGTATATGCACGACAATTACCACTTCGCCCCTTGCCCCAGGGCCGCCCCCAACTATGCCTTGACCTGTACAACATACATTTGTACCCCCCTTGCTCCATACAAACCCTGCTGATAGTCTACGCCCGGCGGAAGCTCAGCTGATAGATAGTCTATGCTTTTTACGTTAATTTCTTCAGGCATTAATTAGCGTTAATACAGCTAGAAGTGGATTTCTTTTCCGCCCCTTTGCCTGGCTGAGCATATCCCTCGTACAACATAGTATATCCGGAATGTTTCTGCATCATATGGATATATCCCTCTTTTAATAACGACTTGCAAAGTTGAAGGCAATTCCATTTCCCCTATAACCCACTGTGGATTTCTTGATCATCTCTAGACCATTGGCCTAATTCGGAAGGAGGATAACATCCATTGGGTCAAAAGACCAAATACTCAACTCGTCCAGGTGAAATGCACGTCCCCTTTGTTCGCTGTTATAGCATAGAGATAGCGCTTGGCAGCTAGTATGCAAACGAAACGGCGTGGCGCAAAGGCCCATCGTTCTCGGAGAGTTCTCTTGAACGCCACGTGCGACTGGTCTTGATGTTCGATTCGAGAATGATTTAGCTCTACATCCAGGTCCAAACTCCCAATCTCTGTTTTATATTGGCCTTCAGGGCTGTTATTGGACACCAAGCTATCAGCGGAAATGCGGACGGTAAGTCTAAAAGACGAAAATCTGGCAGTACATAATATTTTCAGTGATATCCATGGATGTTACCTACCTTGGAACTCTCCAACTACATACAATAGAGCGAATCTTAATGGATAAACTGACCAATCAATATACGCATGGACTTTTGTATGTCCGATGATATTCGGGGTAAATTGTATCCATGGAGTCTAAGAACGAAAATAAAGACAGCGTGAGAAATAGAGAAAGAGAAAGAAGGCAAATATATCGAGGGATATAGCAGATTGGAAGTTAGCAAAAACAAGAGACCCCGAGAAGGAAAAGGAGAAGACTTCTGAGGATAACAATTCCGCCAAGAACAGATCACATAATCACCGCCAAGCTTTACTATCAATTTCATCTCATCTGCGGAGAACCTTCTATCTACGGAGTACTCCGTTCGTGCATCAAATTCATCTTACATTAATTCCCATTAAAAAATTAATCTGGCATTATACAAAAGCAAACTGTCTGCTTATAGCATACTGATGCCATACTTGTCTGACACACCCCCTGGGCCATCCAATGCATCGACGTTTCTCTTAGAAGGAGGCCCCATCGTGTGGAATCGTACTAAGGCATTTTTTTTTTTTGGATATAGACGTGACTTTAAGCGAAAATTGAACTATTTGCTGGATGGCGTTCTACTGCAGATTGTGGGCGCGTAGCTAGAGCTCGTTATTCTTCGCCAGCTCGAGATCTTAACCTATAGCTTGAACGTCGAGCTAAATCCTTTTCAAAATATTGAAAATGGACATTCGCCATAATGGGCTCATGGCTGAAAGTAATATAGTATTCCACTGTTAGACAATAGCAAAAAGTAAGTAAACTAAGGTACTTAGCTAGTTGCATATCGTGAAGTAACGTACCTAACTTAATAGTTAGCTGTTTATGGCCTAGCTTATCAGTCTATGCTTGTCTGACATTTCCTTCGCATACCCTGTCTGCAATCAAACGTCACCGGACAACTTGCTTATAGCAGTAAAGTCGATTGTCATAGATGTAACGATGTGCAGGGTTGCGGAAAGTCTCTCAACCAACAGGTGGCGATAACTGGATGATCTACAGGGGGCCATATTACACTTTCCAGCTTACACGTCAATTACAGCAACTGACCCAATGACAGTCGCCATATTATCCACGTATCAAGAGTACCTCGCATGTTGTCGATGAATCCAGCCTTGATCACTCGTCCCAGATGCCTTAGTTCACTTCTCCTTTGAGTAACTCCCCTCGTTTCTTCAAGTTCAATGAGACCATACCACTTGACTTGATGGGTAACTACTCCGTATCTACGCTGTAGTTTCCCTTGGCGAAAGTCGGATTTGTAACGAAGGTCAGATTTGTGCGTATAAAAAGCCCAACCCCAGCCTGCGAGAATGTAGGTAGTTGAAGATCCAACCAAAAACCCTACTCTATTTCATTCATATTCCACCGTACCTTCCCTTATCATGTTTGGCAAACTTCCATCTGTCACAACACTGCTGGCTCTCAGCCTGGGTGCTCAGGCAAGCCTAATCTTCCAGAACTCCGGCACACTTTCCGGCTGGGATGGAAAGAACCAAGAGCACCGCGGCACCGTTAAGGAAGTGACAGACGAGGTGTATGAGGGTAAAACCGCCCTTAAAATGACCCAAATCTACGACAAATCCTACTCCGGCCGATACCACTCTGAAGTTCGGAAGCACGATGTGTACAAGCGTGGCGATACGGGTGCATACGGTTTTTCATTCCGACTGCAAGACGACTGGCAATTCGAGCCCGTGCAATCCTACAGCATCGCGCAATTCATCGCCGACTTCACAGACAGCGGTTGTGAGGACTGGATGCCGACAACCATGATCTCGCTCAAGGGCGACAAACTATACTCGCGTGTCAAGGAGGGGACAGTCTGCAAGCAGAAGGTTCATGGTTTTAATGACCTAGCCACTGTGACTGCGGGTGAGTGGCACCGGATTGAGGTTGAGGCGAAGTGGGAATCGGATGGGACTGGATATTATGTATTCTGGTATGATGGGGAGAAGGTGTTGGATGAGCAGAACATCAGTACTACCATTGATGATGATCGTGCTTACGAGTTCCGGGTCGGTCTTTATGCAAATGGCTGGCATGATGATAAGGAGATGAAGGGTTCCCAGGGGACTAGGTCGATTTGGTATGATTCGATTGCTGCTGGAACTGAGCTTTCTGATATTTCGGCTGAAGCTGAGATCGGTGCTGGCGAGTGCTGATTTGGGTTCGAATATTTTGTATTTAGTCAGGGGTAGTATTGACGGAACAAGAAATGTGTTTAGCTGTTATTCAAGCAGATTTATGGCATGGTTTAATTCTCTTGAGAATGAATGCTCTCAGATCTATGCTACTAGAGTTACTCTTCGATCTGGATCGTAGAAAAACAAATGCATTCGATATTGTAACCATTTACATTCACTAACTGGCCATTAACCAGCTTATGGGGACATTCAATTGAAATTAACGGTCAATGTCAGCTCAGCCATCCGAATGGGTTACCTATATTGCACTAGTGCCACGAAGTTAAGGATCCAATGATTGTCAAAAGGTTTGCAAATGACATAAATTCTACATATCTTGTCATTTATAATCTGGAATAACAAGTTCGCCATAAGTACGGAGTACTCCATACAAATGCATTGTGTTATACTTTTGGCCCCCTATTCTGGGTATTTGGGGGGGGGGGGGGGGGGGGGGGGGGAAGGCCTACGCCGCGTGGAGTCCAATTTAGCACTGACATCATCTTGCATTGATATCGCCTTCACCTATTTATGTTGTATGCTAATGGCGGTTAGAATATTGCATGCTGATCTGAGGTGCTTTCAGTGGGGGTTTCTACTTGTAGATCACTCTAACTTTGGCTTCGAATATATACGATTCAGAAATCGTCACAAAAGACCTTGAAATTCTCCACCCCCAGATAGCATTGATGATACGTTTTCACGTCATCAGGATTAATAGTGAGTTCCTAGATCGGCATTGTTCTACCTCTACTCCGTAGTTCACCTCTGCATTCCTCCCTACCATCTCCTCCGCGACGAAACGCTCGAAAGCAATTCTGGATAGCCTAGTCATAGAGTCCCAGGCCAAGAAAAAGATCCTCGTAATCTCGTATTCTTTGAGCGCATTTTAGGAGGGTATCTAGGTTCTGCAAGATTTATTGGATCCGTCAACAGACCTGTACTCTGCTAAATATTATATTCCCTAGAGTGCGGGGACTAAATGTTAGGTGTTGCTAATTATATCCGTCGGGAGCTAACATTTCAGGAACGAGCTCCGAAGTCTAGAACAATTCGAAGCGAAATACGAGAAAATCTGCAGCGGAAAATAATCGAAAATATACGGTGCTGACATTAATTTTGATGTGCAGAAATCTAATGCGATTTCTCAGTTCGTATTCCAAGTCCCGAGGTCTGCACAGAATACTAAAAATAGATCAATGATATATTCTAATTAACCTTATATTGTCAAGCTATGTGGGTATTATTCTTTCATCTGGAGTGTCTTCTTCATCTGGCGTACATATTTCGCTTTCTTTGTCGAAATTGGAGGGAATTGCTTTCAACTTTGATATCTTTATCTCCCTTTTTGCAATTGAATATCTAGCTTTCTCTACAAAAACTATTTGCATGCAGTGCTCGAACACCTAAAGATAATCCTGGAGATTGGGAGTCACTAGACTATTTGGTAGAATTTCCTCTATAAGAAACAGATAATATTTCGCTTCAATTTGTATCTAGAAATCATCGGCCCTTCTACTGTCGCTAAAGCCGCTTGTGATTTATGAAAGAAGCTCTTTGTTCTCAATCGTTTCCCGCACCTAGTCGAGTCCTTGAATCTCTTTGACACCATAAGGAATGCGTGAGCGGGCTATGCATTATTCTGAAATGATGTTTCCTCAACAATTTGAACCTGAGCTGCCTTGAGAAATGAACGTTAGCAACCACCATTCTCTATCCAGTATATAGAATTTTTCCCCAACGCTCACCTTAGACTTGACCTCCATAACTGAGCTCAACCTTCTACTTCAAGTGATCTCTAAGGCATCCCATGCTTTATCACTCTATAACAAAGTTTTGTTCTTTGTTCATTCGTGCTCTTAGAATTGGCATCCTCGCCTACTCTTTCAGGAGTTCAAGTTACTTCTTGCCCAATAACTGCCACCAAATCTATATTTATCATTTTTAGTTCTTTGATCAAAGAAAAATGCCTCGGATTCTCATACACCAATGTTGTGGAGGGTGGAGACGTGAAAAAGATATAAACTAGCTGTGTCAACAGCTTGAGGCAAGTTTAGATAGATCATCACGAACCTCACAAGACCTTACGACAACGCTCTCAGGTTCATTCATCATGCTTCGCTTTGACGAAGAAGTTCTGGACTCTTGGGGTCCAGCAGTCTGGGGAGTTATCTTCGACCGATTACAAAGTGGAAACGTCAAAGGTACTGTGCTTCAGGTTGCCTGGCCAAGCAACGTCGACAAGAAAACACCAGCGCAACAGATCCAATGGGCCACCAAGTTGCCTCTTCCCCAGCTCCCTCAGCAGGCACTCGAGTTTATATATGAGAGAATGGTTGGTTTCTCACTGGGGATTCGATATATGGAAGAAAAGAAGATCCACGCTATTCATGGACTCTTAGAAGGTAATGGACCTCTCAAATCGAGTGTCGAAAGATGGCTCAAGCGCCCTGGCACCATTGAAAAGTGGAGGGATCTGATAAAGTCCTACCCCAGTTTTGAAGAGGCAATGGCCCATTTGTCGGATTGCAATACGTTCCCAAGAGAAACGGACAACCATCCATTCAAGACCAACCCTGCATACGATGCTGCAATGCAATGCTCTTCCTGCTTAGAGTTCCTGGTTCGTTTCGAGATTGTCAAACCCAGTGGATATGACTTATCAGGAAGAAATTGGCTTGAGGCAGGATTGAGTGGTCCCAATATGGACTTGCTCACCTTCATGGTCAGTAATGCCGATCCTCAGCATCTGATCAAACCCAGAGATATCAGAGAACCCCGCGAGAACCACATCCTACTCTCACTCGTCGGTGTCGGCGCTTTTTCTCAATGCGTGATTGCTCTGAACAGGCTACGCAAGGCAAACCTTGTGCCGGTTGAGGAACTCCGTACAATCCTCCACGACGCAGCGATGCATGAGTTTTGCGCTGTCGTACCTGTCGCCGTGGCAGAAACACTCTACCAACACGGAATCAACATCGGTAACGTCGAGCATCAGTATCACGAACTCGGCGGACAGTTAGAATCCTCCTGGCACATCGCAGCAGCCTTCAACCCCGCCGGAGCTGAGTTCATGGCCTGGCTCGATAAATTCTCCATGCTAAACGCAGAGGTCCGGAACTCAGAAAACATGAACCCGCTGATGTATGCCGCCTGCTTCGACGAGCCAGCCGCAATCGATTGGCTGTGCAAGAAATGCGATCCCCTACAACCCAGATTAGATGGAGGTCCACAGGGGTACGCCTTGATCTGCGCAGCTCGAAGCTCATACATCCACAGCGGCGAGATATTCGCCATCATCCTCGCAAACCTACCGAATTCACTATTCACCAACGAATACGGTAAGATCTTCGGCACCGAGATCGCCGAAGCAGTCGCATCGCACAGACGCAAGCTCGCCGATGGCCGAATCACTGAGCCCACACAGTCAGTGGTGGACCTTCTCGCAGTGCGCAAGATGCAAGCCCTCGTCCGACGCTTGCCTAATAGCTGGCCCGGCAGCGAATGGCACCTAGCGTTGGATGCTTTCCTGCGCGATAACGATCTGAGTATGCTCAAATACAGTATCGGTACGGGGACACGGCTGCTTCGGAGCAACACATCGCGGGAAAACTCGCGCCGCGGCTCTGTAGCCTATTCCAGGAACCCTCAGTCACGCAGGGCCTCTGAACACGATGTGCTGCTGATGTATGATCCCGGCGACGGGCCGTATCCTCGCGCGGATACTATCAGGAGGAATAGGCCCGCTCATATCACTGCTCGCAGTGGTGGGAGACAGACTCTGGGTCCTATCAGGGATCCTACCAATATGGTAACTAAGAATGTGCGCAAGGCACCGAATCGCCGAAGCTGAGAGGTTGTAGCTCGGCCTGGTACTGATAGAGGGATGGTCATTGCTTGTTGTAGGAGTACGGTTCCTGCTTTTGATGCTCTTTTATTTAGTATATCTGCTGTATTTTCCTTGATTTACCCGTAGTAGTCACATTTGTCGTTGCGTTCTTATTCAAATTCGTCGTCTGCTTACCCGGTTTTGTAGGTTTATAGTTTTGAAATTTATGAATAGATTCTTCTCGCATTCTTGAAACAGATCATTGTCTATTTCACAGCAGTCATTATTCCAATCAATATGCCTCTAGTCGCCAGTTATCAAAATAAACAGATTAACCCAGAGCGAAGATTGGATATGGACAAATCTACCAGTCAAGTGCGGTTGGTGAAGTACCGTTCTGCGATCTACCACTCACGCAGTCTAGCTCTTTGCACACTGATATAATTAGTAGATAGTAAATTCATATTGGAAGCAAAGCACTCACGTTGGTCCGCTTTCTGGAATAGAGTACTCCCTTCTGGCTTGTGCATGGCCGGGAGGATCTGACCTCCTTCGATCCGTTCGAGCTTTGTGTGCTCCTGGAGTCGGCTCAATATTCGACGAGTATCGGCTTAATCAAATTAAGCAATGGAAGAGCATTTTATATAGAAAGACCATACCTGTGTTATTAAACTCGCCCGAAGACCTAGTTGAAGGATTAGCACAGGTCATGTCGGACACAAGATATGATACAGTACTCACTTTTTCCTGGCTGAGATAGATTGATATTCAAGCTCAATCTCTTCAGTCAACTTCTTTGTCGCGCTCTGCAATGTTTCGGACATTTGCCGAATATTTGGTTCACTGACCGCAGAGCGGGCGAAAAGATCGTAGCGAGTATTTGTCTTGGACTCAGAGATTGGAAAGAAGGAAAGTGCAAAGAATAAACCTGTATCAAATGAATACATAAGTGTAATAGGAAATAAGAGGCACTCTTCCCGGGTGCTATTCCGCGTGATAGACTTGACAAGCCTCACGATGTGAGGGGGCCCTGATATTTTACGCATTGTGCGATGTAGCCCACTGATATAGACATCGAGCTGACGATGTCGTGCTATTAAACTGTTAGATATTGTCTCCATGGATTCTTTACCTTCGTTACTTACCTCCGATCTTCCAATTGAAGTCTCCTGACAAAGTCTGCCCAGCAACCCATGTGGATTTTGCTTCAAGGCCAGCTATGTGTGCAAATCCACGCAAAGTCAAAGCCAGCTCACTGTCAAATGCAGTGGGCTCACCGGAATTGAGATTCACAAAAATTAACCCTTGATCAGTGGTATACGAATGGACCTCAAACAAACTGTTCTTCGACTTATCAAACCCAGGAACATCATCAAATTGAGGAGCTTTCACCAGTCGACCAGTGGTATCATAGCTCCAGCCATGATATCGACAACCAAGAATAGTCGAGGCACCCGTCTCTTTTCTTGTAATAGTATAGGCACGATGGCGACAGACATTATGAAAGGCGCGGATCTTGTCGTCCTTGCCTCGGATGAGAAAGACTGGGAACCCAGCAACATCGAATGATTGATATGAGCCGGGTTTGTAGAACTGGGAGCTGTGGGCAAGGTAGAGCCATGTCTAGAGCTTCATCTTAGCGGTACCCTTGAGCCATATCGTACTTGTATTTCTGTTACCTGGCTGAAGAGCGCACGCCGTTCGAGCTCAAAGACTTCCCGGCTATTCCACCATCCTTCTGGGATCTCGGGTTCTTTAGATACTGTCAAGTCTGTGGTGTTTGGAGGAGTTACTTTAGTAAATCCAGTAACTTTGGCAGCTCTAGGTTGGGATAAATGAGCCCATGTTCGGTAGAATACAAAGAGAATTGCCACCAAAGCCACGAGGATGGATGCAGGAGAGGCTAGAGAATCCGCATCGGTAGACTCCATGAGATATAAGCTGCTGCTGTTTTGAATAATAGAAAATGGTTGGCACATGTCACTGATATACTTGTTCTGTCACCCCTCCACATTATACTCTCCACATTTAGCGCAGATGCCTCCTTATGTTACCCGATTGGGTTGGGATTTCCTGGCTGTATCACTCGGCTGACCGTCACTTCTAATTTTCGATCCTTTACGTTTGAAATTCACTTATACGGTGAGCTATGCAACATGTTTAAATAAAGTTGTATAACATTAATATTGATGAGCGATCACTACTCCGTATATCCCCAGCAAATAGTACTACGCTGCCATTTGAACTATCGAGGACGCAACATGCTGCTCCATTCCAGACCCCTTGGCTATCTTGCCGGTCCGATCAAATTCATGCTGTTCGCAGACCATATCAAATACTCGTCTCTGGTAGTCTGAGGGATATATGTATGTTAGGATTTTTTCCATGAACCAACTTTGAAAACTGCAACTCACAAGACACGCCGTTCTCCTTATTTGGGTTCAGAATTCCCTCGTGATAGACCCCCCTGGCTAGATTGCTCTGGGCCTTCTCGCAGAGCTCAAAGTCTTCCATAGCAACCTGACGCACGAATTTAAAATATTCTTCGAACTTGTCTCCGGATTCAAGATGGAAGTAATCGAATTCCATCCGGGTGACATGAGGGTCAGCGGTCGGACATACTCTGAAGCAGGACATACCACCGCCGTAGACATTCAGTGTGCAGTTAGGAAAGAAGTACAGGAAAAGACCATCATCTGACTTGTTCGGGTCCGCGATATGCTGCGAGAAATTGTGCTTGTTGCGCACGGTATAGAAAGTCGGAGGATAGTATTTGGAAAAGGACGGGTGGGTGTATTGGCAATGTAGACACTCTTGATATCCGTCGACCCTGACGAGAGTTAGTAACAACAATAGAAAAGGATAAGAAAGAATATCACATGGTTTTCCAGTTGAATCGGCCTTCATAGCTGATGCTACGGCGGTGCGGGAGCTTAGTGAAATCAACTTTACCGAGCAGCTCTTCGAGTTCTGGGAAGAATTCATGAAAGCCGGGAGCATCATCGGAAATAGTTGAAAAGAGTAGTCCGGTCGGGGTGAGATGACTGCGCAGTTCCTTGCCCTATATACAGCACAGCCGTTAGAGGTAACTTCGCATTTTACCTGCATACACGTACCGTTTTCGCGCAGACAACTTTCAGCTCCTCGGCCACGGGATTCAGAGCCTCTCCAGAAATGCGAACAGCAGAAATGGGCTGTTGCGCAACTTCGTATGGAACATGTTCGCCCACGACCTGGAATCTACTGACTGGGCCGAGCAAGTACCACGACTGGAGGACAGCTTAGTCTATATCAACTGCCAGAAGATTGCGTTACACACCTTGAGAAAGACCGCCCGCCGCTCCATTTGATAGAGTGGCTGACTGCAATACCAGGAAGCAGGCAAAGTGCGAGTGAGCTCAGACATGTTGTCAATGAAAGTGAGTAAATGCAAGTATCAAATAGACAAGGCTGAAGCTAACTGTGACGGCAACAGCGAAAGAGCAATTTTATATGGCCACAGATTGCCTTTGTGTGTTAATAGCGTGTTCCTTGACCTCGATTGATAGAAATGCATTTTTGAGTGGCAATAAGGTTGTACAGCATTCAGTGCATTGCGCTGGAGCTGTGGAGAGGTGCGGTATATTGTTTCCCAAACGAGTTATCGAGTCCCGTTGATGTCACGCCTGATCACGCGGCTAACTCACAGACCGGTGATATTCTGGCCATGCAAAAGCCCCAAAGATAGGCATAAGATCTCTAGGGCTGGTCTCTTAGGACCTTTGACAGCTGGCATAAGAGAGAATGGCGCCAATAGGGGGGATATCTATGAGGCCGGTATACCTAAGTAGGAACTTTTAGCCTGATTATGCCCGGGCTACCTTTACAGATGGAAGACATTAAGAATTAAAAAGATTGAGATCACAATGCTTGCTCTATGACAACAGTTGCTTCAATCATTTGCTGTCGTCTTCCAGTGGTGATTTAAATGGGTTTACCTATACTTGCATATACACAACTACATGAAAGAAACTCACGAAGGGAATACATTCGCAACATGAATTTATCACAGATATAGGGAGAGATTCCTATTCATTCTATTTGCCTCTTATGTTGAGGTTCATAAATTTGGCTGCCTGGAGGATCCGAGAGTGGCGACCGAAGAGAAGGAGAGCTGTCATTTGCATTCAAGGTGCACAATTCAAGAAATCAAACATCTCAACAAAGATCCAAACGTTTAAAAGAAAGAAAAGAGTGAAAGGAGACATCATCATAAGAGTCGTGGAGAAATCAGCCGACCTGTATCTTATCGGGCAATTACGTCGTCTCCAACTTCCAACTTTCCAACCTCCAAACTTCAAGTTGGAGCTTACAACACCCAAAGTTCCCAAATTTCTATAATGCGCCCGGTCAAATACACTCCTCCTTCTACGCCCTCACCTCCAGCATCTTGTTACGCCATGAGTGACGAAGAAGAAGATGAATACAACACTATTGCCCAGGCTGCCTCGAATAGAGGGGTGAAGCTGCTCTTCTCCAAGAGCAAAGTGAGACAATTTCCATCGAAGAGGAAGACCCAGCTAACAAGCGAATCCAGGTCTACGTTCATCCAACTTCCTCCTCTAAAGATAATATCCCTGGCTTTATCGCCCTCATCCAACAAAAACCTCTCCCCGCATCACATGCATCTGCGTCTCAACACAAAAACCCCGATACACCCTCCTATCTCCTCGCATGGGTCCCGGAATCATCCCTTGGAGAAGCATATGATACATATGTGAAAGTAGATCTCACAGAAGGGGACTCACCGCCGCGCCAGACGTACCTCGTTCCGCCGCTTCCGACCACCACTACCTACAAAGACCCCATCGGCTTGTATTCTTTTGCGGTTCCGCTATCAGAGATATACTCACTACTAGTACGACCGCCGAGCCTAGGATGGTGGTTTGGGAGCTTAGTGATCAATACACGAGCAGGCGATGGCTTCCCCGCTCTATTTTTCCATGATGACGAGTGCGAGTCGACCATCCTACAAAAGAGGAAGAGGGTGAAGGAAAACTTCGATCCGTTCGGCAATGAAGGGGGTTTGTTTTGGGGTGGCGATGAGGTACTGCGGTGGTTGCGGAGGTATGCGGAGGTGCAACGCTCCGCGGTGGACCGTAACGTCTACCTCATCAACCCGTCAGATGAGGACCAGCTATCCTTCGGCCGACCAGTGAGCCACGGCGATAAATCCATAATAGCAAAGGCACAGCCCGAAGCCGCGGGCGCCGGACCCCGAGCACAAGCCCCCGATGCCACCATGGATCCATTCATGAAGACTCTCAAGGAAACACGGTGGAAAGTGCTGGAGCAACTCAGCAAGATCACCACTTTTACCCGTCGAACTGCCAATGAGATCGCAGATAATCCTCGCATACCGCCTCAGATGCGCCGTCTATTGAAGAATCCAGAGATACAGACGTTACAAGATGAGTTCGACAGCGCCAGGGTCTATCTGGCTCGTTGGGCGATGAGTGTTGCTGAGCAGAGCGATAAAGAGCGAAATCAGCGTATATGGACTGCACAAGATATGCTGGAAATGGAGAATAGCTCAGTTGGCGACTTTGAGATCTTGGAGCTAGAGACCGGGAACCTGGCTATCCAGGAGCGGCGCCGTGTTCTCCAACTGCAAGAATGGAAGGGCTTTTTCGATCCGACTTCGGGTAGACTCCAGGTAACAGTGGAAGAAGTCAAGGAGCGGATCTTCCATGGCGGCCTGGATCCCAATGATGGCGTCAGAAAGGAGGCTTGGCTCTTCCTTCTTGGTGTGTATTCATGGGATAGTAGCCACGAGGAGCGCCAAGCCGTGATGAACTCTAAGCGCGATGAGTATATCCGGCTAAAAGCAGGCTGGTGGGAGCAAATGGTCGAGGGCAACTCCACGATTGAGCAGTTTGATAATTGGAAAGAGCAGAAGAACCGGATAGGTGAGATTACACACTCGATTCGAGATGACGGCTATTAACACATGAATACAGAGAAGGACGTTCACCGCACCGATCGTACCATTCCTTTGTTTGCGGGCGAAGACATCCCTCACCCGGATCCTGACTCTCCTTTCGCCGAGACGGGTACTAACGTGCACCTGGAGCAGATGAAGGATATGCTCTTGACTTACAATGAATATAACCCAGATCTTGGGTATGTCCAGGGGATGAGCGATCTCCTCGCACCAATCTACGCTGTGATGCAAGATGATGCCGTCGCTTTCTGGGCGTTTGTTGGGTTCATGGATCGGATGGTATGATTTTTACGCAGCGAAGCCATACTCCTTAGCTAATTCGGATTTACAGGAACATAATTTCCTACGAGACCAGTCTGGAATGCGTGGCCAACTATTGGCCCTGGATAATCTTGTCCAGCTCATGGACCCGCAGCTCTACTTGCATCTGCAGTCTGCCGACAGTACCAACTTCTTCTTCTTCTTCCGCATGCTGCTGGTGTGGTACAAACGGGAGTTCGACTGGGTCGATGTCCTACGTCTATGGGAAACTCTATGGACCGATTATTTGTCTAGCAGTTTCCACCTATTCATTGCGCTCGCTATACTCGAGAAGCACAGAGATGTAATCATGGATCATCTCAAGCACTTTGATGAAGTGCTGAAATACAGTACGTGGAAATATGGACGTAAGATTGATTTCAAATTACTAACGTTGCAAATTTCCAGTCAATGAACTTTCAAACACAATGGATCTCGTGCCAATTCTCACCCGTGCGGAATCACTCTTCCACCGTTTCCAGCGTTCTGTGCAAGCCATCGATAAGAAGGACAACCTCCCCACCGCGCCTACCGCCCACCGTCGCCCAGGCGTAGCCGGTCAAGGTTCACCTTCAGGCAGCATGGGGAAGTCACCCCAGCCTGCTGTGGGATCAAGCAGCGGAGTCAACGCTGGCCCCTCTAAGCTTCAAAAGGCAATAGATGCCGACAAGCCAAAGGTGATTTCTCCAGAGTTACGCCAATTACTTCGCAAAGATATCCCCTGGAAACGCCAACCGACTTCCTGATTGACATCAGGTGCTACCTATGATGTTTGGTTTGGATGTCTGGTTTGACATGGAGGTAATTTCTCTTGCACTGTTTTTGAATCCTTAGCTATTCACGATTTACGATTGCCTCATGTATATTTTGCTTGATTTCTTCTTTTCACGACTCGATTTCATGGAGTAAAGGGACATGGGTCAGGGTGTTGTGCCATATTGCACTTTTACTTTGGAATGAATTATGCAATGTCTTCATACACCCCCATTTGAATGCAAGATCTTTATGGGCTCTAGTCATAGAGATATCCACATTAGTTAGGTGTCGTATAACTACTCTAAGTATCCAGATACTTTAAAACAGGAAACGTGCTCATGCCGTCCGTTCAGGCCAAACGTGAGAAACCAATCGAACAAGACAAGTTAATTTGTATATGTAAGGCAAATAAGAGCGTCGACCTCGATAGACAAAGACAACCACCCAGGTCCTCCCCCCAAACAAAACTTTTCTCAGGGCTCCCTATCTCGCGAGCTGAAGCCCCACTAGGACACTGCGTAGGTAGCGTCATTCAGCGAAGGATTTGTTACCGAGCAACCTGGCGGAGAGCAACTTGGGCCGGTTGATGCCTCCAATCCCCTGTAGTAGTTAGCACCTCTTCAAACTGAGAGTCAGATAGGAATACTCGTTGATAACCGGCCCATGAGGACATCAGCCGCGAGCTCGTTTTTGTCCTCGCGGACAGCCATCTTGTTCTTGTCTATCCCGGTTTGGATTCGCGCGATCAGCGGCATTCCTGAGCTGGGCTCCCCGGTCTACCTTGGATGATAGACCGGGGAGTTGTAGGAAGGAGAGTGTGAATGCGCGGTTGAGGTCTATTTATACAATTAGCTCCATGTATGAAGATGATGAGATCGAAGGATTGGCCTTTGAAGTCTTTTAGTCTTAACTCATTTGTCAGATTTCAGATAGTTCATCGGCAGTTCGGTCTTTTGATCATCTTTGTCTTCGGTAGGATGTATCGGGAGTTCTTGGGAGTAGACTTGTTGATAAGTTATATTGACTTCCCATTTCTCTTGCAGATTGTATGCGAGACCAGAATACTTACTCTGTCTTGAGATGTGAATAGCAACTGAGAGATATCTCAGTCAAGGATTCAAGTCCATATATGGTTGTTTGCTATTTAATGAACGTTTGACCCGGTCTTATCACTCAGTGGTTTGCTTTGCAGGTGTACAATATTCTTACCAGAAACTTCTTTTCACTTACCTTTCACTTTCTGAGACTACATTAAGTAGTTTTTATATTGAATCGTCCTTCTCTTCGCTTTCTCTTTCTCACAGCTCAGTTACTCCGATCTTTTACCATCCTCGCAGTCAGCTTCCAAGAAGGTCAAGGTAAGTGAAGGCCTTCTAATACTTTATCTGTGTGCATTGAACTAATATCTACTTCTATAGCTTATATATAGAGACTTATTTGAAAACTCAGTTCAGTTATATAGTCAAGCAGGTTCATGGAGATGATGCCTCAAACATAAACTTCTCCCCTACCTGCTTTACACCTGCTTTACAGCTTAGGCCGCTGGTACCATGCCGGCTCCCGGGGAACTTTCGAGTGTACCCCGTTCCAAATTGGGTGCCATCAGGATTCCAGCGAAAGAACCGATTGTGAGAACTACGCAGAGCAGGGGACTGCTAGCAGATTCCGGTTGGCGTTGAGGGTCATAGATTAGAACTCCTAGCTCTTTTGCCTTGAGTACGTCTCTTTTGGGTTATCTCTACCGTCGATTCTTCCTTCAGGGTGAATGCTCTGCCAGCCTCGGTCCTCGATGAACTCGCCCCTTATGTTGATCGCCTATGTTGTTCGTCTGTCTCCTTCATTAACCACCACATCGATGGCCACGGTTTGCAATCTGGCTGCCCGGTAAGTCTCAAGCCCCATTACCTATTTCTCTTGCTAATCCTGACACCTCTTATCCAGCTCATCACCCCCGCTACCTACCGTACCTTATTACAGAACCGCGTCTTGCTCCCTCGTATTGTTCCCTCCTATATTAGCGCCATTGAGAGACTAGCCGAGTCCGCTGCTGGTCAATACCGTAGCGAGGGGACTGAAGACAATTGTCATTTCTGGTACAGCGCTATTGCCTCTTTCCAACGTGATGTCACCCGAATGGCGTTCGATGCCACCTCCTCCAATGATATTGTGCGTCACGGAGAGATTTCGCGCGTTGTGGACCGTTTCCCTGTGGACATTCTTCCAGCGGAACCTCGTTAGGGTCCCTACTTTCTCCTTCTTCCGGTGCCTTCCTGTTACTTCCTTTCTTTGCTTTCTGACGAAGTCCCTACCTTGCTCCAGGAACCGTTTTGGATCAAGCTCCACCCTACCCCAAGCAACTGAATGATGTAGCTGAGATTATGAATCGTCATCTGTGGAGCCAAATCCCCGGAAGCCAACGCTGTCGAAGCGGCCGCCCAAGACCACGCATGGGTTCTGCGAGGACCAAGAGCCCATTCGAGAGGACACAGATCACATTGCGAAGATGAACAAGAACGCGCAAGCAGTTCCGTAGTCGCTATCATGTCAGAATATACCCTCCGAGATACCTTCGAAGAATATCTCCTTGATGGCATGAACTACACTATGAATCGTCTCTTCGCATCGAAGATTGGTACCGAAAATGTCGCGCCCGTTTCATCGACAACGATCCCACTTTGCCAGTTACAGGACCAGGAAATACCTATCCCTTCTATCGAAAACAGTATATCCTCAACTGATGGGGATATATCTATGATACTGAACAACCAGGATAAAATCGAATGTTTCCTATCAGATACTCGGGACAGCCATATATCCGTCCCGCTACTGCAGTTTGATACCTATGAGCACAATCAGCGAATAAAGAGGACCGACTGGATTCTCAGCTGGCAATTGTGTCCCGGGGTATCAAGGAATCCCTGCGCGCGAATCAAGCCTTTGACGAGTGCTGCCAGAGGTTACTCCGATATCCCCTGCACACCTCTCTCCTTTCCTTCGTTTCCTATGATAAAACACCTTTATCTAACAAGAACAGACGACAGACCAATGCCATTGTACAATTTCCATGAGCCCAGGAAAACGCAACGCCCACATTTATGTGGACCTTATTTCGGGCATGCCAATTGAGGAGATGAACGTTTTGGGAGAAAGAGTGATTCTGGAGAACAGGGGCCTAAACCCAACTTCTATCGACTACCTCCTACTTTAAGCGAGACTTTAGGTCCAACCCCGGAGGCCGAACTCGCTGCCAAGGAAACGCAGATGGGCAAGCTGCGGCAAGACAATGCCAAGATTGCTGGTGGCCTGCAGGCCACAAAGAAGCCCTGGCAAAGGCTGATCACGATTTGGAGGAAACCGAACGCGTGGTTCAGTATGTGCAGCAGAGAGCAGAGGGACGGTTACCTACGGGCCGGCAAGAGGCTGTCGAAGAAGCACATCGAGAAACACAGTTTACAAAGAATCCATATTACGGAGGGTGTAGAAGATATAATGCAATATGAAACTGTAAATGTAAATATCATTCTATCAACCAGATAGCTGTAGGGTATTGTTGAGCTCTAACACCACACCGAATCCCGCAAACACAAAACCAAGTGAGAACAGATTCGCCACGCTGATGCAAGTAGAAGAGATAAAAACCCGAGATATAAAAGGACGGTGTCAAAGATGTACTGCCAATGTCCATATGTCCAAGAGCCCGGGGCTCAGGATGCGAATAAAAATGACTGCGCCATGATGGGTACAGCGGGCAAATAGAAACATCGAAAAATATGGCTATCAAAAAAAAATATCAAAATGTATATGCGAGGGATCACATCTGTCGAAGTTCACGGCCTGCGAGATCCAAGACCTTTCAGTACGACCCGTCTGCTTGTGCCGATTGACCCGATATCGCCAATGCTGCGAACTTTGGGCAAGGAATGTCCAACCACGCTGCCGTCGCCAATACTAAATCGGTCATCGGCAACGTGGTCTGGCTGCATGCTCAGTGCGAATTGAGGTGGGTTATGAGAGCTAGAGCGGCGGGTCTTTTGGAGAATACCTGCAACCCAGGCTTCACCCTCTGGGCTCATGGATTCGTACCGAGCACGCGGTTTAGGACCAGCTAAGCCCAGCGGAGTGGAACGGGATTCGTTGGCCGTGGAGGCAGAAGCGGTGTTAATGGGGGAGTGGGCGTCTCCGACCGAATAGGTGGAAGACACCGAAAGACGTCTGCCGGTCGAGGAAGGGAGATGGGCGACAGCGGGTGGGGGTGAGGTGAAGGAGGGTATGTGGCCTGTAGTCACTGCTCTGGTGCCAATTGCATCAGACGCAGTTGAGCCTCGTCGTTTCTTGTGAACGGTAAGGGATGAAGGTGGCCGAGCACTGAGTACGGATGGTGGTCGGGAGGGGGTAGCCCGGCCGGAGGTAAGATATGTGGTAGCCGGGGTCAGCATAGTACCCGGAGAAGTGTAAGATGGCGAAGAACGTGATTTTATGCCCTGCACCTCCACACGGGGCGTTTCAGACACCTTACGGCGACCATGATGAATGACATACTCGCGAAGATATTCGCCGAGGTCAGCCCATCCACCGCCAACACGAACCATCACACGCTGCCCCTCTTCACCAACGGTGCGAACGAACAGTTTTGTTGGTGCAGATTGGCCCCCGTGGTGGAGGTGATAAAGTTTGACACAGCTATCCTCTGTCTTGAAGGCGTGAGAATGCCGTCTCCGACCAGCGGGCATCAGCATCATAGAAGGCGCTGGAGTGCTGCTGCGAGTTGGACCGGTGGGAGATTCAGATCCGTGCCGCATGCGTCGGTCCAAGGATGAGGATGATGAGGATGTGTCTACTTCGTGGTTGGAGTCCACCATATGGATGTGACCAGGCAACGAGTTGAGAATCGAGTTGATCTTTTCGTCCAGCTGGTCCCGCGGTTGCTTGTTGTGTTTGGTTGGCGAGGAAGGGCGGAATCCGAAATCGGTGCGCTCAGATTCATGCTCTTCTACATATGACAGCTCTTGTCTCTTCACACCCAGGCTTTCGAGACTTGGATGGGCAGTGAGTCGCTGCCGCAATCGAAGAGACTTGGGCTGAAGAAGGTGCTCCATGGCTCTTCGCGCGGAATTCATCCCAAATGTCTTTTTGTTTCGTTCCGCAATCTTTGCCATCTCGTTCTGAGATTTCAAGTCACTTGCAGACTTCCCCCGGGACAGTTGATGGTGGCGAGTAGGGAGACGTGGAACCGGTGGGATAGTTGCAGCAGAAGTATCCTGGAATGTGATTTTGGTTCTTGTCTATGATAATCAATTAAAAATGAGCATTTAACCAAATACACAATCGGTCCACATACCTTTGGGGGTTGGGGGAAGTCGGCAGATGTAACAGAGCGTGTCCTAGTCCTAGACGGGTTCACACTAGCTACACCTGGCGCCGACTCACTTCCCAGGCCCAAATCCAAGCGTTCGTTGATAAACCGCTCGAGGGGAAGGCTGACCGCGCGACTCTGCTGGAAAGAAATTCGCGGGTCAGGCTTCTGGTTTTCTAAGTGACGCAGACGATCCTCTCTCAGGGTATAAGCCCCATGGGAAGGAGGATGTATGGATTTAGGGTGGGATACTGTCCCAGCAGGCGTTCCATGAGAGGAAGCAGTGCGCGGCTCAAGTGCCTCGGGGCTAGATATGAGAGAAGAATGGTCTGAAAGCAAGGAGCCCACAGATCCAGTAGATGTCCGACGACGATGGGTGATTTTGTGCGTCGCTTTACCATCTTTGTCGAGTACCTTCCCTGACCGGGATTTGGACAGTTTAATAGGGCTCTGTAGCGGCTTGCGAACAGTTCGTTGGCAAGGCTCTGCTGTCCCTTCATTGGACGGCGGGTGAGACTTAACGGGCGTATGGTTTGAACCCGACTTAGGTGACGCCACAGCCATGGGTATTTGGGAAGCCCTACCAGACGTTCTTGATTTCGGTACTCGGATGTCTGACCTGCTCGGTGTGAACACCGGGGAGACAGTTGCTGCTACCGGAGTATCAAACTGATTCGGTTCACTCGGCCTGTTCGGCGACTTAGGATCTTGATCAACAGGGGAACTAATGGTTTTCGGCTCAGAAATGGGCTCAGTTGGGTTGGAGTGTGGAGTATGCGGCTTTTCCTCATCACCGGATTTGGTTTCTATTTCATCCGGCACCGTATCACGAGGTAAGTCTGAGAGACTATGAGAGGGATGGAGCTCTTTAGCGGCGGGTACGCCCACAGAAACGATTAGATCGGGATGCTGGTCTTCCATTTCAGGTGTAGCGGAATGCTGAAGCAAGGGGTCTTCAGCTAGAGCCTTGTTCTCGGACAATGGACTCGGTTTTGTCGAAGGTTGGCCGGGTGGTGACATAGCTACGTCGAGTTGTTGGAAGCCGGGCGGAGGAATGTTTTCCTTGTTTTCCAAGGTGCGATCAATCGCACAAGGCATATTTTCAGGGGTCGAAAAGAGCTGTCGACTGATCGCAGAAGCTGAAGGAAAGTCGGACTGTGTTGGCGTGTCTATGTCCTCTGCCACGGCCACAGGTGTGAGATCTTCTTGCTTCTCTTCGATTGGAGGCTTTGCCAGAGATATCGAGAGTTTTAGGTTTGGCGAAGAGTTCCCTTCAACACAGTCTGTAGGAAGCGGCGCTTCTTCAATAGGCAACGTCGATTGTTCAATAGATTGTGGGATGGTTGATCTCGCGTCATCGGACGAGAGGCCGCACTGGATTTCACGCTCGGGTTCGACGGCGGGCTCCTGGGGGGAATGGAGATCATCTGAAGGTTCCGATACAGCTGTATCAGGCGTTGGGTCCTGCCCTGCTTCCTTCGATGACTCTGCACGCTGGAGGTCGGCTGCACGCATCGCGGCCATTTCAGACTCGGCTTTTGACCGCAACCACTCATTGTGAACCTTGCATTTATCAGCCTCCACCACCCATGTAGCAAAGTCAGACTCAATGGCTTCTAAGTCATCAATCCATTGTTCGGGCAAAGAATCTGGACGACCCTCCAACGCGTCGAGGATTCGGTCCATTCGCCTCCCCACGGCCACAACTGCGGACTCAAGTTTGACATGCTCGGCAGCTAGGGATGCATCGGAGGATTCGCTCGAATCGGAGGCAGAAGAATGTGGGGTTTGTAAGGCGTGGAGGGAGGAGTCAAGGGCGGAGCGGGTCAAGCTGAGCTCTCTCAGCAGCCCAGGAATTTGGCGTAAAACATGAAGGCGAACTTCCCAAGTGGCAAGTAGGGCGTTCAGTCGCGATAGATATGGAAGAGCTCGCAGGATAGTTGCGGTAACGACAGCCGTAAAGTCACTCAGCTGTACATAGCTGAGCGGTGGAGGCACGGACACGCAGCTCGTGGCCGACGAGGGCCGAGACCTTGATGGAATGTGGGCATTCAAAACGTGCTCCTTCAATTCTTCCACGTTCAGATCATCCATTCCATCGCGGATTTCATCGGCTCTGCTCTCGTATCGCTCGACCACGCTGGCCAACAAGCTTCCATAGTAGCTTTCTTGGGTGTTGCTAGGGGAAGCCGAGAAGTCCGGGGTGGGATTGCCGCCAGAACTCGAGGTAGATGGAGGAATGAACCCCATACCAACCTTTGCGTCGCGTTGGTTTGGCCAGTCCCATGACAGAACCTCTTTATGCCACAGATTCAAGTTTTGGGCAGCTACTGCAGCGCGTATTCCTAGGGCGCGTTCCGAGGGCGATACCTGGGAGATGCTCCGCGAGAGGATATCATGGGCGGCTTGTTCGTTCGAAGGGACTGCATCGGTCGATGTGAGGGCTTGGAGGGTTGATTCGGGGGAGAGATTGCTAAGGAGAGGGTCGAGTTGTTGGTAGATGGAGCTTGGGATTCTTTCAAATGAGGCTGAACGCGAATTATTTCGTGTGTGGGAGGGGGAGAGGCGGATGGAAGGGCGATCCGGATTTATTCGACTGGTTGCCATGCCGAATAGATGTCCAGCCTAAGCTGGGGTTGTAAAAGTCACAGTGAGCCTCGACTGGCTCGAGGGTGGCATGTAAGTGACGGACGTCGGAACGAGGGCGGGAAAGAGGACTGTCGAGCCCGCATGCTGAGACGCGCGTCTTAAGAAGTGCAGAACTTGGCAAGCAATAAGCTCAAGCTAGAGATTGAAGAGAGAATAAAGAAATAGAAAAATAGAAAAATGATTGGAAATTGAGGAGAGGTCAGAAAGGTACAAAGGTGAGAGAAGAAGCGAGGGAGTGCGGAGAGAGAGAGCGAATTGGGTACTAATGAGCGAGGGGAGAAAGACCTGCTTTCTGATCAGATTGTGAAAAAGGCAAAAATCAAAAGAATCAAAACAATCGGAAGATTTTCTGATTATTTTTGAATTGGAAGTGGATATCCAGGGGAGAAAGGTGCTAAAGGTCTTTTAGTGGAGTTGCCGAACGAACCATTGAAGATTGAAGATCCGCCTTTAATATGGGGGAAATTACTATTTCATGATTATTATTTTATATTATTTTACCATCTTGCATATCAAAGGGCTGAAAAAAAAGCAATTCTTTAAGGCTCTAAAAGAATAGTTATATATAAAAAAATAAGGCTATTTGAAAATAGTCTCTATAGACGCAAGGGGAATATGAATATTCAATTATTTCCTATCTCCCATGATATCAGATATGGATACAGGAAAATCAAAATAAATTACCCTATTTAATCAATTTCTATCACTATGTGATCACCATGGCGTTCTCGGAACTAATGCCGTACAATATCAAGATCCAGATCTACAGAACTACAGAAGTATCTTCTCTACCAACATCATATCATGCAAGGGTTTCGCTATCGCCCAGAACTTTTAGAAGGTGTTCCTGAAGAGCTCACCTACACGCTCAAGCAATATGAAGACTGGTTCTTGCTCGAGCCTCCAAAATTGAAAATGATCTCCGATCACTTTGCTCAGGAGCTGGAGAAAGGTCTGACCGTTGAGGGTGGGTCTATTGTCAGTACTAGCCCGGGATGGATATCGAGTAGAACTGACTGAAATATTGACGTGATGAAGCCCATGAACGTCACATGGATCATGAGATACCCAACAGGACAGGAGAAAGGACGCATTCTCACAGTTGACCTGGGAGGAACCAATATCCGTGTATGTGACGTCTGTCTTTCCATAGGAAGGCAAGACTTCGAGCAACGTCAACGGAAATACAAGCTCCCGGAAGAAGTCAAGACAAGCACAAAAGAAGTTCTGTGGGGGTTTATTGCGGACCGAATCGAATCGTTCCTCAAGGAAAATCACATTGAAGCCAGTGCTTCAAAGCCACTACCGCTGGCGTTCACATTTTCATTCCCGGTGGAGCAAAAATCTATCCGCAGTGGCATTCTGCAGCGCTGGACCAAAAACTTTAATGTTCCCGATGTGGTAGGGCATGATGTAGTACCTCAGCTGGAAGAGGAACTTGCAAAGAGGGTAAGCTCACGTTGAAGACCAACTCTGAGTCGGAGCTGATCAATCTAGAACGTCCCAGTGAGACTAGTCGCCCTCATCAACGACACAGCGGGGACCCTTGTCGCATCACATTACCGGGATCCGCAGGTTAAGATAGGTAGCATTTTCAGTACTGGTTGCAATGCAGCGTACATGGAAGAATGCCGGTTGATCCCCAAGTTACGTGGCTCAGGACTACCGGAAGATGCAACTGTAATCATCAATACCGAGTATGGTGCCTTTGATAACGAGCGCAAGGTGCTGCCTTTGACTCCATTTGACCGCCAACTCGACGCGGAGTCCGCCCATCCAGGCACGCAAATTTATGAGAAAATGGTGGCTGGCCTATACATAGGAGAGATGCTGCGCTTGGTGATGTTGGCAATGCACGAGAAAGGTATACTCTTCAAGGGCCAAGATGTATCGCGTCTTCGGACCGCCAACTCATTAGAGACATCGTTTTTATCTAGTGTCGAGATGGACATTTCAGCCGGTCTAGCCGATATGAAAGGGGTGTTCAAGGAAAGACTCAATCTGGACCTCTCGATGGACGAGTTGAAGGCGTGTCGTCATCTTATCGGCCTTATCGCGATGCGAGCGGCGCGTCTCTACGCGTGTGGAATTGCGGCCATCTGCAAGAAGAAAGGGATCCGTCAGTGCCACGTTGGGATCGATGGCTCAGTGTTCAGTAAATACAGTATGTTGAAGGGACGAGCAGTCCAGGGTCTTCGTGATATTTTTGATTGGGATCCAGAGAGACTGGATTTGATTGCTCTAAACTCGGCTGAGGATGGCTCTGGAGTAGGAGCAGCGTTGGTTGCGAGTTTGTCTCTTGGCCCGGATGAACTCCCAGATTGTAACACAGACGAATATATGTAAAAGTGAATGCCATCGAGTTCGAAAGATTTGAGAAGAGAGTTGTAGATGTGAAATCGTCATCTCCGCCATTGATGATAGCGATAAGCACTTTAGGAGCCCTGGAGGTTCCAAGATCCTTATCCCTCCATCAACTCGCACAATGCGGTTCCGAACACAATTAAAAGACAGCAGGACCTTCTCTAGTAAGTCTAAATATTTAGATAAAGGATCCAAGCTAACTGGATTAGAGCTCACGGCATCACTGTCCTCGCTGGGCAAGGTATGTTGGATGCGCCTGGAGTACGAGGTGGTCCGCTTTACCATCATACCCGACCAAGGCACACAAGTGTGGGCATCAATACCAGTCGTACGCATAATGATAATAAAACCAATTAATAATCTGATCTACATATTGACCATCTACCAGGGAACTATTTTCGATGAGACGACCTACGAGCTAGAATCCAATTCCGACGCAATCAACATCGAAGTCAACATCAGCGTCCTAAACCGAGCTCTACGATCCGCCTGGGGCTCAACACATACACAGCTCCGCCTAACTAAAAAAGACAGAACCCCCCTCTTGGCATTAACAGTCCTCTCATCAGAATGGACAGACGGAAACATGGCCTTGGCCACCAACAATGACGCAGATCGCTCTGGCGAGCCGAACCCAGCAGCTCTAGCCGACACAACAGGCGATCGAGGGCCACGAGAGCGCCAGACATGGATCACGCAAGAAGTCCCCATCAAGATCCTCCACGAGTCAGCAGTCGAAGGCCTGCACGAGCCCCACTGCCCAGACCCGGAAGTACACATCGTTCTACCCAATCTAGCGCAGTTGAAGAGTATCTCCGATCGCTTTACCAAACTCGCATCTACAGATAGCAAAAGCCGACAGCCGGGCGTGATGGCGCCCGATGCGCCGGGGATGCATTCTGTTTCTTTCAGCACGGCGGGCGCTGCGACGGCACTGTCCACCAATTCATCTCCTAAGCTTGAATTATCTGCTAATATGCATGGCTCGCTACGACTTGCTATTTCTACGGATGAGTTGCGCATCGCGAGTGTCTGGTCTGATCTTGTGAACCCGCCTTTGGATCCTGCGCAGATGAGTCAGGAGCAGATGAGCCAGCTTCCCAGTGAGCTTAATCGGAAGCGGGAGGCGAGTGAGGGATCCGAGTCTGGCTGGGCTAAGGTGCGGATTGATGGAAAGGATTGGAGTCGCGTTCTCAGTATTGGAAGACTCAGTCCTAAGGTTGTTGCCTGTAAGCCTTTTTTTATCATGATACTTGGGATTGCTGCTTGCTGGTGCAAATACTGACTCGATTTTCCATTCGTTATGGACAGGCTTCGTCAATGAAATGGCACTGGTTCTTTACGTTTATCTGCCAAGTAGTGGGGAGGGAGAGGAATCTTGTTTAACGGTATTGCCCCAACAATGCATCCCTCGAACAACCGAGCGTACTAATAGTCACGTTTCAGTATTATATCAATTCATTCACCACATGATAATGTGGTAAAATATAAGCTACGATGTGCATATTCCAAAGTTTCAGGCGTTCAAAGGTCGGAATGAATTATTAAAAATCGTTATTAAGACAGGTGCATGTCAGAAGCCATGCAAGAAAAAGCCTCCAGTTCCGAAAATTCCAGCAAGCAATAAAATGCTAGGCGAGTATAGAGTAACAAGGCGAGGAGGGTGGTATACACAATGCCAGGAGTACGAGCCCTTCAACTCCATGGATGAGGCCGCGCCAAAGAACAGCAAAATTCAAGCTATGTGCAAAAGCAAGGCTTCGAATGACGTTCAGTGAGCGATAATGCAGAGAGATGGCGTGTCTGCCGGGGCAAGAAACAAGACACATGCAGTATGCTGGTCCAAAGACAAATCAGGTAGTAAAACCTGAGCAGCGGGTTATATTATTCAAGGGTAGGGGACGCAATTCATCAAGGAAATCATGCGATAACAAATAAAAGGCATAACAATGAAACAAAGATAATGGAACAAAAGAAAAGGACATTACAGCAGTTAGCAAGTCGGGAGACTGGTAAGCACTATATCATCGACCATCGAAATGAAGTCAGATGATCATTGGGCCATCACGTCAACGTAACGGCCCTTCTTCTTGCCGCGAACCGTGTTTCCCTTGCGCGCCTGAGGCGCACCGATCAAATCGTCGATTGAGCTAGCATGAGTCAAGGACGAAGACGGCCGTGGCGGACCGCTGGAACTACCAGGCGGTGTTGGCATAGCCGCTCCCGTAGAAACAGACCGAGGGAGAGGCTGAGGCGCGAGACCAGAGAGGCCAGGGCTGGATGATAAGAAAGGTGGGGCGGCAGCGGTTGAGGAAGATTGAGGCCTGCTGCCAGAGACCGGCATTGGGGGCATCGGAGGCGCACCGTTCGGTGGCATGCTACCCGAGCTCGCAGTCCGACTAGGGGGAGCGGATCCTCGGGGCGGAGGCGGGGTGGCACGGACAGGGGCACTGCTACCGGGGTCCTTCTTGTTGACCCATTTCTTTAAATCCTTGTCGTAGTAAAACGAGCTCTCTTCGCCAAGTTTGGCTCTGATAGGACCGCCACCCGAGTTGTTTTCCTCTTTCTTCGCTCCACCGAACCAACCACCAAACCAGCCCTTCTTGCCAGATTGTTGGGCACCCTTCTTAGCTGTAGCAGAAGTCAGATTAGCAAGTGAGATAAGCAACGGGAGTTCTTGATACATACCATCTTCCTCGGCAGCTTTCGCGAACGCTTCATTTGCTATGCGATCGTTCTCCGCCTTTTGGATAGCCGCTGCCCGGGCAGCCAGATCGTCATCATCATCATCCATGATTGACTTCTTCTTTGTCTGCTCTGCGGTAGGTGGCATATCCTCGTCCTCGGCGGCATATCCCATGTCTACACCAGCCGCGACCGGCTCGTAAGAAGCCGGTTCGTAAGAGGAGCTGGCAACGGGAGGTGCGTAGGGTGACTCTGAGTCTGATATACCAACCGGCATACCAGGAGGGCCTTGGTAGTAAGGGGATTCGCTGGCTGTGGCGGCCTGTCCTGGAGGCTGGTAAAAGAGGCCATTCACCACGGGCTGTGCAGCCGGAGGAGCTTCAGCAGGTGATAGAGCTTCTTTTACTGGAGCAAGAGGGACGTAAGAGGACTGGGGTGGTGTTGGTTGATACCCACCTGCGTTTGGTGACCCATAGATTGGGCCTCCATACGACATCTGTTGATCAATTGAGGGTGAGAGTTCTTGTGAACTACGACGCTGTCCAACGGGCGGGAAGTACGAAGCAGATCTCTGAGAGTCCATTGAAGATCGGCCCTTGAACTGTTCAGGCGAGCCATTGGGCGCATATTGGCTCGATGGGTGATATCTGGACGGGCCATTAATAGCAATAGGCTGTACTCCGGCTGCTGTCCCAGGATAAGAACCGTATATATCAGACACAGAAGGTGAGCGGCTAATTGTTGGGGTCCCAGCCACGTTTGCAAAAGGTCCAAATTCCGCTTGCTCACCACCTTTACCGGAGCCAGTCGATGCAGCATCACTATCATCACCTGCCACGAAGCTATTGAAACGAGCCCACATAGACCCAGAGACCTTCTCCATGCTTGGTCTCGATATCCAAGAGCCACTATCGCTGGTTGTTTGGCGCAGACGTGCACATAGCTCTTCAACTTCCGCAAAGAGGTGTTGGTGATAGTACGGCGAAGGACGAGTGGTTGCTTTCAATGCCGATGCCACTGCGTCACAATAGGCTTGCGCTTCCGAATTGCGACCCTGGTCTACGAGGCACCTGGCATTCAGAATCTTAAAGCCCAACAGGTGTGGCAGATGGGCGGCTGAGGAGTTGCCGAGCACAGATGTAGCATACTCGTACGCCTCAGTGAGCAGGATAGCATCTTCATCCATCAAGGAAGAAGGGCAGCGCTGATGGTCGGCACCAAGGAGAACAATATTGGCCTGTGGATCATCTGGGCCACCGAAAACAGCAGCATGTGAGAAGATGTAACAAACGTGAGCTGCTTCTGTCCGTCCATAAGAAGTAAGCAGGCGGCCAAGGGCAAGCAGTGCCTGGTGATCCTCAGAACTTCGATTACTCAAGACCAGCCCTAGGGTATCCTTCCACTTATCTAAACCCTCGAGGGCATTCTTAGTGGAGCCCTGACCATCGGCCTTGCTGATCAACTGCAGACCTGCTCGAGCAGACGGGGGCACGAGTTCGTCGATACTTTCTTCGATATTACCAGCGAAGATTTCGTAGAGGGCTGCAAGTGACTCAGTGTTTGCGGCTTTGGATCTGACCTCGCGGCGGACAAACTCCTGCGTGACCTGCTTCGAAATCGACTTGTCCATGGTGGATGAAAGGATCATTGCATGTCCCCAAAGACGTCGGTCGACAGCACTCCATACGGCCTTCTCCCGATCACCACGGATCAAGTGCAAGCGAAGCTCTTCCAGCCACTTTGCATCAACAGCATCAGGTTGCGAAGGCATTTCCGAAGGGGTAAGCCCTCCCGCGGCAGTTAAGGTGCTGGTGTATGATCCGTCTGCGTCGGGGTCGGGTAGGTTGGGGAAGATGATCTGGCGGAAAGACTTCTGAATTTCTGGAGAACTCTCCAGATTACCGTCATTCTCCACCAGAAGTTTGACGACCTTCCAGAGAATGGCTTTTTCCTCCTGGCGCTTGTGCGTATCGGGCTGAACTTGTTCGTAACTTGGAAGGTCGGAATGCTCGAAAGCTGCAATCTTGCTAGAAAGCCAAGCAATCAAATCCTTCTTTTTCGACTTTGCTTTGAGTGGCCCAGGGTGCTGGACAATGTTATCAGCGGAGGGCAGCCATGTACTAAGCTGTGATATTTTCGGTTCACCAAGAGTGGGTTGAATCATTGGCGCCACTTGACCAACAGAGTAGCGAGGAATGTGCTTAGGGAAGCAAGATACAATGGCTCCACCGAACCCGAATTTGAAGATTGGAGCACCTTTCCATCGCTCTAGAGGATCATGCTCCAGTCCATCATTGGGGGCGATAAATTCCAGGTGCTGCGTCGGAGCCCGGGTCTGAGAAGGAGCACAAATAGGAGCATACGGATTCACACTTTTAGTCGGTGAACCTGAAACTTGAACCGAAGCCGGCCGTTGGAGGGTATCAAAGTTCTGGCCGTAGGAACTTGGGCTTGCCAAGTCCCGGGAAGGTGACTGGGTTTGGGACCTGCGAAGAGGGCCCATCTGGATATCACTAGGTGGTGGAGACGTGTATACATTCGTCGTGGGAGCAGGAGGAGCGGATTCCGGAGCCGGTGCGAGACGCTGGGCGAATTCATTGAGATATTCCTGAGGGGCATAGCGACTCTGAGGCGGAGACGACTGCGCAGGTGATCCCGCACTGTCTCTCCGCGGTATGCTGGCAGGACCATTAAGGTATTGCGGAGCGCCAGGTGGCATTTGTCCGAAGCCAGCTCCTTGCCCGCGCGGCGGAGAAAGATTGATCGCAGGCTCGAGAGATGGCGGTTTGTGTGATTGATCAGGTTGGTAAGAAACCTTTTCATGATGTGCAAGCGGACTTGATGTCCGTGGCTGGAAAGGCAAATTTTGGCCAGGAACATTAAGCGGCTGTGAGGCATAACGATTGCGGCCCGCAGAGGTGGGAGGGGGCGCAGGAGAATATCTCGGCAACGAAGGTGGCTTTGAGGGAGCTTGCAAACCAGGAGGCTGAGGAGAGTACCTTGCTATGGCAGGAGGTCCGGCCGGAGCACTAGATGCTAGGCTAGCATACGGATCTAGCTGCTCAGGTGGCTGAAGTGTGGATTGGATTGGGAGGGCGATAGGCTGTGTGGCCGGTGGTGCAGCAGCAGCATATTGAACCTGGGGGGGAGGAGGAAGTGACGACCCGGCCAACGTAGGCGCCGCCTGCGGATTAGGGGTGTACCGACCTGAGCTAGCAGGCCTAGACCGCGGTGGCGCCAGAGGAAGTTCCTCATAGAAATTCTTGGGCGCAGGGGGGGCAGCAGCAGCTAATGGGGCCGCTGTCGGAGGTGCGAAGCCAGCCGCAGCAGGAATCAGTACGCCAGATGCACCTGGGGGAGGAGGTGGAGGCATACTAGTCACTGCTGGAGGAATAGGCTTCTGGGCAACGACTGGTTTTCGGGGCCGGATATCTTCTGGAAGGTCGTAAGGTGATTTGTAACCCTCTTTCGGCCGCTCAGCAAAGCTCTCTCCCCTAACTGCCACGGGGTTCTGCGGCGCCTGCGAGAAGTATGATGACATCGCACCGGTGACTGGCGGCGCAGTGCCTGGGAGAGGAACACCCTGCAGTAGATCACCGGTGGACGGTTGATGGGGTGTGTATATACTTGGAACAGGTCTTGGCTGAGAAAAGGCCTGGGGGGTCTGGAACGGACCATTCAAACCAGCCGACGGACCATAATTGGTGGGTTGAACAGGGGGTTGATTAATGTGGCCCTGTGTAGAGACAGGCTCGGCGGCTTCAGTCTCAAGCAGTATATCGTCATCGTCTAATTCTGCCTCCCAACGGGCCGCCAAATCATCATCCGGTGAATCTCCTAGCTCAGCTTCCCACCGTGCCGCTAGCTCTTCCTCTGAGGGATCGGCTGTTGCCTGGGGCTCCAACGACGCAGCCTTCAAAGCATCATTGAACTGCGCCGCAGCCGAAGTGTCGCTAGCTGGGGAGTCAAGAGCAAACCCAACCGATTCCAAAACCTGAGACGTGCTCTTTCGGGCGAGATGAGCAGGGGGTTGCTCCTCGGCCTCTTCCTTTGAGGTGGAGGCGAAAAAATCCTCACCGTCATTCTGAGCCTCGAGCTTTGGGGGCGAGCTGAAGAAGTCATCTGCGTCGTTTTCATCATTGGAAAAAACGTTGTCGATCGATTCTCCTCCATCCAGGGGGCGCTGGGGCGAAGCCGGTGTAGATTCATCTAACAGTGGGACCCCTTCCTCAAACCTGGACTCAGCTTCCGCAAATATAGGCTTTGTCTGGGTGTTTAGTTGGTTAAAGAAGTTGTCCTCATCAGAACCAACTTCCCCTTTCGGTTCATTTGCCCAGACAGGTTCATGCTTAGTGGGTGTATCCACGACGGTTGCGGGTGGATCTTGGTGGCCGTCGTTGGTCGCACCCGTAAATGCCCTTTCCTCTGGCGATGGACGTACACCTTCAACAACCTTTGGTGCGTCGCTATCCTGGATTTGGGTAGAGGTTGTAGCAAGCTCTGGGATAGTATGGGAAGGTTCTCTATCGGGCGTAGCCTCTCCGGTGGGGGGTAGAGTATTGCCAAGGTCCTTCTCAAAGCTGGCCCAGAGACCCTCCGAGTCAGCATCCTCGTCTGTTCGTGCGAACAGTTCCTCGGTGGGGGTGGACTGAGTGGCATTCTCGTGTTTGAAAGTGTCCAGCGTAGGTTCGGCTGCTGTCGGTTGTCCTTTTGTTGAAAGTGTAGTCTCTTCCGCAAAAGTCGCCTCCGGGGTGGTTCTTTGTTCCGATGTGATAGTGGGAGCTCCGGTATGAGATGTTCCGGTTTGAACAGAGTGTGGCTGGTCTATAGTGGCTGGGAGGCTATTACCACCCTCTATATCGGATTGGATTGGAGGTGATTCGGTCTGAACTGCCGGCGCGGGCTGCGCTGGCTGAGTTTCTGGCAGAGTCGTGTTTAGGGCGGGATCTGCAGTCACAATAGATGGCTCGATAGATCTCTGAATTGCTTCACTCGTCTCTTCGGGAATAGGACTGGTCTTATCAACGGAATCGGTATCTGGGCAGACGGCCTGGTCGACTGCTGGTGATGCATTGTTCACTAGCACGTCCAAGCTTGCGTGTTGAGGCTGAATCGCGTCTACCTCATCGGAGATATCCCATGCAGAAAAATCCTCACTCTGTGGAGATATGACATCGGCAAGGTCCTTTGGCTCATGCGCCGCATTAGGCTGAGACAATCCACCCTCGATCGAGCTCATAGTAATAGGAGTATTATTTTTCTCGGGCCGTAATGCCGGATTCCACGACTCCGAGTCATTGTCGGTCGCTTGGTGCGCCATATGTGCAAAGTTGTTCTCGATTGCCAGCCTGACCGTCGATGTGGCACGCAGTCCGGAGGGGCCAACCTGACACGTCTCCAATGACGCCTCAGGTGATCAACAATCGTAAAGAAAAACGGGGGGTCGAAGGTGTTAACTTAAGAATCCATTAAACGATGTAGATATAAAACAAAGCAAAAACTCAAAGAAATAAACTGATCATGAACGCATCAGCTGATGGTGAAAAAAACCAAGCAGTCGGATTATCCTGAACACTGCGACAGCGAAGGGCGATCTCAGCCTATCCCCGGAGCCCCGGCCAAATGAAGTCGCTGAGTCATCGGGATGCGTCCCGAATAGGAAAAATACAAACCCGTGATTCGGATTAACTGATAGTCCGACCTCCTTATGCCTATGTACATAAGCAACCTTAAAAGTGCAGTATTACGTCAACTGGTTATGCACTCATGTGAATTGCGTGTCCCGATAGGCAATCATCGATCAACCTTGAAAGAGACTCAAGAGACTCTGTTTTACACTATTTCCGGATTTTTATGATTGTTGCGTTGACTGAATTTGACACAAAGAAGCTTTTTGTTCCCTTTTTCGAACCCTAGCAGCATCCCTCCACTGTTTCAGCACCATGCTGCATATGCGTTTTGATCAATACCACCGCACATGACAACATATACTTGAGATGAACCTTCCTTTGATGCAAGGCCCAAAAGCACAACCTTGCATACAGCCAGCGCAGTCGATTTGACTTGAATCATCCCAGCTTTTTCAAGAATGCCTTCCTCATCCGACTACCTACACCCCCTAGACCATTCCGATGCGCCTGACACCTTCTCGGACTCGGACGATGACTTGGATCTAGAAGAGCTAGACCCCAGCACGACATCGCCTCAACAGCATCATGAGTCTCGGGACTATACTGGCCGCAAAAGAAGCTATGGACCGGGTATCGCGCTGCGCAACTTGCGTGTTGGAGCAGCAAGTCGGTGGAGACGCAGTGCGTCTGGACACGAAGACTTGGAGGATGATACCGATGCGCTTTTAGATAACGGAGAGGAACAAGGATTGCGGGACTCACATGCAAGCTCCCGCAATCTAGAAGACGACGATGCACCTCTCCTCGACCGCAGAGCCTCGACTCGCGATTTCAACGATGAACCTACCAAGAAAGGCAGCCGATTCCGCTTCCCAATATTCAAAACTCCCGCGTTTCTGCAAGACGCATCAATCCGATTTGGATCAAGTGACAATGAATCCGAGAACCAACCTCCCCGTGAAGTACTTGTCGGGCAGTACCAGGCTGCTAAGTATCCGGCTAATGTGGTCTCGAACGCGAAGTACACACCATGGAGCTTTCTACCGAGAACCCTTTACAACGAATTTTCCTTCTTTTTCAACATCTACTTCTTGCTTGTGGCTTTATCACAGGTCATCCCGGTGCTGCGGATTGGTTATATGTCATCCTACATTGCGCCATTGGCCTTCGTGGTTTCAATATCATTGGGTAAAGAGGCACTTGACGATATTGGTCGCCGGCGACGAGACGCCGAAGCCAATGCGGAAGAATACTGCGTTCTGGCACTAGGAAGATCCAACGCGATGGAGGTCACAAAAAAATCGCGAGACCTGAAAGTTGGTGATGTGCTAAAAGTCCGCAAGAACCAACGCCTTCCCGCCGATGTGGTAATTCTGAAGAGTATTTCGAATGACTCTGCCAGCCCTCGTCAATCATTGACGGAAGAACCTGTCACTGAGGCGTCTTCCGATTTGCTCGAACCAGGCGAGGGATCAACCGAGCCGACAGCCAACACCGCATCGAAGGGTGGTGAAGGTGTTGACAATTCATCTGTGGGCGATACTTTCATACGGACTGATCAATTGGACGGCGAGACTGACTGGAAGCTGCGTTTGCCTTCCATGCTGTCTCAGTCGCTCCCTCTGAGCGATTTAGGTCGACTACAGATCACAGCTAGCGCTCCTGATAAGAGAGTCAATGAATTTGTTGGGACTATTGGGCTGGGACCACCCACTGGATTCTATGATGCTCATGTTGACAAATCATCTGGGCCTCCACACAACGAAGGAACGCATGGGCCTGCTGAAAGTCAGTCAGCTCCCTTGACAATCGACAATACCGCCTGGGCCAACACTGTTCTTGCGTCTAATACCATCACCTACGCTGTCATCATCTATACAGGGTCGCAAACCCGGGCTTCGCTTTCGACTTCCGCTTCCCGGTCGAAGATCGGCCTCTTAGAACTCGAAATCAACAACCTTACCAAAATTCTCTGCGCTCTCACACTTACTCTCTCGATCATCCTTGTCGGATTGCAAAGATTCCAACCGACAAACGACAAGGAATGGTACGTTGCGATCATGATCTATCTCATTCTCTTCTCCACAATTATTCCCATGAGCCTTCGGGTCAATCTGGACATGGCCAAGTCGGTATATGGGCGGTTCATCGAACGGGACAAAGACATTCCAGGAACCGTCGTCCGCACCAGTACAATTCCAGAAGACCTAGGAAGGATCGAATATCTACTTTCAGATAAGACGGGAACGTTAACCCAGAATGAGATGGAGCTGAAAAAGATACACGTTGGTACTGTATCATATGCCAATGAAGCAATGGATGAAGTTGCCTCATTTATTCGTCAAGCTTTTGCTCTTTCGGGTAGTACCTTGATCACTCCTTCGACTGTCTTTGGAACTCAGGCCGGCCATGCCACAGCGCCGCGGACAAGAAGAGAGATTGGTTCCCGCGTCCGGGACATCATCTTAGCACTTGCTCTCTGCCATAACGTCACACCGACCACAGAGGAGGAGGAGGACGGCCGGAAGGTGACGAGCTATCAAGCGTCGTCCCCTGATGAAATCGCCATTATTCGATATACCGAAGAAGTCGGGTTAAAGCTAGCATACCGAGACAGAAAAAGTATCGTCCTAGAATCCACCGACTCGAAGCAGGCTGTGGTCCGGGCTCGAATTCTCGACATCTTCCCGTTCACATCTGACTCCAAGCGAATGGGGATTATCATTCAATTCGAACACGATGAAAACAACTCTGAATCCGGCCAAGACAATAGCGAAATTTGGTTCTATCAGAAGGGCGCAGATACTGTAATGACCACTATTGTTCAAGCGAATGACTGGCTGGACGAAGAGACTACGAACATGGCTCGTGAAGGATTGCGAACTCTCGTTGTTGGGCGCAAACGAATCTCCGCAGAGCAATACGAAGCCTTCTCTACTAAATACAAGCAAGCATCGCTATCTTTCCAAGGGCGGGATGCGGGCATGGCGAAGGTTGTCAGCGAATACCTCGAACAAGATTTAGAGCTGTCCGGTGTGACTGGAGTGGAAGATCGGCTGCAGCGCGACGTGAAATCCTCTCTGGAGCTGCTACGCAATGCCGGTGTTAAGATCTGGATGCTGACGGGCGACAAAGTGGAGACAGCGCGTTGTGTCGCTATTTCTGCTAAATTGGTCTCCCGGGGCCAGTACATTCACACAGTCACGAAAGTCACAAACAAGTCGACTGCCCAAGAAGCTCTTGACTTCTTGCGCAACAAGACTGATTGCTGCCTGCTGATTGATGGCGAGTCCTTGAACCTCATGCTCAGCCAATTCAAAACAGCTTTCATCTCTGTCGCGGTGCTACTCCCCGCCGTGATCGCATGCCGATGCTCCCCTACGCAGAAAGCTGAGATTGCGGAGCTCATTCGCCAACATACCAAGAAACGTGTGTGTTGCATTGGAGATGGTGGCAACGATGTCTCGATGATTCAAGCAGCCGATGTCGGGATTGGTATTGTGGGCAAGGAAGGCCGCCAGGCCTCCCTGGCCGCTGATTTCAGTATCACGCAGTTCCACCATATCACCAAGCTTCTAGTCTGGCACGGCCGCAACTCATACAAGCGGTCTGCTAAACTAGCACAGTTCATCATGCACCGTGGGTTAATCATCAGTGTTTGCCAGACGATGTACAGCATCGCCAGCCACTTCGATCCTAAGGGCTTGTTCATCAACTGGCTCATGGTCGGCTACGCGACCGTCTACACCAACGCACCCGTTTTTTCTCTCGCCTTTGATCGGGATGTGGACGAGCATCTAGCCAATCTCTACCCAGAGCTCTACAAAGAGCTCAAGACAGGGAAGAGTTTAAGCTACCGCTCGTTCTTTGGCTGGGTTCTCATTTCTGTCTACCAGGGTGCAGTGATCCAGGGTCTTTCTCAGATATTGTTGGATACTATCACAGGGCCGCGCCTAATTAGTCTTTCCTTCACGGCTCTCGTACTCAATGAGCTTGGCATGGTCGCCACTGCAATTACAACCTGGCACCCGGTCATGATCGTCTGTCTGATTGGTACGCTGCTTGTATACGCAGGCAGTGTTCCTTTCCTAGGCGAGTACTTTGACCTACGTTTCGTGATCACCCTGGACTGGCTGTGGCGCGTGTTTGCTGTGCTAGCTGTATCTCTGGTTCCAGTCTGGGCTGGCAAGATGATCAAACAGTCGTGGCACCCGCCAAGTTACCGAAAAGTCCGTGGATAAATCTGGTGCTTGTCATGATTCCGGTGTATCATAGTTATTCTCTTGGTTAGATTTTTTTATCTCTCTCTTCTTTCATTGCCCTGGCTACCGATCGAGTATCATGTGGCTCTTTATATATTGATCTTGAGCATTTTGCCGCGTTGCGCCCATCTAGATTTGGGCTACTACCGAGGCCTACCATCCAATGTTGATCATCTGGGCAGTACTTGGTAACAAGTTCATTGATTTCCGTTGATACCCGCGTTTGTACAGCGAGTAGTATTTGAAGGTTCGTCCACTTATTCTTTCTAAAATATAAGACAGTTAGATGCTACATAGTTGGTATATATGTCGACATCTATACCTAGTGGGTACTAGCTATAATGCATTCCAGAAATTCTCGATGAGGCAAGCAACATCTAGCGCCTTCTCTCTTACCACACCATGTCCGACCTGCGGAATAATAGAAACATTCTGCATCCCAACCGTAGCTAAATCCTGCACACTACACAAATCATCCAACTCTCCCAGAATACACAGATTCGGGATTCCCTTCTTCGCCGCCACAGCAAACTCTGCATCTCGATCAAACACACCCCCATCCCGAACAATCCCCACCACGCTGGCTACATGGCCGCGATGCTCTCTAACCTCCCAATCCCGCACTGCCTCCGCAACAACTTCCCCCCTCTCAACTCTTTCCTTCCAATCCACAGGAACAACCAATTTACCTCCCTCCAGCCACTCAAACACCCAGTCCCGCGCCTGCTCCTCCAATCCCTCCCCACCCGCCATATACCTCCTCTGCAATTCTCCCAACTGCGCCGCATGAACCAACCCCGCCGGTGCAACTAGCACTATCGATGTAACACGCTCGCTGTGCCGAGCCGTGAACGACACTGTCGTCGACCCTCCAAACGAGTACCCCACAAAATGCGCATCAGGCCATCCCAGCCGGTCCATTAATGCTAGAAGCAACTCATGGAATAATTCAGGTGTATGCGCTAGAATAGGGGTATCGCTTAGCCCGTGGCCCCATAAATCAAGTAGTACGCAGTGTGCAGATGGGAAGCGCGCTGATAGAGACGTGGCTAATGGCTGGAGGCCGATTGCCGACGTCTGAACGCCGTGTACGAATAGTACACGTGAGACTTGGTTCCCTGATTCTGGAGCTGAAGCTGAGACTGGCGGTAGAGAGTAATATGCTGCTTGCCCGTTTGGAGTCTCTAGGTATGATGCCTTTGGTAGGAGATTGCCAAATGTTGAGGTGAAAAGAGCTTCAGATGGAGCCCTAATTGGCTTTTGGGTGTCATTGGTACTTTTTGTCCCTGGACGAGGGAGTACGAGAGAATTTTTTGCCATTCTGTTAACAGGGTGCAGTCTGGAATGTTAGGAATTTTGGAGACGGTATGCCCACTACCGTAAAGAGTTTAGCGTGTATGTCTAAGATAAGAGTACATTTGTCCACAGGTGGATCTCAAGTCTTCAAGTCTCAGTACTCCAGGGCTATTATGATGTCTCTACTACTGAGGTCCCTTATTATCGATGCGATGTAAATATTTCATTGAAAAACACAAGCAGGTTTGCCAAGACCAACTGGGGTATCAGATGTGGTGTTATATATATTTTGATCACTTCCATCGAGGATATAGTAGTAAAAAAGGATCATGAACTATCAATTGATGTACTGATTTCGAGACACAATCCGTGTACGGAGTATAAGCAAGGACATAACGGTATAAATAAAGTAGGAAGTACAAATTCGACCCCAAGTTAACTTTCTCTTCTCAATTTGCTCTACGAAGGTCTAGATAGGCACAGCAGGCATCATATCCAATAAGTGCATATTCGCATTGATTTCCCGTGTAATCCAGTCCAGTTTTCTTATATCCCGCAAGTGTAAATATAGTGCCCACCTGGTCAGCCCTGGAGGTGTGGGTGCTTACTTCGCCGCTGGAAGTCCCAAAATCTCTCCCATTTCGTGACCAGAGGTGGAAATTGCGAACACCCCCTGGAGAAAAGCGACAGGATCTATCAGCTCAGCCAGTAACAGACCCACGTCCTCTTTCAAGGTTGTATTATCCAGATTTCTAAGCCCTTCGCTTGCCCAGGGCATTATCGCTCTAAGCCAATTAAAGTGGGTCAGCTTTGAAATTCCTGAAGATTTACCATGAACAAGCCCAATAGCAACCTTAATAATTTGTGCGAACACCGATGTGGTTAGCTGATTATGGTGCATCGCTGATCTTGCAGGATTTGTGGGGCTTCGAGCTCTAGAGGAAGCTGACCTGGCAGCTCACGTCAGCTTGAGATGGATCCATCTCCCATACACGTGGAGAATGTTTGAGTTACAGGCTTCGACAGATACACACGGAAACCAGTAGCAGCTTATCGCGAAGAGCTTGGCCCAGACTGTGATGACAATCTACAACAGCTTAAGATTAGAAGGATGTATATGTATAAGAGGATGCTCAAGCTTGTGGATGTCCAGTCGAGGTTCAATCCCAATATCACACCAGGAACAACAAAATGGTCATCAATCACACAGGCAGCGAAAACTATTCCCTCCCGGTGCCACTTCAGGAGGAGCCAGCTGTCGCCAAACCCCAATACCGGCAAGATCCAATCGCCGTGGTTGGGCTAGCAAATCGTTTGCCGGGCCATAGCACAAATCCAAGCAAGCTATGGGAGTTTCTCGAGCGTGGAGGTGTTGCCACAAATGACCCTCCCGCTTCACGATGGAGTCTCGAAGGCCATTATGACAAGTCGGGAAAGCCCCATACCGTTCGAACACCAGGCGCCATGTTCATCGAAGACGTTGATCCGGCCGATTTTGACCCCGGCTTCTTCAACATATCGACTGCTGATGCCATCGCTATTGACCCACAGCAGCGACAACTACTTGAAGTAGTCTATGAGGCGATGGAGAATGCCGGCTTGTCATTGGAGTCTCTCAACGGAGCCCCCTATGGCTGCTTTGTGGGATCGTATGCAGTCGATTATCAAGATATGCAAATGCGCGATCCCGAGGACCGAGTCGATGGGATGACGATTGGAGTAGGCCGCGCCATTTTGAGTAACCGCATCAGCCACTTCCTGAACCTCAGGGGGGCTAGTATGACTATTGATACCGCATGCTCAGGGAGTCTAGTCAGCGTTGATGTTGCCTGCCGATATATTCAAACCGGCCAGGTTGAAGGCGCGGTGGTGGCCGGAGCAAACCTCTACCTCAGCCCCGACCAAAATCAAGACATGGGAGCCATGCGTGCCGCCTCATCAGCTAGCGGCCGCTGTCATACTTTCGACGCAAAAGCAGATGGCTATTGTAAAGGCGAGGCAATCAACGCCGTTATTCTTAAAAGACTCGATGCAGCACTGCGGGACGGTGATCCTATCCGCGCAATCATCCGCGGAACTGCAACAAATAGCGATGGATGGACGCCAGGTATTGCCAGTCCAAATGGGGAGGCTCAAGTTGCCGCTATGCGTGCCGCATTTGCTGCCGCCAGCATCACTGATATGAATGAGGTGGGATATTTGGAAGCGCACGGAACAGGTACCTTAGCAGGTAAGACTTCCCAGTCCGCTGTTTTTCATTCTGAGGTCTGATACTGATACACATGCAGGTGACCCAATTGAGGTCGCGGCTGCCGCTGCAGTCTTCGCTCCCACCCGGCCAGCGAACCAACCTCTGATAATTGGATCAATCAAGAGTAACATTGGACATTCTGAACCTGCCGCTGGCGTATCCGGATTCATCAAAGCTGTGCTGGCGGTGGAAAAGGGTATCATCCCCGGAAATCCCACATTCATCGACCCAAACCCAAAGATTGATTTTGAGGGTCTCAAAGTCAAGGCCTCCCGGGTGGCTTTGCCCTGGCCCAAGGCTTTCGCCTCTCGGATTGCTTCCGTGAATTCTTTCGGCTATGGTGGCTCCAATGCCCATGTTGTGATTCAAGATGCGGCTTCCTTCTTGGGTCAAAAGCAGATTCCCCACGTCTCCTCCTTTACGAAAGTTGAGTCCTTCTTTGACGACGAGGACGTGGATTTGCCAAACGCACGACCCCAGTTGCTCACCTTTTCTGCGAATGATGATGTTTCATTGAAGAAATACGTTGCGGACCTTCAGCGCCATCTCCTCGATCCTCGAGTCAAGGTGCAGCTATCAGACCTGGCTCATACCTTGGCCCAGCGAAGTAGTCTCTTCACTCGTGGCTTCCTGCTCACCGACAAGTCCCAAATAGACGATGCATCTCTTGTAACCGGCAAAAAGAGCCCCGAGAAGCCTCGTGTTGGCTTTGTGTTCACAGGCCAGGGTGCCCAGTGGTCTCAAATGGGTAAAGGTGTGGTGGAGCTATTCCCACAAGCTAAGCAGGTTCTCCAAGGCTTGGACTCGGCACTACAGAGTTTGCCCCAGGCACCGACCTGGTCATTGCTAGAAGAGCTGGTGGAACCTAGAAGCCCAGAGCATCTGCGTCAGCCTGAATTCTCTCAGCCACTAGTGACGGCATTGCAGCTGGTCTTAATTGATCTTCTTAAATCCTGGGGAATCCAACCCGAAAGTGTGGTCGGCCATTCCTCTGGAGAGATTGCCGCAGCCTACGCCGCAGGTCTCTTGACTCCGGAAGATGCGATAAAGATTGCCTTCTTCCGTGGCCAGGCCGCCAAAGAATTGGCTGGAACGCAAACTGCCGAAAAGGGCGTTGGAATGATGGCTGTAGGCCTAGGCGCAGAAGAAGCCGTCAAATACATCGGCCCTAACTCAGATACAGTGCAAATCGCCTGCTTCAATAGCGGCTCCAGCGTGACGCTCTCTGGAAAGGTTGAACATCTGAATGAGATCAAGGACCGGCTCGAACAAGATAGCCATTTTGCCCGTTTGCTACAGGTCAATTTGGCCTATCACTCCAAGTACATGGCTGAGATTGGTGATCGTTACATCTCTTTGCTACAGGCTCATTGCGGGAAGCCTCTCTCAGGTTCACCCGCCGTGAAAATGTTCTCCTCCGTCCTTGGCTCGCCGATGCTGGGAGAGGCTGATCCAGAGTACTGGAAGACCAACATGGTCTCTCCGGTGCGTTTCAATGAAGCGTGTAGCTCTATGCTGTCGACCGGGTCAGCGGACTTCTTGATTGAACTGGGTCCTAGCGGTGCTTTAGCGGGCCCGATTTCCCAGATCAAAAAGTCACTCTCAGGCGACGCCCAAAATGCCACCTACATAGCCGCCGCAAAGCGTGGCCCGACCTCAGCTTTGTCTTTGTTTGACGTCGCTGGCCGATTCTTTATCGCCGGCGGCCCGTTGGACCTCGGCGCAGTCAACAAAAACCCATCGGACGCTCAGCGTCCGTCCCTGATTGTTGATTTGCCAAACTACGCGTGGAACCACCAGACTAAATATTGGTATGAGTCTGAAGCCTCCAAGGAATGGAGATATCGCCCATTCCCTCACCACGATTTGCTGGGGAGTAAGATTCTCAACTCCCCGTGGAGTGCACCCACCTTCCGCAAGACACTCGACCTCGGTGACCTTCCATGGCTTCTGGACCACAAGATGGGCACCGATATCGTCTTCCCTGCTTCGGGTTTCTGTGCGATGGCGATTGAGGCAATCTATCAATGCACTCAGATGACCCAGCCTGTGGAGGGGGTTACTCAGGCAGACCAATTACGCTACCGACTCCGAAATGTTAGGTTCGACAAAGCGCTTGTCCTCGAGGAGGGTGTGCCAGCAAAAATTACTCTCACGCTCTCTCCTCATCCTGGAACCAAGGATTCCTGGTATGACTTCCGGGTTGCTTCTTCTAAGGATGGAAATCGCATTGAACACAGTAACGGCCTCATTCGCACTGAATCACACCCAACCGAGATAGGGTCCCCTTCAGATATCCAACCCCTCCAGCATCCTACCAAAGCATCAATTTGGTATAAGGCGCAAGAAGATGCAGGATACGGTTTCGGCTCAAGTTTCCAAACTCACCAAGAGATTGAGTCGGTAGTCGGTCAGCGTCAGAGTCGTTCCCATGTGTCGCTTGAGTACCCACCGTCCAAATGGAGCCCCCAATCCTTGTATCCATTGCACCCAGCTAGTATTGATGGTTGCTTCCAGACAGTTACACCTGCACTGGTTGCAGGCAAGCGCACTGCGCTGGATGCTGTGCTGGTTCCTGCCATCATTGACGACCTTATCATTAATCCCAATGAGCGCGCTCCAAAAGTTGGTTTGGCCAATGCGACTTCAGAATACACGGGCAAAGGTCGTCGCGAAGAGAACAAGAACTACTTCGCTTCTTCCTCTGTCTACGACCCAGAGACGGGTGCTTTGGTGCTGAAACTAACTGGCTTACATTTCCACCGACTTGAGGCCAACAAGACTGTGCCTGCTCAAACCTACATTCGGTCAGCCTGGAAGCCCGATATAACATTCCTCACCTCCGCACAGTTACAAGAAGTCCACTTGGAACAGGCTGCAACGCGCATTGAGTCCATCATCGAGCTAGCATCGCATAAGAAACCCACACTGACCGTGCTTGAGGCAAACCTAGCCCGAGATGACGTTTCAAGCTGGTGGCTTCAGAGCCCCAATCTCTCGGAGCGGGCAGCTTATCGCCAATATCTCTTCTCTTCATCCGACCCCAACTCCCTGGTTGCGGTGCAAGAGCAGTATCAATCTGCCAAATCCGCGTCATTTGACCTTCTCGATCTCACACGAAATGATCTTCCCCTAAAGGACGACCGTTTCGATTTAGTCATCGTAAAACATGATGTAATTCACCCCGAAGTCCTGGCCACGATATCACGCAATGTGAAGGCATTGCTTGCACCAGCAGGACATGCTTTGATCACAGAGACCTTCCCTGTACAGGGAAACCAAGACCGTGATGGTACTATCAACGGACACACACCAATCGAGCAAATCCCTACTATCTTGCGCGAGGCGGGCTTCCAGACTGTTGTCCCCATCCCCAGTGGATCTGTTCAATGGGCTTATCTCTGTCAGAACTCTGAAGCTTCAACTGAGACCACCAGCCGAACAGTCCACCTGATTCGACTAGCCGCCGAGGTCCAAAATGGAGAGGTCTCTGGCCCCATTACAGACGCTCTTACCGGTCGAGGCTGGAAGGTCGTGGAACATGGATCTTCGCTTCATGATCTACCCGTCGGAGCCACAACAATTGTTCTTGATGAATTAGTCTCACCCGTATTGACAACCGTTCAGTCCGAGCAGTGGGATGTCATTAAGGAGCTTGTTCTCAGCAAGCGGACTCCACTTTTGTGGGTTACCAAAGGCTCTCAGTTCAAAGTCACTCATCCTGACAATGCCTTGGTCCACGGTTTGTTCCGCACAATTCGCGCAGAGGATCCAAGTGTGCGCTTAACTACCCTTGACGTTGAAACTTCCGACAGCTCCGCCGCGTTTGCAGCCATTCATCATGTTCTTGACCGAGTGTGCTCATCAGAAGTAGAATCTCCCCTGGACAGCGAATATGCAGAGCATGATGGCATTCTATATGTCAGTCGACTTTTCGCGGATGATCAGGTGAATGCAGTTCAGGTTGCCAAGGGTAGTGGCGCTGAATTGCAGGTGAAGTCTCTTCATGACCTACCCACGACTACCAGGCTGCGTGCTGAGCGTCTAGGTACGTTGGACGCGCTTCACTATGGTCAAGTCTTTTCGACAGAGCGACCTGTGCGCGATGGCTGCGTTGAAGTCGAGATTTACGCTGCAGGCCTGAACTTCAAGGACGTGGCCGTCACCATGGGTATCGTGCCTGAAAATGAGCACTTGCTCGGATTGGAGGGTGCCGGTATTGTCCGCCGTGTGGGCAAGAATGTCCAATTCAAGGTGGGCGACCGAGTCGTGGTCTTCGAGAAAGGCTGCTTTGCCAACCGTATTGAGGTCACCAAAGAGCGTACCCATCTGCTTCCTGATTCTTTGTCGTTTGAGGACGCAGCTAGTTTGACGGGTGTCTATCTGACATCTCTCTACTGTCTATATCACCTCGCCCACCTCCAGAAGGGACAGAGCGTTTTGATCCACTCTGCAGCCGGTGGTATTGGTATTTCGAGCATTGAGCTAGCCCAGTATAAGGGGGCAGAAATCTATGTCACTGTCGGCACAGAGGACAAGCGCAACTTCCTTCATGAAAAGTTTGGCATCCCATACGAACGCATGTTCTCCTCGCGGACCACCCAGTTTTCGCGCGAGATCCTAGAAGCTACTAACGGCCAGGGAATCGATGTTATTCTTAATTCGCTGACTGGCGATCTACTGGATGAGTCCTGGCGCATTTGTGCTGACGGCGGCATTATGGTTGAAATCGGCAAGAAAGACGTTCTTGACCGAAACAAGCTATCAATGGAGCCATTCGACCGAAATTGTTCTTTCCGCGCCCTCGACTTCTCACATAAATCCATTTCGGATGATTTGATTGCTGGGTGAGTTATGGCGGGATCTTTACGCTAATATTTGCTGACCTCTCTAGTCTCTTGCACGAGATCTTCGTCCTTTATGATGGAGGTCACATCCATCCAGTTCATCCGATCAAAACATTCCCCTTCGACAATATACCCGCTGCTTTTGCGTACATGCGAAGTGGTCGGCACATCGGCAAAATCGTCATTTCCAGCAGCGAGACCGACAAGATCGAGGTTCCCGTGCGACCTGTGGCCCCGTCACTTCAGCTCAATCCCTCCGTTTCCTACCTTATCGTTGGAGGACTGCGAGGCCTTTGCGGCAGTCTGGCAATTCATATGGCTGCTCACGGAGCGAAGCACATCATCGCGTTGTCCCGCAGTGGCATTGCCGACGACCGTTCTCAGTCTATTGTCAAGAGCTGTGCCGCCCTTGGATGTGCTGTTTATGGCGCCGCGGCTGATGTTGCAAATGCCGAAGCTGTGCTCAAAGTATTCCAAACGGCCTCTGTGCCTATAGGTGGAATTATTCAGGGTGCCATGCTGCTCCGGGTAAGTTACTCATGTCGCGCTACTTGGTACTCGCTAACCACGGATAATAGGATAAACCGTACGAGATCATGACAGTCAAAGAATACCATGAGACAATTTCCAGCAAGGTCCAGGGAACCTGGAATCTGCACAATGCAGCCCTGCAATTGCAGCTTCCTCTTGAGTTCTTCACCTTGCTTTCAAGTATCTCAGGAGTGGTCGGCCAGAAAGGTCAAGCCAACTACGCTGCGGCCAATGCATTCCTCGACGCATTTGCCTTGTACCGACGGGCCCAGGGCTTGTCGGCAAATTCAACAAACCTCGGTGTCATCGAAGACGTTGGTTATGTGGCAGAGCAAGGTGGTATGCAACAGCACTTTGACAAGACGCTTTGGACGGGCATCAATGAACGCACTCTTCATGAGATTCTTGAACTCTCTATATGGCAACAGCAGACGCCTGCTCTGAATCCCGCCAGTGCAGCACAGCTTGTGACTGGAATTGCAGTTCCCTTGCCACAGGATGCTGACCTCACACGCGATGCCCGATTCTCTCCCCTCCTCATTCAAGATGACGGGGAGGCCCGCGAAAGTGGTGCCGGCAACGACGCTAACAAGGCCCTCCAGGCTTTCTTCCTCTTGCTGAAGTCCGGTGCCGATGCGGCAGCTCTCCGTTCCACGTGTGTGGAGGTGGTCAATGAGCGCTTTACTAAGATGCTGCGTCTTAGTGAGCCGATGGAGCCGGGTAAGTCGCTCAGTGCCTACGGACTAGACTCCCTATCTGCGGTGGAGTTCAGAAACTGGCTTCGCAGTGAACTGGGCGCTGAACTCTCAACACTGGAGGTGACTAGTGCTAGTTCCCTGTTTGCTCTTTGCGATAAGATTATCGCCAAACTCACCAAGTCTTGATATTGGGCGTTGATTTCGGGCGTTATCTTCAATTTATGTTTTATAGTTTAGAAATAAATTGTCACCTTTTCTTGTTTTGATTGTCTCCGTGTCACTACGTCACGGAACCTCACCACTTCGCCTGTAGTTGTATTGTGGACTTTTATACCTAATAAGAGCAGTTAGTACTTGGACGATGAAATGATAGACTTTGACATATGTACGTGTAGATTTACAAGATGCCCTTTTTTTGCCTGACAGTCAACTTCAATTACGACACATTGAGGTTTTCGCTTCGCTATAGCAGTTAACATACGGCTGTTGAACTACTACCTAGGTAACTATAGATATCATGAAGGAAGAAATCTTGATTGGACTTCGCAAAGCCCACAAATCGGCCGGAACCCCGGGCCCAAAGCCCAACCGCTGGGCTGTGGGCCCAGCCTTTGAGACCCAGCCCGGGACCCATGACCCACCAGTTGGCCCGAAGCTAAGGCCCAAAACCCAGCCCAGACCATTGGTGGGTCGGGCTTTATGGGCTTTGCTTGATTGTTAGATCTATGAGAAGGCCCAGACAGCAATATCGTCTGCAAGCAATGGGAGATTGGATCAAGATGGCCATTTTACAATGTAACATAACTTTAATATCACAAATTCCCTTTCAATCTCAACATCTTCATCTAATAAATCCCCAATGTAGATGTTATGCCATCTACGCCGCCACCTTAACAAGCACCCGCACCCCCTTACTCTCCAGCCGGGCATGGGGAACCAACCAATCGTAATAAAATTCCACATCCTCCCGACTCGTCTCAAACAACTCAAAATCAAACCGCCGAATCAAACTGGCAATCATCAAATACATCGCCGCATAAGCCAACTGCATGCCCAAACACATCCTCCCCCCACGCCCAAACGCGACATTATACCTACTGAGTTGCTTAACACCATCCGGACCGCGCGGATTCCCCAACCACCGCTCCGGTCGATAAACATCCGGATCCGGAAATACATTCTCATTAGTGTGCATGTGGTAGGTATCTTCCGACACAGGCGTACCAGGCGGGATGGTATACTTGCCGTAGATGAACGGGGTGGGTGAAATCCGGGGACTTCGTTGCACGGTGCCGAAACCAATACGTAATCCCTCCTCAATACAAGCAGTGAGATATGGGAGTTGTTGTAGCTGGGCCCAGGTAGGAATCTGCGATGGGTCGGGGATGGCAGTGTGCAGTTCGTCGCGTAGTTTGCGATATGTTTCCGGGTTTGCGAGGACGTGGTATGCGATTGTTGAGAGCATCTCGCGAGTTGTGTCGAATCCTGCTCCGACTATACTCACTGATTCGTGTTGTAGACGGGTTTGGGTGAGTTCCTCCGGTGGAAGGGAGGAGGTGAGTAGGACCTCGAATAGTGTCGCGTTCTCGCCGGAGGGTTTTTTAGATGTTTGTTTCTTTTCTGGTTTGAAAAGACGTGCAATTCGTTCATTTAGAGACTATATTTTGATTTTAGTGAGATCCTTCTCGTTGGTATTGGGAAATATAGAGTCTTACCTGGCGGAATTGCACAACTGGTCCAAAAGATTGTGTTTTCAACAATATCCACTCTGGAATAGCATTTGCTACCGAGACCATAAATGGAAACTGGCTGTTCAAGTGGGTGGATTTTACCAGAGCATCCATGGCACCAACAAAAGGTGTCTGCCATGTGGGAGTATCGATGAAACTGGGTTCATCACCGAAAGCGAGCGACAAGATGGAGTCCGCGGAGAAGCAAGCAAAGACATGATTCAGAACAAGTGGTGTTTGTTGCTTGACATTTTCCGATTCCAGACGCTTGCAGACTCTGTCAATGAGCTGCTGCAGGAAGGGAGCACGCGCTTGAATTCGACCTTTGGTGAAGAATGGGCTCAAGGCTGCTCGACGTTTCTTGTGCACCGCATGGGTAGCTGTTGAGAAAGCAGCTGATGGGATGCCGAATCGATTTTCAAAGACAGATAACTTATCGAATGGGGCGGAGGAGGGATAAATGGTCTCGTAAAATTCGGGATCATCGATATGGAGTTCCCATGGGTTTATTCGCACAATTGGGCCATATTGATTATGCAGCTCTTTGATGTGCTTTGTAAACATTCCTCCTCCATTATACCACATCTCATAGTATGTCTCGTACCATTGTGTCGCGGCGGCCAATTTGGGGCCGGGGAAATGACGTAGTGGACTTAGATACAATCGATAGACGACTAGACCTAGCAGATAAAGTCCGCCAGCGAGTGCCGCGTAACTAATGTGGAAAATAGACAGGGATAAAGGCATGGCGCTTTGTAATTGGGAAACTAAAGAGTTCTAGGATACTGCATTTTATCTATCTTAAATCGTCATAGTCCATTAGATGTTCAAGCCTACTAGCGTAAGGTATAGTTTCATTGGTTTAATGTTATGCATTAGCGTGATTATCTTGCAGATGACATTGCATTAGCGCCATTCGAAGTAAGATCTTACTGAATTACACCATTGACAAGGATTAAATGCTATGGATATTACGACAGTTGGAGATTACCAATATGCTGAGAAATTTCAAGGTTGCATCCATTGGAACATTACCAATGATCGCAAATCACATCAGAACAAAGAAACAAATTATTTATATAACATATCTTAAGAGAGGATAGAGCAAAGATTAGAATATATACTCTCTCAAACAAAACACAAACATCATGTCTACCATCTTGATCTCCGGTGCCAACAAAGGTAAGCCACCACAAAAAGGTTAACTCTACCTATACAAGACATGTGCTAATTTTCCCAGGAATTGGCCGCGGCCTTGTCGCCAAGTACCTCGCTCGCGACAATGTGACTGTGATCGCAGCCGTCCGCAACCCAACCTCCTCGGAAGCAACCTCTCTCTCCGACTTTCCCACTGGAAAGGGCAGTCGATTGATTATTGTCAAGATCGACGCCAGCTCTAACACCGACGCCAAAGCTGCAGTAGAGAAACTGCCTAGCCAGGGCGTGTCCGCTCTCGACATCGTTATCGCCAACGCCGGAATCTTCGACACAGCCGCTTTCACCACCGTTGCCGATTCGACTATCGCACAGATTCAAGCCCATCTCGATGTAAACACTATCGGCCCTGTCCGCCTCTTTCAGGCTACACTTCCTCTCCTTGAGAAGTCATCCTCCCCTCGCTTCATCCTAAGCAGCAGTCTTATGGGAACGATTGGAGGTATTAAAGACATCCCGCTCAAGATTGCGCCTTACGGTGCTAGCAAGGCCGCGGCCAACTTCTTTGTCCGGAAAATCAACTTTGAACATGACAAGATTGCAACCTTGGCTATTCACCCTGGGTATGTATATAACTGCCTTTCCTTTGGCTCTTTTTTTTCCCAGCGCATTTGCTAATATTTTGACAGAGCCGTCAAAACCGATGCTGGAAATGATGCTGCCCGGGCTGCGGGTTACCCCAGCGCTTTCGTTGAAGTCGATGACAGCGTGAATGCTATCGTCGCCAAGATCGATACCTTGACCAAGGATAACGGAGCCGGAGAGTTCTGGAACATTGACGATACTACCATCGGCTGGTAGATAGAGGTTGGAGATAGACAGTGTGGTGAGATGAATGCCTGTGTCAGGCCAGCTAGTTCTGAGAGCGTGTCACAGCTTTATTCTCTCATCTCTTCTCTAGCACTTTTGCTCGGCAGGCTTAACACAGAGTTATATAGAAATATTCAGATGCCTAGAATATATAAGATATGAGAAAGTGAAGGGAGCCTTGCTTCTTCCGTTCCAATTATATACTCTCGGGCGCGATAAGATCCAGAGCTTAAACTATAATAGTCCTCTTTATTTCTTACCATGTAATTTTTTACATAACGTATGCGCTACCTAAATATACTATAAAGCCAGCAACTTGCTAATGATGGAACCGAATTTCCATACATTGATTGGTCAAGAATATGTAAATACATTGCCTACAAGAAGGCACTCATCCTCTTTCAGATACAAAATCACTACTTATTCAGGAAACCCGACATAAAGCCCCATTTTTCTCCGCCCACTGGTCAGCACCCACGCTCAGCGGAGCATAAAAGACTCCCTTAGGGTCCCAAGTTCGCTGAATACTGTTGAGTCGATCCCAATGGTCTCCGAAGAATGCTTTTTGCCAGTCTTTCTGGCGGTAATTGGCCTCATTACGGTATGTACCACTACCAGGCGTCAATTCCTCAACTGTAGGGATGATTTCGTTTGTAAGGCGATCGGACCGGGCAGCCATCTCCGTTGATGAACTCCAGTCCCATGTCGAATAGACAAGGAAGTGCGCAATGGAATCGCGCCAGGCCGGGTGAACTGATCTATCCGCAACACTGGTCTGATTTACATTGAATAGCTCGACGGCGATAGTGTATGTTTGGTTTGGAGTGATGGATCGAAGCAAATCTTGTAAACCTTTCGTGCGGTCGACCGATTGGAAAAAGTCCCTTGGAAGAAGGCGACTTCCAACCAAGTGGGCGACTGGGTAGATACCATCTGGCAGTGGCCCGAAATACCGCGAGAAGAAGTCAAAGTATGAGGCATCAGTTTGCGCCGTGAGGGAGTAAGCGATTCCTGTATTGTTCAGATGGCCGGTTATATAAGACAGCTGTGTGTTCAAGGTAGATACTGTCACACTCGGGGCTGTAATAATGACCTGGAAGGTCGTGTTGGTGATTTGTGAAAGCAAAAATGAACCCGTATCCACCAATGGTGTAGCACCGGCGTGAAAGACCGAAATAGAGTCCCAGAAGGCGTCTGCAGAGGGTGCAGCATCGAGTTCAAACACCAACGAAGCTCCTGTGGTCGGGGCATCGACAAAAACTTTCGAAGTCATAGACACCACCACACCAAATGTGCCTCCAGCGCCTCCAGCCAGAGCCCAAAAGAGATCGGCATTTTTGTTCGGCGAGGCGTGCACGAGGCTGCCGTTGGCAGTCACTACCTCCCACTCCAGGACATTGTCGGCTCCTAGGCCGTGAATCGAGCTGAGAGCACCGAGTCCGCCTCCTTGGGTGAAGCCACCGGCTAAACCAACAGTCGGACAGCTGCCGCCCATCGCTCGGTAGCCATGTTCATGAGCTGCTGTGTATGCTGCCGCTGCCTGGACTCCTGCACCAATACGCATGGCAGGTCCATTGTAGTCTGGGCTACTGAAGTCCTTCAAGACGGTTATCTCATCGAGATTGTGTGTCCAAAGACCTAAGGCACCAGCAGACGTGCTGCGACCAAGGAAATCATGGCCGGTATTCTTGATGACAAGTCGCAAATTGTTACGTGCAGCGAATCGTACTGCCTCCTGCACATGGGCCGTCGTCGTCGCATTGACACTATACTGAACAAGGTTCCCGAGCTGACAGGGGTCGGACTGGGGGTGGAAAGGGTCGCATGTACCATTTTGAAACACAGGCATCATAATCGAAGAAGGATTGTTTGCATGAATGGTGGCGAATTCCCATTCGTCGGCCAAAGTCGAGCATTCCTTGCCATTGTAGCTGGGGTCATGACATGGGCTCCCAAGTGGCACTGTGGCGATCAATTTCCCGTCAAGTGTTTTGTTGAACGATGCCCAATCGGCAATTGCGGGCCAACATGCATCTTTCGCGGTACATTTGCAATGAAGGTTATTCTGCAAGGGTGTTGCATCGACTCTACCTAGAAGAGCGAGCGACAGGACGATGACTTCTGAAACCCACATTGTAACGGGATGTCGATAAGCATAGGTACAAAGACATCATCTTCAACCTTAGACTTGCTTTATACGAGAATACAGTGCAACCCCCTAAAGTTGGCCCCCAAAATCCTCTTGGGGGCCTTCGTATGAAAGTTCTAAGTTGCCATCTTCGGGCCTGCCAAGAAGGAAATATATCTGCAGAGTAATCATCTCGCCCCAATGTCGGGTAAGCAACAGCCCCACGCCTATTTAGATTAAAGTAAGATCCATCTTATGCAGAGAAATATTCATATTGATTAGAAATCAGATATTTAGATGAGAAATGATTGTGAATATGGCTGAGACTTACACTACAATTAACGAGGTCGTTAATTAAAATGAGCTGAAAGCGCTGAAACTCGCCCCCAATATCTTAAATCCGTTTTTTGATAGCAATCAAGAGAAGATCTCCCATTAGCTCAGTATGGTGAAATCCAATGAAAGTTCAACGAGCGAGACTCCCATTACACGGGAACTGGACTATCCGTCTGGTATCCGCTTAGTCGTCATTATCATTATCGTGGCCTTAGTGCTTACAATGTTTATGGTGGCTTTGGATATGGTCAGCAAATCAGAACCTTGGAGTCTTAAGTACTAATTCTGATTATAGACCATTGTTGCCACAGCAATTCCACGTATTACAGATGAATTTCACAGCCTTTATCAAGTGGGCTGGTATGGTTCCGCGTTCTTCCTCACATTGGCTACTTTTCAATCAACCTGGGGCAAGTTATACAAGTTCTGGGATCTGAAGTTTGCCTTTCTCGCAGCAGGTATCCTAATCGAAATCAGCAGTTTGATACGTGGAGTGCCCCCCAATAGCACAGCTTTGATAGTTGGACGTGCAATTGCGGGTTGGGCGCTGCAGGCCTCGCCGGGGGCTGCTACATCGTCATTGCATTTGTTGCGCCACCTCCCAAAGTGCCAAGATATACTGGAGTAATCGGTACTTCGTATGCTACAGCTAGTGTAGCCGGCCCGTTACTTGGAGGGGCATTTACCGATAGCGCTACTTGGCGATGGTGGTAAGCTGGTCTAGCCCGTTATACGCCATACTGCATGATCATTGACTAATTATCAGTTCATCATAGCTTCTACATCAACCTGCCTATTGGGGGCATTTCGCTGGCGATTTTGGCTTTATTCTTCCGTCCTCCGTCCCATGCACGCCCCGTTGCTGCCGCCTTCCGAGAAAAGCTACAACAGCTTGACCTGCCTGGTGCAGCATTGACAATTGGCACTCTAGTGTGCTTTCTGTTGATCATGCAATGGGGTGGCGTTACTATGTCATGGAACTCAAATATTATCGGCCTTCTAGTAGGTTTTGTTCTACTGACTCTAGCTCTTGTGGCTAGCCAAATATTTCAAGGAGAGCGAGCAGCCTTGACCCCGCGTCTAATACGTTCTCGAGTGGTATATGGCGAAAGCGTGTTTGTATTCTTCCAATCTGGGGCTAACTTTTTTCACGTATTACCCCCTGATCTACTTCCAGGCTATCGACGGAATGCGCGCGGCGGCAAGTGTGTGCCATTTATCGTGCTTTCTGGTGAGTTCGGTATTCCTAGCATAATTCTCAGATCACATTCTAATCAAGATCGAAGCTTTATTTGCCGCAATAGCTGGTATTGCTATTACACGCATTGGATACTTCACGATTTTCCTAGCTCTTGGTAGTGCCGTGTTTCTAATAGGCTCCGGGCTTATCTATACACTTCAAGTTGACAGCTCTTCTTCAAAGTACCTCGAATATTAGGTACACTTGGTTCTGGGACAGGGATTGGCTATTCAAATTCCAGACGTTGTCGGACAGGCCTTCTTCAAGATGGAAGATATTGCATCTGTAACTGCGATTGTCTTGTGTAAGTTTTCACTCTCAGGTCCGCGAAGTATAACTGACATTGAATTCAATTTTCCAAATGATGGGAGGGGCGGTATCAGTCGCTGACTCTGTATTCTTTAATGAATTGCTACCTGCACTTGCAGTATATGCTCCGACTGTTGATGCTGGACGAGTGCTTTCTATGGGCGCCATTGGACTGCACAACGAATTTTCATCGGGTATATTACCCGGTATTCTTCGAGCCTACATGGTAGCTCTTAAAGATGTGTTTCTTTTCGGGACAGTCACCTGCCGCGTGTGGATTTTTGGCCAGTTGTTTGGCGCCGTTCAGGAGTATTCTACCTGGAAACCGAGGATCAACAGCGTTTATCGCATCATGGGAAACAAATAGAGGTTTTCAAGAAAAGAAATATATTTATATACCCTAGCGCAAGAAATTGAGCAAAGGGCTTTTGCTTCATCCTTCTCTCCCCGCATGAACTAGCTCCTCTATAAGGTCACACATTTCTTCCGCTTGGCTGCGCGGAACCTCATGCCCACCAGCATGTTCGAACCGGTAGACCTTCCCTCCACACAACTGAATCATAGCAAGACTCTGTTGGCGCCACAAGAGATCTCGACGCCCATAGATATGAGCTGTTGGAATTCTGATACGGACTGTGTCCACATCCGCGTGAAACATATTGTAATAAACAGGTCGATTGGCATCTCGAGTCGTTTCCGTCCGTAGGAAGTACTCGTGTCGGACAACGAGCGATTCGTCCGGAAATACTCTTGGTCGTTCCGTAGGCGGCCCAGTAATCCCAAAATAATCCCGAACATCAATTCCATATTCTGGAGAACGAGTAGACGGTAGCGTGGAGCATATCAGCATAGCCGCTTTGAAAGGTGATGGCTTTCCAGCTAGCTCGTTATGCAGCATTAAAGAAGCTGCGAGTGCTGCTCCCTGGCTAAATCCAATGACAAGATCAATTGGATCTGAGAGATACTTTTGCAGGTATGTGTGGGCATCTGCAATTTGCTCGGTAGATGGGGTGCGGATCCAAGCAAGGTATGGGCCTTCGTGGACGTCGGCTACTCCGGGGAAAGGGTCGCAAGGCCAAGGGGCGTCGGGGAAAATAAATTCGCATTCTGTTGCGGAGAGAAGGTCCAGGATTGGCTGCAGCTGTGCTCGAAGTATGGCGGCATTAGTGCCCATCCCATGGAGGCATAGCACGCGAGTTGGCATTGGGTAGGTAGTGAGTGTTCAAGGCGGGCGAGTTTACTTGCAAGAGAATAAGCCGTTGGTCCTGAAGGTCTAGGCAGAGGGGGAAGCGGGCCTTATATATGCGGTTCAGCGGTTCAATAATCTTCCCTTCTTTAGGCTAACTACCTACGCACTTAAGTGCAGGTTTACATAAGCTACATCTATATCCATCGATTCCTAGGATTATTCTTTATCAAGTTGAATAATGAAATTGTGACCAATATACCATTCCTAAGCCACTATATCTGCTGGTTCGGATCGGCGCCTGCTGCTTAGTCCTGCAGGAAGTCAATCTGTACCTGCATCAACCGGGCAAACGACTCTCCTCCAAAGATATTCATGTGACCCTTTTCTGGTTCAAAGTGCTGGTGCTTTTTCACATCTGCCACAATTGAATCAAACAGCTTAGTTTGGTCCTCGGCTGTGGAGATGATATCGTCCTGGGGCGTAAGAAGCAGAACTGACGCCGAATCCAACTGAGAGACCAACCCGAGAGGATTCCACCCCGCTATCTTATAGTAGGTCTGTAGCGTGGTTCTATTCTCATATGTGGGCGCGTTCCGGAAAGCATCCATGATGAGGCGGTAGTTATTCGCGTCTGCTGCGCCACCGAATCCCGCAGGATTCAACCCTTCCTCAGTCAGAACAGGGAGCGAAAATGGCGGGTTTCCTTTGATGATAGATTCTCGGTCACGCATAGTCCGAGCCAAAACCCGAGCCCGCTTACCATCGAAGGTAAAATTGGTCAATGGACAGCAGGCGACCACCCAGCGCACCCGCGAGTCCAAGGTTGCAGCGCTCAGTGCGACAATTCCACCAAAGGAAAAGCCCCAGAATCCAATTCGGCTGGCGTCCACTCCTGGCTGGCTGGCCAGAAAAGTGAGCGCATCGCTATAGTCCGAGACCTGTTTGTGAGGGTCAAGCTCTTGGCGAGGTTCTCCCTCGCTAGCTCCAGTGCAACGTGGATCATAGATCAATGCGGTTATACCCGCATGTTGAAACTGGGCCGCAATGTCCGGGATGAACATTTCCTTGACCGTTGCAAACTAGACTCATTGTTAGTGGTGCGATACCTAGAGCAAGAATATACACGTAAGACGGACTCCACCGGTAAGAATAATGGCGGGACCTAGGACCGCGCCGCTGCTAGGGTAAATCCTCCCGCTCAGTGTAAGACCATCGATTGTCTTGAATTGGACTTCTTGGGAAGCCATGATGAACTTTGGATTAAAATTCAAGTAACTGCACAAAGATTGGAATTCAGAAATTCAAGTCTCAAAGAATATTACATTTCAGAAGTCTATATGAGACTTTTGTATATCAATGGCTTCAACATCGTGGCTTGCTGACAATATGGAGGTGTTTTCGTTAGAAGGATTACGCCAAAGCTAATGCAGAGTCATCAATATAAACACGGGGGCCGTTTTTGTTATTTGTAAGCTGTTTATTGTTCCCACGTTTCTCGGCTTATCTTCAGCTCAGCTGAATCCCCTGTCAGATCTAAAGTCTCCGGCAGTCATTTACGCTACAGATAGCGTGATTGACTTTAAGTCTGATTCGTCAGGTAAACTGTCTGCTTGGCAGAACTATATAAATTTCTTTGCATCAAAACTATTTTCGACATGCCTTAGTTTCATGCAGTTTCACAGCATATTTTTGTCACCCTTGTTCAATCTTGCTTAGATACTCGTTTTCAAACCCTTCAAATGGATCTTTCATTCTCTATACAAGGTCACTGTCCTAGTCAAGTCCCACTAGTGGAGCTCTGCATTCCAAACGAGCGATATGAGCGTCGGAAGCTGCAAAATCGTCGCTCTCAGCGCACACATCGTAGTACGGTTACCCCAATCCAATGCAGTGCAGGTACTATAGGCATTGTCAGACGCTAACAGACATCGATAGGTCGACGAGGAGGGAAAAGCTCGGACCAAACAGCCGGGAAAGGCGACTCAATATGCACATCAAGTCAACCAGACTTTCCTCTCACAGAAATACCAGCGAGCAACGTTCCCCGAGCAAACCATGGACCAGAACCGCCCCTTCACAATGCTTGTTCTTACAATTCATCGCCAATTCAGAGCATGCCTGGGGCGGATGCTGGACCGATGCCATTTCATCTGAATGATCTTGATTTGGGAAATCTCCCTGGAACACAGAGTACAAATTCACACTCTGGGTTTTCACTTAATGCGGGAGAGCAAAACGGCTACATCAGTTCAACCCCTCCATGGGATATGATTAGCCCGGTACAGCAATATGAGCAAAGGGCTAGCATGACCCAAGAAAAGGCGAATATGGACATGAATTGGCCCTTCAATACTCTCCCGAAATCGGAAGATCTGGGGCCGCGTTATCCATGGACGCCACCTGAGTTGTCAACCTCAATTCACGGCGAACAAATGACTCAGATTCCAGGTCAATCCAGCATGGAGTCAGCACCACGCTATCCCCTTACTCCCCCACAATCTCTCACACCCCAATGCAATTTACTCCAGTCACCTGGTCCAAAGATTGAGGCCAAGGAACAACCTCAAGACTGGCACTTACCTCTGCATATAGCAGTGGAACAAGGGCATGAACTAATTATTCGCGAGCTTCTGAGAGCGTCAGTGGGCATCAATGAGAGCGACAGCGCCGGCCGGACCGCAGTTCACATAGCCGTTCACAAGAAGCAAGAGGGTGTATTAAGAATTCTTCTAGAACATGGACCTGATGTCAATGCGACAGATAAAATGGGCTGGACTCCTGTTCATCACGCAGTTCAAAATGGCTTTACATCAGGACTGAAGCTTCTACTCGAACACGGAAGCAATTTGGCACTGCGGGCCCCCAAAAGATACCCATGATCTATGCTGTGGACATAACGCGAACACTGGATATGTGAAATATTAATTTAGCTGGGTGTTTCAGAGCCTTCGTCCGATGGTCATTAGAGATGGACAAAGTGAAGGGTGGCTCCAACTGATAGATCTCCTGATAGCAGCCTAGAATATATAGAAGGAGTTTAGATTAAATAAACATGGTTAATACTTGTTCCCAGTTCGTTCTAATATAGTTATCATGAATCTAGATAATCAATTCGAAGATGTCGTTCCCTGTAAATTCATCAGGTACCCCAAAGTCGTTGGATGGCTAGAAAGGCGGATCCGCCTTGATGTCCAATGACGTTGCGCGGAATCGATAAGGAACCACGTGATCCCCCATCTCAGGAAGGCGGTCAATACATATCGAATCTTTTTTTTTTTCTTCAAACATCTGCTGCGTAGACTCAAGGACCAACCACTTTTTCGGTTGCCAATTCCTCGCCCATCATGTCTGACGAAATTGTCTGGCAGGTTATCAACCAGCAATTCTGTTCCTACAAACTCAAGTGAGTATTAATCTTCTCTCGCTGGTTTCCAGTCCGCAGAACCTTTTCATCTCCATTAAGCATGGACAGAAAAACAAGAACCTTTCACTAACCATTCCAACCTTCTTTCTAGAACAACAAAAGACCAAAACTTCTGTCGCAATGAATACAATGTCAGTGGTCTGTGCAATCGCCAGTCCTGTCCTCTAGCCAACTCGCGGTATGCGACGGTGCGAAGCGATCCCGAAACAGGCGTCATGTACCTGTACATGAAGACCATCGAACGAGCCCACATGCCTAGCAAATGGTGGGAGCGTGTGCGCCTATCTTCCAACTACGCGAAGGCTCTCGAGCAAGTCGATGAGCGTCTTATCTACTGGCCCAAATTCTTGACGCACAAGTGCAAGCAGCGTCTCACCCGCCTGACGCAGGTCAACATCCGCATGAAGAACATCGCCAAGGAGGACGAGCGTCTTGGAGAGAGAGTCGTTCCCAAGCTGGCGCCGAAGATCCGCCGTCGTGAAGAGACTCGTGAGCGCAAGGCCGAGTCTGCCGCTAGAGTCGAGAGAGCCATTGAGCGTGAGCTTATTGAGCGTCTACGCAGCGGCGCTTACGGTGACCGGCCACTCAATGTCGAGGAGGGCATCTGGAAGAAGGTTCTCCGCGGTCTCGAGCGGGCTGGTGACGGTGAGCGTGATGTGGACATGGATGACGGCGAGGAGATTGAGGAGGAAGAGGAAGAGGGTGTCGGTGAGGTCGAGTACGTCAGCGATCTCGACGAGGAGGAGGACCTTGAGGATATGGAGGATTGGCTGGGTGTCGACTCAGCTGACTCCAGCGACTACGATGACGATGAGAGTGATGATGACGACAGCGAGGATGAGGATGACGAGGAGGCTAGCGCTGATGAGAAGAAGCCCAAGCCCAGTGCCAAGCGGAAGCATGCTGCTCCCCAGGCGAAGCCTCGCAAGAAGGGACCTCGCATCGAGATCGAATACGAGACCGAGGGTGCTGCCAAGGACCAGGTCATGGCATGATTTTGTCGATGTTAAAGGATTTGGGAAAAGTTTACCTGATCTTGCATGGCGTTCGGGCTGTCGATTCTTTTGTTTCATATTCTTTATTTTGTGCTAGTGATTGGGCATCATACCCTGCTATATTGCATCCACTACAACTCACGATCCTAGATTTTCCAATGTCTATTTTATCTTCATTGTACTCCTCGATATCTCTGTTATTCCTGAGATTTCTGAATATAATTTATTTGAGACAAGACCTGAATTGCTTTATTTAGGTGAAACACATGATCACGTGTTAACTATCGCCCAATGATTGTCCACTTGTCGTTGCCTTTCATTTTCCTTTGAACAACTTCACCTTAACCCAGAAGCCGGTTCTTCTGTTAATACCCCCATTAATAATCCACTGCAATCATCCTCATCTTTTGTCCAACTCCTTGGCCTTGAAGCTCTTGCATTGGGTCCCCACAAACAAAGGTCCAGCTCCGCGCCAACCCACCCCGCACCGAAGCTGCCATTCTGCAGACCGGGCATTACTCAACCCCACCAATCAGCTGCCACAAGATGAGCTCATACTTCTCATCCTTGACCACCTCTTCGGCCATTTCTGGCCTAGGCTCGCGACTCACCAATCTTCGTCGTGCCATTACGCTAGGCGACGAGGGAGACGACCCCGACAACGAAGACTGCTCCCACATCTCCAACGCCCTTCGAGCCTACTACGCTGAAAAGGGCCGACCATTCCCACCATGGCTCCCACAAGACCCCAAGGGCCCATCTCCGACCCCCTCCCGCCAGATTGCGACTTCACAGCTACCCTCTGGTGGCTACAACCAAGGGTCCGCCAACACCGGCCGGAACGGTGGTCTAGGTGATCTATGGGGCGATTCTCCATCCCAAACATCGCTCCCACAGACGGCCAGTCTTCGTCGCGGACGTGGTGGCACAGCACCGCCGCTCGCCTCCGCCAACAGCGCGCCGTCGGGCTCCTCCTCCTCGCCCGGGCCCGCTCTCACACATTCTCAGTCCTACTCGCCTGCTGGATCGGGCTCCCCCCATCCATCTGGAGCGCGGCCATTGCCCAGCCAGCGAGCTGGGTCATCTCAGTCTTCCCAGGGTCGTCCGAATCTCGACCGTGTTGGGTCGGGTGGTGGTTCGGCCCAGGACCGACTGCGAGCCAGATTGCAGGGAGGAAGGTCTCCTAGTCCTCATGTTGACCCTAGTGTCCGGAAGCCTGTTGGAGCACCTGGAAGACGGTGAAGGTGCAGATGCTTACATTGCATGGTGAAGAGCATGGCGTCGGGGGTTATTTTATGTTCAATGTTTACCGAGTACATACATAATGGCAAAGTTCATTCAAACATTCCATCATCGATGGTCAGGTGATTCATAGATCTGTGCCGAATACATTTATATGTAGCGCGTTTTCGCATAGATTTGCTAATTTGACCTTTTCCCCCACGCTTTGGGGATATATTAGGTGGAATATCTCACTCTTACGGGCTACCCGACTCTGACTTACCACCGAAGGGGTAGAGATCACCCTTTCCAACCATCCAACGAGCTAAGATATGCGATGGCCCCCACAATCGGCCTTCGCAACCAAGAATTTTCAGCCATCAAAGCCAAGCAGCAGCCAGCGAATGACCATCTTTTGCTTGCGTTAAGGAAAATCAAGCCTTTTAAAGCGATGGGGCCATCCCGTGTTTGACTGGGCCGTTATGTTCGGAGTATAACGCAACCCGCAAGCTAGTTTAACTTCTTTTTCTTCAAATGCAGGTCATTGGCCAAGTAGGAGCAGCTGACAAGCCTCAATCCATATTCGAAGCTTAATTGACAAAAGAAGTCATAATGTGCGCCCCATTTTCCCCGAGATGTCGCCGAGTCCTCCCCACGGGGACCCCAACTCAGTTGGATACCGAGTTCCTAGCGTCTTTCAAGTCCCGGATTATGTCCGAGATGTGGCCCCTCTTCTTCGGCTATAGATATATACAACTTCCGGCGTCGAGGTTGTTTTCCTTCGCAAGATTCATTCCGTGCAAAATACAGTTATACCGTGATATATGCCGACACAACGGGAAGCCGGGAAGATTCCAGAAGTATGAGACCACATTTGACGGCATTGTCGATCTGAGGTCTGAGGGTTAATTACACGGATTGCCTGTTGTGTACCTAGGAATGGTCGACATAAGCTTTGATGGTACACGATTCGCCCAAAGTCCCGATGTCTTGAATCACTCCACATTCCAATCCCTGCTCACATACGGCAAGCTGCATATTCTAGCCTTGGTCCTGTTTCTGTCTCCCGGTGAGCCCGCCTTTTCGTTCTTCATCTTATGATTAACGTGATCACCCCGGACTGGCCTGGTTCCCCACTTCTCTCCACACATGAGAGAGTACAGTATGCATACGGAGTACTTCAGACCGAGTCTAGATTCTGACTCGGCCAACGGCCAATCTCAACAATGTAGCACCTCCTCATATGGCTTTTTGACTTTGTTTTGGGCCCGAACCCCTACACCGTGCCTTTCTCGTGCGTAATGTCAAACAGCCGCCGCTGTGATCGTCATTGGGACGACCTCAAATAGTCTTGCCTTTCCCCCCTAGCTATGTCAGCTGGTGTCATTGCTCGACCCATATTTTCTTTTCATTTTCTATAAATCCTGGTCCTTGCTCCGGCAGAGCCCGAAGTGACAGTTCCACTCCACTGTTATACTTCATATCATCTAATAGTCCCACAAACCATCTCCTGATAGAGGTCTCATTTATCATGATCGACCTCAAAGATCTTGAGGTGCCCCAAAACGCGCACAACGAGAATAAAGATGCCGTCGCCTTTGAGATGGACGATGTGGCGGAACAAAAACTCCAAAACGGGAGGAGCGAAGCCGTCATGGACGCGGAACTGCAGCAGCTCGAAGAGCAGATACACAGTGTCCCCATTTCCCGCTACGAGATGACCCTGTCCAACCCTGCTGCCTTTACCTATGTTCTCGTCGCTTTCGCGTCTATGGGAGGTATGCTGTCTGGTCTTGACCAATCGCTTATCAGCGGTGCGAACCTCTACCTCCCCGTTGATCTAGGCTTGTCTTCGGCAGACAACAGTCTAGTCAACGCCGGCATGCCGCTTGGAGCCGTTGCTGGTGCTCTTATCCTTTCGCCAGCAAACGAGTACCTTGGTCGTCGTATGGCCATCATCGTCTCCTGTATCTTGTACACCATCGGCGCCGCCCTGGAGGCTGGCGCTATCAACTTCGGAATGATCTTCGCTGGCCGATTTATTCTTGGCGCTGGTGTCGGTCTGGAGGGTGGTACTGTTCCAGTCTATGTCGCAGAGTGTGGTATGTACCTCATCACGCTCACCCCACCTATATCCAATTCTAACTCCAGTATCTCCCAGTCCCCCGCAGACTCCGCGGTAACCTGGTCTCCCTGTATCAACTCAACATCGCTCTGGGTGAAGTCCTCGGCTACGCCGTCGCCGCAATGTTCGTCAGTGTGGAAGGAAACTGGCGTTATATCCTAGGCTCATCACTAGTCTTCTCAACAATCCTCTTCGTGGGCATGCTAGTTTTACCGGAGAGCCCCCGATTCCTAATGCACAAAGGACGCGAGATCGAAGCGTACGCAGTATGGAAGAAGATCCGTGGGTTCAATGACTTCGAAGCCAAAGACGAGTTTCTCGGCATGCGACAAGCCGTCACAGCCGAGAGCATAGAGCAAGCCCAGACAAGAAAGTATCCCTGGATGGACTTCATCACTGTTCCTCGTGCCCGCCGCGCAATGGTGTACGCCAATATCATGATCTTCCTCGGACAGTTCACGGGCGTAAATGCAGTGATGTACTACATGTCGACGCTGATGCAGGCAATCGGGTTCGGCAACAAGGACGCCGTCTTCATGTCACTTGTCGGAGGTGGAGCACTGCTGATCGGCGCCATCCCGGCCGTGCTGTATATGGAGCGATTTGGTCGTCGGTACTGGGCGAACGTAATGCTCCCTGGTTTCTTTATTGGCCTTGTGCTCGTCGGTGTGGGTTACACTATCGATGTCGATAAATACCCCGCCGCAGCACAGGGCATTTACCTCACCGGTATTGTGTTGTACATGGGTTTCTTCGGCTCGTACGCTTGCTTGACGTGGGTCGTTCCTTCCGAGGTTTTCCCTACGTACCTGCGTTCCTATGGCATGACAACAGCCGACGCTAACTTGTTCCTGTGCTCGTTTATTGTTACGTATAACTTTACCCGGATGATGGAGTCTATGCAGCGAATTGGACTGACGCTCGGGTTCTACGGTGGTATTGCTGTCCTTGGCTGGGCTTACCAGATTATCTTCATGCCGGAGACTAAGAATAAGTCCCTTGAGGAGATCGATGAGCTGTTCTCGCTTCCTACTGCTGTTATTGTTAAGCGGAACTTGAAGCAGACAGCGCAGGTTATTCGGGATTTGTCGCACTTCCGTGTAAAGAAGGTGTTTTCTCCTGAACCGTATAACTAGCCTAGTGATGATTATTTGCGAAGTTGGATGATAAGACAGGGGACATTTTCGGTTATGTATTCATGGCTCATACATCTTTAAAAACGGTGTAATGCGGTGATGAATTGATACGCTATTTGAACACGGGCTGATATCTTCGAGGTTATTCAATATGAATAGGGGGGGCGTTAGGTTGTCTAGGTAGGTAGTAGCAAAACTAGTAAGCAAAACTCATCTGACAACCTGAAAACCTGACAACCTGACGAGAATTTCGCCGATTCAATATAATTCCAATTCATGTTCAGCAGGAACTTTTATTATACAAATATGATACATAGTTTTTCTTTCTCTCTCTCGCCTTCTTCTGATTACCAGGTTTCACTCTCTGCTCTTCTTGTCTCACTTCCTTTCCATTCCAGGCTTTACTCTTATATTGCTTCTTAGCTTCTGTTCTGCCTCTTCTAGGAGACATTTCTGATATCTTTTTGTGGATCCTTTGGTCTTTGCCCCCAACTTGACAGCCTGCTAACGCCTGCCATCATGGGCTCCCAACTAAATTTTCGCTTATTTGGGAGCTGCTTGATCGAGGTCCCAACCAGGGAAGAGCTCGATCGGATGTCGCAATATCTACCGCTCTTGGAGGCCTTTGAGACATCGCTCAAGACTCGTATGCGCTCTTATTTCTTGATGGTCAGACTCGTCAACAACAAACTAATGTATATACAGGGGTAAAGGAGATGTGGGACCTTGGCACTGCCTTTGAAGAGCTAGTTAAGCAAGATACAATGGCTTGGAAGAGTCTGGGGGTAGACCGATCACCTCATTTCGTACAGCCTAGCGGCTCCATTAAGTCGCCTCTTGCCGTCCATCTTTTCAACCCGACCTTTTTTGTTGCAGATTCACACAATACGATGACATACGACCTCACAAACCCTACAATTCGCTTGTTATATGAGTGTGGTCTATCATCTGACCACTGCTTTATGTTTGATGAAATTTGTCGCCGAGAACGAACCGATGATTGTCTTTTTTTCTATACAGAGGATCTGCGCCGCCCTCACCGATATTTCATCCGAAAGGTCCGGGAAAATATGTCTGCGGCTGTAGAAATCTGCTTCGGGGAAGAAGCCTTTAAAGAGATACGCAAAACTGCTCGTCTGGTTCGTTTTCCTTTGTGGGGAATGTTCAAGTCTGTAAGACTTTGGCTCGAACTTGGTGATTCGAACTCTATGAAAAGATTCATCATTCAAGCCTATCATCCTCAATTTTTCTCCAGGCCTGGACGTTTCGATAAGACGAGTTCTGGGTTTTTCAAGACTTATGGGAGACCACAGGATCTAGCGATTTTGATGGCTATCCAGCTTGCTGGGCTTCAGCATCAAATGAAGGTCAAGCCTAAATTTTTTGAACTTCATTTTGTCCGAGGCAAATATTCTCGGCTGAGTCCCAAGCAGGACTTGGATAGGAAACAGCATTTACGAGAGGCTCTAGATGCCTTCCGGGTGGCATTTCCGGAAAAATTTAAGGATTTCGAGCTCAGGCAATCTCTTAGAAAGGAAGAGAGGGATCTATTACAAAGACTCAAGGATGTCCCTTCTGAATCTGTAGTGCCTATGCATACACACCCGAACGGTCCCATCTCTGAGGAAGAACAGGTAAGTTGTTCTCCGAGCTTCAGAGCTCCAGAGCTTCGTCTAATCAGCCAATAGATATTTCGCCTGAATGCGAGAAATAAGGAATTGCGTTCTATCATTACCTTTTTTGAGAATGTTGTTAAAGAAATGGAGCCTTTCCATAGTGAGGACAGGGATGATTACGCCGAGTCTGAGATTTTCGACTTTGTGGATATTCCGGCTTCGTTCCGATCATGGCTCCGGTCACAGGATGGTCTTAAAATCCGTGGTCTCCCAATAACAAATCGAGAGGCACTGGAATCGGCATTTTCTCTTCTTGGCAAAGGCCGCATATCAAACCTCGATCAATTCTCGACTGAATATCTCGCCCGCATGGTCGGAATCATGTACATCCGGAAAATCACCCGAACCGAATCAGGATTCAAGCAATGCAAAGCGATCCCTGGAGAGCCCGGGAAATTAATTCATCTAAAATGCAGGGGTTGCGCGAGATCAGTTTTGGATGACGCTTTTCCTTTCTTTGTGGCAGAATTGCCAAGTTGTTATATTATCGAGGTTGTTCGAAGTGCTCAAAGAGGTGGCAATGGCTGTGGGCAAAACGGCTGCAAAGGAAAGCCAGGCCTCATCCCTGCTCAAGCGGTGCAGCACTATACCCGTATGGAAACGAGGGCCATTGCCCAGACTAAACGCCGCAAGGCAAACTGGAAGGCCCCCCTATGCCGCACGGGTAAGGACCTGGAAGGTTGTGCTGAGACTGTTCGTGTACGTTGCCGGGGCTATGGTCAAGGTAACCAAAAAATAGAATGCGGCCGCGAAAGAGATTATGACACCCCAGAGTGGACAATTCACTCACCCGCTCGCCTCGTTCAGCCTCGGCTCAAATGTGATTGCGACTGTAGAAAAAAAGACCACTACTTCGAGCCTGTAGATAAACGGATTGCCACGATTTCTTTCACAAACTTGCGGAAGATCTATCGGGGCTTTTTGAACGCACACTGCAACTTGGCTGATTACCCTAAGCTTCCCAACATAATTTTCGACCTCGAGATAAACGGAAACCCTAAAAAGAAGCCCAGGACGTATCGAGAAAGATTTGAATGTCTGAAGAATGCCAAAATGGCTTTGACTGGCTCGGATCAAACATCATCACCATACGGATAGGATATTTTGCCATCTAACTTTGATAGCTTCGTTCAATATGTGAATACTATGTGGGTTTCTAATATTGTTATACTCCGAACTAGGGCTACATATATGTTGTAATCGTAAGGTGCCCACGGTAATATCTTAGTCGCCATCGATTAAGTTGAGCTCAGAGGGCTCATTTCTCAGGCTTTCATACACTCCATGGTTAATTAACTAGTTAGTTAAATAAGTAGCCCCAGGGCTCTTTTATTGCTTGCTCATAGAAAATGGTAACTTCCCGCTTCCTAGCTGGTCTGGTTTGTAGTGCTAGATAAGGGTGAAATCATCATGACATGGGGCGATAGCTCAGTTGGGAGTAGCGTGCGATTGAAGTTCGCAAGGTCGCCGGTTCAATCCCGGCTCGCCCCATTTTTTTCCTCTTTTTGTTTTATGAGGCTTCTCCATCAATGTATTCGAAGGGGTAACTGTCAAGTGTTGATTCTCTCAGTCGAAATTGATGATGTTATTAGAGGTCATGATTTTGCTGAGGAAAGTGTGACATGGTCAATATAAAAAGTAATTTTCTATGGTGGTGGGCTTGGCACGATTACTTTTTTTACCTCATACACAACACAACATAACCCTAACTAACTAACCTCCCTTGCTCAACTTTCTCAGAATATAGGAAGGTATGTAGAGTGTGCATTATAAACAAGGTCTCAATTACTTCCAATATTCCAAACATTATATCATGAACCTTATAACAAGGATCATCAAGCAGGTATAGATAGATGCTCAAAGCAAGTGAATGAATGAATGCTTCGTCACTTTACCTTACTTCCTACAACTAACTATCTTATGCTTATAATTAATTAATTAATCTTAGTAGTATATCTATCGAGATTGGCCCCTATTAGATATTTCTTTGTACTTAAACTAGTTCGAGGGTTGGAAAAAAATGGACGCGTACGCTGCGTAGGTACCTTTTGTATGGTGTTGCCATATAAAAGATACAAAAAATGGGGCGAGCCGGGATTGAACCGGCGACCTTGCGAACTTCAATCGCACGCTACTCCCAACTGAGCTATCGCCCCATTTGATGTTGATAGGCAGCTTATTTGAAACTACAGTTTCATCTTTTATATGTCGTTTGTGGCATGAACACATGCAGGTGGTTCTTGCCAAGCCCCTTATGACCACGGCTCATTGCTTAATGCAAATGTATGTTCTATTCAACTAACATAAAATAAGGTACTACGTACGAATTCCTTGACTCGCGAATCATATAAAACAAGTATACGTCCACTATCAGAATCTGAAGTATCTGAAGGGAGATATCCTTAGAAGCAAACTATTGCTAGATAGGGCTTTTCATATAGATAAAGCGTGAACAATTTTCGGACGCTGTTTGAAGACCCCTTCCCTTCATAGTCAACCATTCATTCATGCTATAGCACTATGGTAATGCCAATTTCAGAAATTAAAACTTACATAGAGCTCCGTACATGGTATACGGACAAAATTGCAACATAGAATAGTTGATTTTGTTCAACATCTGTCGGATCTTCAGTCTAAAAACTAAATGATAGATAGGCACGTGAAACCCTAACAAAGAGTACATTTCTGATACCCTCCTCCCTGGCCACTCCTTCGAGTATTTCAACCATTAGACCAAAAAAAAAAGGTGATACCCAGATCAATTCACGGAATTGACCAAAAGACAAAAAAAACAATGGGGCGAGCCGGGATTGAACCGGCGACCTTGCGAACTTCAATCGCACGCTACTCCCAACTGAGCTATCGCCCCATGCTATGTTGATTTGAAGCCAATCTGAATCTATGTTCCTAAATTAAAGTTGCGATTCGGAGACGAGGGCAATGCAACGTTAATATTAGGGTTAGCAATGCGAGGGGCAAAAAGTAAGGGGATAGGTACATATGGTACATATGTAGACAGTAAAGATATGGCATCTTATCGGTCCATTGGTAAATAATTTGTACGTAATCAATATATTCAAGATAGACATGCATTCTTATGTCTTAACTAAAGTGTTTAAACTATTGCTAGTAGGGAGCATGAACATGGCTGAAAGTAATGACCCAGCGTAGATGATATAGCCATATCAGGCATATTTTAGCCAGCGTGCCAAAAGCCACAATTTACCTTCTTGGAAGGGAAACGATAAGCAACGCGGTTACAGCTCCACCACCAGCTTTGTGGCGCTGACACCTGCCTTGCACTTTTCCAACGCAGATTGAATATGTTCCAAACCCTTACCGACGACAAGCGGAGGTGGGAGGCACTGGAGCTTTCCAGATTGCAAGGCAGGTGTAACATAATCCTCCCAGACAGGCGTCGCAATATCATTGACAGCAAAGATCATACCGGCATTGACCTTCGCCGGGAGATTAGTAGCAGGAGGAGGAGGATGCACGGATGCAAGATGTCCTCCACCCAACTGATCAAGAATGGTGATGTCGTGAGCGTAAGTCTCGGGAGTACCTATGGCATCAAAGATGCCAACAAACTCGCCACCGTTCTTTCGAACTGCGTCGGTAACCTTGTCGACAAGTGAAGTATCATTGCGATCGAATACTTCAGCAGCGCCGCACTGCTTGCTGAATTCAAAATTGTGTGCCCCGGCAATGGTAATGACGTGAAGTCCGGCTGCTGTAGCAATCTGGGTCGTCATCGAGCCAACGGAGGATGAGCCACCATATATCACAAGCGTCTTGCCGGTGGGTGGCGCTTCCTCCAGGGAGGGGTATGGAAGGCCCAGTGCCGGTGTGTTTACACCGGGCATGGCGAAGCCAGACTCCTTGAGGGAAAGCACGCAGACAGCTGCCTCCAATGCGAACGGGACCACAACACCATCCGTGAAAGATATTTCATCGGGAAGTATGGCTGCTTTGTTCGCAGGAATTACCGTATAGAGAGCGAATGCACCGTCCTCGGAGCGCCCACTAGTCAGATTGATAGCATGTCTATTTAGGAAAAGTAGAATTAGTCCAGGATTTCTTGATCTGGATATTCTGTCAAATAACACACCCAATTACACGATTCCCTTTCTCAAATCGTTCGACATCCTTTCCCACTTCATACACCTCACCGGCGATATCGCAGCCGAATATAGCGGGCCATTGCTTCACAAAGACCCCGGCATCTTGCATGTGACAGTCGAGGGGGTTAATGGCAATCGCAGCGTTTTTGATGACGAGTTCTCCTGGACTAGCTGTGGGCAACGGGGCATCATCCACCTGTAGTGGAGAGCCAGCTTTGGTGAGCCAAGCAGCTAGGTTCTTTGGAATAGACATCTTGATAGAAGTATGAGGAAACGTAAACTTGTCTCAGAAGAAAGGTGAAATGAGATGTTTGGGTTGAGCCGATAGTTATATAGAACACATTTGGGGCAGACCTGCTGAACTATATAAATACTGTAGAACTTTCGCATATATTATGATTGATGCCTAGGGAATGGTAATCAACAAGCCCAAAGCACCATTATTTCAAAGCAGATAGGTAGTAAATATTGCGATGTATAAGAACGTAGAACCGCATGTGCCGTTCTTACGAGAACCCTATATGCCGTTCCCTCAATGCCGACTTAATACCGGACTAAAATTACCACTAGACCCGTTTTGGAAAGGTGCCAGCCGCTGGTATTCATGCAGAACAACCAGGTAAATAACAATAGACTTAGATTCAGTCAGATGTTTACTGATAATTCATTGCTACGTACATATGAGACATTACCGATTCAACGTTGATAAATTATACAACACGATCAAAGTCTCATAATGTTTCTATTAATACGAGGATGAGCTCTGAATACGTCAACGGCAGCACATGGTTCCGCGTTATCTACGCCGCATTGTTCACAATCTTCTCTACCCCCAACCTCCACCCTAGAAAGAGGGTTGCCATTTAAAATGCGACTTGGCCCACGGGACCTACTCGAGTATAATGCAAAATACAAAGTGGTGATCTGCCGAGAGTGCCACTATGCCATTCAGAAAAATGCGTTAGGGAGCCATTTGCTCCGCCACAAAATTTACCGGGAAGAAAGGCTTCATTTGCTATCCACTATCCATCAACTCGACATCGTTGAACCGGGTAATCTTACACTTCCTAGCCCAAATACAGGGCCGATTGATGCCCTTCCCGTAGTGTCTGGGTATTCTTGTACCATGACCGGGTGTGGGCATCTCTGTGCAAGCTCTAAACGCATGAGCCGCCACTGGAGTGATGTCCACAATGCCAATGGACCGAATGATTTTGCTTCTCACGCGCGTTCGGTCAATCTACAGACGTTCTTTCGCGGCACAAAACTCAAGTATTTCGAGGTCTCTGTAGAAGACACAGTCCTGGAGCCACAGGGTTTCGATGAAGGGGGTGGACATGATAGAGAGGACTCTAGTATGGATGATTTGCCGCCGTTATCACAGCTGATATCACCTTCTGAGTCTTCTCCCGTCGTGGATCTTGAAACATTGGCCTATTTCCATCATTTCATTATTACAGCTTGTCTAACGCTTCCTAAAATGGAGGATTATTTACCAGCGTCACAATACTGGGGCGTTTACGTTGTTTCGTTGGCTCTACAACAACGGTGGCTAATGTGCGGGCTACTGGCCATTTCTGCGTACCATTCAACCACGCTCGAGGACGAAACAACAGCACGGCAAAAACACTATGAGCGGGCAACAAAGCTCCGTTCCGAATTCTTCGTTGGATTCAACGAGATAATAAACAATACTCCCAGCACTGAGGCTACCGAGACTTTCCAGAAAACGAAAAAGGCAGCAATTCAAGTCAGGGGCATTGTGAGCTGTGCGCGGTGGACCGTGACAGGGTTTACTGCAAATCAAGAGATCGTTCTGGGCCCTGCCACGGCCCTGTCCAAGCTAGAGTCTTTACTATGCGATATCCGATACTTTGCGTCCTCTGAACCGGGTAATTTTCTAGAAACCGAGAAGGGTAATCGCGGTGATATTCAAACATCTCCGAGGTCAGACACCTCCACAGAATCTACCGCGTTACTCAACCGTCTTCAGATGCTCCCTTATCGCATGGCCGAGATATTCGGGAAACCAGATCATGAGCAAGATGCCCTGGCTGTTCTACTCGGCATTGGAGCCTTGCTCCGATGTTCTGATGATTTATCAGGGCCGTGGCAAGGTATAAGCGCGTGGTTAAACAAGACCACTGACCACTTCAGTCATATGGTTTTACTTCAAGACCCAGCCGCGCTTATCGTGCTAGCCCACTGGGCCGCCATTCTGTTTAAACAGGCTGAAGCTTATGAGTGCTGGTTCATACATGGTTTTTCAAGGGCAATTGTTTTGATAATTTCCGAACATCTTTCTACGGATGATACAGTTCGGATATTAGTTGAAGGCCTGTTGGAGTGAACTAATTCATGCGGCTCTATTGAGCTCCGTATATATATCTCCTATCTAGGTAACACGCGCAGGTCTTGGTGTACCAAAAAATGACGACTTGGAATCCTAGCAAAACTTAGTAAATAAGGAGTATAGTAGAGATTGATTAGCTAAATAGGAGGGTGTTTGTCTCTAGTCATCCGTGGTGAGTCTTCTAAGCAGACTTATGCTCAATATCATCACAAAAAGTCCAATACTGGCTGACGCAATCAGTGTTATGGAAATCCATCCCAGCGCCATCGCTGCACCTCCCACGTGACCCGAGACAGCGCCATAAGTGAGGATTTCGGTCATTGTAGCTGTGGCACTGCTGTTGATGTGTTGCCACAATACGGAGACGAATCCAAATCCAAAGCTAGCAACTGTAAAGAGTAAACAAAGGTGTGACACCTCTGTGTTAGGAAATGGCTTCACCTCGCGCATTGAGCCGGTTTCGTCATCAACTTCATCATGCCATCCAGGGAATGTTGATAGGAGTATAAATGAAATGAATGCTAAGGCCACCGTGACATATCTGTGTATAAGGGCCATCAGTATATTGCATCAAAATAGCAACCTGGATGGAAATACTTACATCAAACCGTCGAATACAATCTTCTCCTTAAACTCATTCGCAATCATGATCAAATTGAGTGGGTCGGGTATGATCTCCGTACTTGTATTCCCATTTTTAACATATTTTTGCGCCTGGATTAAATTAGCCAACACCTGTGCGTTGGCAGAGCAGATGCGTCCTGTATGGCTCTGCGTGATACAGATCCCCATGTATCCCGCTCGCACTTCAAGGGTCGTTCCATTGCCAGCTTGCGTCACATTGTGAGTGGCATGTGCAATAGCTAAGCTCACTTGTCCGGTTGCTGTAGACAGAGCCTCTTTCGCTGTATATTTTAGCGATAATAAGTATATATTGCTTAGACCGTTGGAAGAAGAGCAGCCCGCAAGTAGAATAGCTTGGGAAAAGAATTAATCAATAAATTTCGAGGGTAAATAGAGTTAGCGGTCTCACATAGGAAAATAATTGAAATCAATAATATGATCATCAAAACATGATGGTAACCGATTAAAGGTATCCACCGGCCTTTGAACCATGTTAGCACACATATCCATTCGAATACTGAGGATCGTACGTATGTTCAAATTCATCTTTATACGAATGATATTTGGTAGCAAAGGTGTAGTCGGAAGATGAGGGGTAAACAATAGTGAGAAAAAAACGAGAAAAGACAAGGCAAACTGCGAGCTGAACATATAATAACCCTAAACCCCTCCAGGGCTAGTGCCATGCATATGGTTAGCACGTGACTACTCAGTCCCCTTTAGCCATGAATTTCATGTTCTATCTCTCCCCCAAACCATTCAATTCTCTCATCTGAAACGGATAGTACCTATGAAAGTGCAAGGCATGATCCAGCGTTGCTCGATATGGCCGGAAAGTGCCCAAAAAGAGACAATTAACTTTGTTGGATGATCCCATATCCCATGAATGACTGTTGGATTGCTTACGGACTGAGCGATCCATTGTTTGCTGCATGTTATAGGTACAAATACCCTGCTTTCTTATAGATATGCTAATTAAAGATTTCCTCCTGCTCTTCTTCCCACCCCAATAGCTGTAACAAGCGTCATTAGAATCACCGTCATCATCACAACACCCACAGTCAGCCCACTCTTGATACCAATAGCTAGTGGGCGCGTCCAGATGAGTGCCAAAGGCATCCCGATAAATGCTGCGGCGAACGTCAGATATATCAAAGCCATTCTAGCCCACCAAGGTGCCCGGCGTAATCCGTCCATGATCAGGTTTGGTAATGCGTTCCGATACAGCGGCTTAGATCTTCGCCAGAATGGAACCCCCACGACGAATATAACAATGAAAGCAATAGCGATACTGACAGCATCCCGGATACCGGAATCAAGCTCGCGGGTCCAAAGCATCCCGATTGGGATCGCTGATGCAACTCCATTCAACAAAACGAAGCTGATCATGAAGCCGAACACAGCCCAGAGCCTTTTTGCTACTAAGCGGGTTCTTTTCACAGCCAACTTCAAAGTACCGGAAATTTTGGTACCCAGTCGACTTCCTATTGACTGAAAGATCAGGAGCATCGGAAGCGATCTAGGTGGCACAGATTGACCATTCCTTGCTGCATATTTCCTGACATCATGTTTCACAGCTGTCTTGATAGACATCAACCAATGGCTGCGCATAACCATACGCATAAAATATGCAAATGATGTCACGACAATAGCCACAACAAAAAAGTTACTGATAGGAACTGGATCTGCAAATGGTTCGATTTGCATACCAAAGACAGAGGCGGCGAAAGACATCGGGATAAAAATGAACGCGAGTTCGGTGAGTCTTGCCACAGCATGAGCCTCGTCAATTGAGCGTCGACTCTCCAGGAGAGCCATATTTGAATTCAAAGACGTCGATGTTGTTTGAAGTCGATCAATAATGCGATCAATACTCTTCCACAGTTCATCTCTATCTTGCGTAATCTCCATTTTCATGGATGCGACCTCCAAGAGTGAGCCCGGAGAATGGAGCTTTATGAGAAACTCAATAAAGGGCTCGATGGAATATCTCAGCTCTGGAAGTTCCCGCTGAGCACGGTTGATGATATTTCGCCATAGGCTCAATCTATCCTCCATCTTCACATCATCTATAATCTCGATATCTATTTCGTCAAGGACCTGTCGGAGCTGATTGAGAAGCGTCATGGTGTCTTGTTTAATAATTCGGGTCAACGCCCTGGCCAGGCTATGTGATCCCCGCTGCACATCGAGAGCGCCACAGATCTCTGATTTGGTTGACTTTGTTTCCTGGAGTTTGCTCTCCAACTCTGCCATCGATTGCGGCAATTGAAATATGCGGTCTAGGTCGGCTGAGACTATCTGGCGGGGAGCTATCTGTTCGATGATAACCGAATCCAGTACTTCGCGCTTCTTCTCGGAAACTTCCCGTTTCTTCTTGGATTTGCGTTTCTTTTCAGGTTTGCCATTTTTTCGTTTATTTCTGCCAATTATCCAATCAGTAAACGAACGTTCATCCCTGACACGTTGTGGTTGCTCTTCATCGATGATAAACTCTTCGACATAAATCGTCTGCTCAATGGAGGAGTAGTGCGACGCATCCTCCTCCTCCTCCTCTTCCTCCTCATCATTCTCGCCGTTTTCTTCCTGAGAGCCAGTTGATGCCGAGTATCTACTCCGTTCCATAGATGAATAGCGCGTCGCATTATCACTACCATTCTCGCCATTTCCCCCTTGAGAACCATAATGACTGCGTTCCATAGAGTGTTGGCCATCGTTCTCGCCATTCCCCCCTAGGGAACTAGGTGGTGTCCAGTATTGACTCTGTTCTGTAGAGTGGTTGTCATCATTCCTACCATTCTCTCCTTGAGAACCAGTTGTTCTCCAGTATTGGCTCAGCTCCCCGGAGGGGCGGCGCGACATATCATCACCATCGTCATCAGAGCTCTCATATCTTTTCTCGTGCTTTTTTCTTTTTTTTCTCTCGCTATTCTCTCGTTGCGAACCAGCTGCTATCCAGTATTGATGTATCTCAGATATCTCTGGCAAAGGGTCAAGAAGTACGATTACTACACATGGCCTGTCAGTATCTCGTGTGGGGTTTCTACTTCATGTATATCACTTACCAATCTCGGTGTCTTGATACATGAGCTTCTTTCTCCAAATTGACACTCTCTCCTCTAATCCACACACTCTTTTCGATCTCACTGTCATTGCTGGATCTGTCCACAAACCCCAGTCTAGCCGAAATATGTTCGTGAGGATTCCCGTCGTAACAGACCTTCCCCGGGTGAAATGTGTTACGCTTTCCTTAAGCAGATCTTCGAGGTCAGCATTCGAGAAGTATGTTGGACGTCGATAAACTGGTCGGATCCACCTGAATGACATGTAGGATTTCTCGAATGATGCTGTGCTCCAGTTTCGAGCTGGTGGACTGTCGTATTTTCCGCCGGCATAGCCAGAATTCAGTAAATGCTCTTCGAAGAACTCGGGATTGATGCTGAAGTTTTCACCCAGTTTGTCTATCACGGGCTTGGAAAGATCTTCCACAAAGATGAGTCTTTGGCGTACATATTCTGGGACGTGACGCATGTCTGCGATGGCCGCTGAATCATCGATATATGTTGAATAGGATACGAAGTCATCGCGATAGTCGTAGTATGTGATTGAAGTCTTCCCGTGACGAGAAGCTTTCCTGACATTTCCATATTTGATATGTTCAAGCAACCTTCCAGCATTCTTGATTATTTTTTTGTATGATGTTGGACTTCTTTCTTCTATTCCGGGAGGAGTAATCTGTACTATATCAGCCATCGGATCTCCTTGACTAGATCTTTGACTAGATCTTTGACTAGATCTTTGACTAGATCTTTGACTAGATCTTTGACTAGATCTTTGGCTGGATCTTTGGCTGGATCTTTGGCTGGATCTTTGGCTGGATCTTTGGCTGGATCTTTGGCTGGATCTTTGGCTGGATCTTTGGCTGGATCTTTGGCTGGATCTCTCTGTGGTTCTATCCTTTCCGCGATCCTTGGCTTGTTCTTTGCCTTGATCTTTGGCTAGATCTTTGGCTAGCTCTTTGGCTGGATCTTTTGCTGGATCTTTGGCTGGATCTTTGGCTGGATCTTTGGCTGGATCTTTGGCTGGATCTTTGGCTGGATCTTTGGCTAGATCTTTGACTAGATCTTTGACTAGATCTTTGACTAGATCTTTGGCTGGATCTTTGGCTGGATCTTTGGCTGGACCTTTGGCTGGATCGTTCACTAGATGGCGGGCTGGATCTTTGGCTGGATCGCTCACTAGATGGCGGGCTGGATCTTTGGCTTGATGTTTGGGTTGACGGCGGACTGGATACAGGCAGCGGAATATTAGATGGATCTATTGAGTCGGGTGGTCGCAATGTCACATCTTGGGTAGGCTGGGATCCAAGGGATCCATCGTCATCCTCGGCATCAATATCATCGGGTGTGTGGGATACCACGGAGGCAGACCCGTTTGTTCCTGGACCACGGCCATATGTAGAAGGGTCATTTTGCAGAAGATCTTCTAATGAGTTCGTTGCCTCTCCTGATGCAAGCTGGCTTTGAGGGGGGCCGAGAGGCTCCGATTGTGCGAGGTCAGGGTTACACGGTCGTCCTGCCGCCATTATATGGAACGTCGCGTTTGTCCAGATGTTTCATATAACAGAGTCAATTGTCTCAATGGGAGAGACATGTCGCCTATATGTGGAGGAGTTCCAGCTCAGCTGGGTGAGCTGGCCCGTGCGTGTTGGCACCACGCACTAGGCCAATCACCCCTCTTCTTCACAGCACTAAATTCACTAAATTCGACGCACATAAAACTGCTCTAAATTCGTTCGTGTCCACTTCCTCGCTTGTGTGCTTTAGGTTAGAAGTTGCGGGTCGGGCTTTATTAACATGTTTGGCGCTGCCGGCAGTCTCGAGGGGTTGCTGTATGGCATATCGAAGCGGTAGCTAGGCGGGCGAACCCCCATGATATGGCTTTTGTTGTACTCTGTCCTTCATCAACGGCCACACATGTTCGCACGCCAACCAGAGGGTTGAAAGCGTGGGGTGCAACTATCAAACATGGTAGTGGCGTATTGGGTCACGCTGTAAAACTGGGTGGTACGTTGGAGTCGAAACTGCGCGATGTGCGACTAACGGTAATGAATTGTGCGTAGTCATGCCTAGAGCGTGATACTATGGATTCAATAGCGATCTTTCTTCTCCCTGTGGTAGCAAGGCCCAGTGGCCTGTTTTTTTTTAATGTGAGTTTGCTCATAAGATGGGGTCGATAGGAACCAGGATCTCAGGGCCTCTGGCGAAGGCGAGATGAGAAGAAAATCATGGATTGAGAGCTAAGTGGGCGAGAGAATGGAAGGAAGGTGCTATCAGCCTGAGGCAGAAGTCTCAATAAGTATTTATGGGTGCAAGTCTGAGAATATGAAAACACAAAGTCCGAGGGCTGAAACTGGTGTAACATTAATCCAAGGCTTCAAAGTCCGCTCGAATCGACGAACATATATGATCAACTAATGGCATTTCCTCCTCTATTGGGACATCCAAGGCCCCAGCTTGCCAACTTACTGTGCACACCAAGCTACCCCCTTTGACACTGATCATGTTGAAAACAAGTGGCGCACTGGTAACATTTCCAGGCTGTGAGAACACCATCTTAACAACCTTGCATTTTTGGTCTGCACTGTCGTCCATGTTATCAAACGCAAGCAAATTGCTCAGTTCATACGAGGAGTCCCGCTGTTGTCCAATTTTACTCAACGTCCAATCCCTGATGCTGGGGGCATATCTCAGAAGGCCGATTGCTTGGTCTTGTAGCGTCGCACCACATATAGCGAGTTTCTGTGTTATTGAACTGGCAGCGGCCCACATCTCCTCGGACAAAGCAGGCTCCGTCACATTCGGTACCCGTGGATGTACCTCGTAATGTCCAGAGACGAAAAGACCCCATGTGAGACCAGGCGTCCCGATAGATGCTCGCATATCAACGGGCGTTCCCGAGACAAAATTGGTCACGCCAGGACTAGGAATGGCCTTGCTTAGCGCCCGAACAATCATTTGGTGCACCGTCCCTGTGAGCTTGGTACCATGGCTTCTTGACGCTTGAAGGGCCTTCTGAACGAGCGAAGCCTCGATATCAATTATCCTTACTCTGCTCTGGAGGGCGGCTGCCGGATTGAAGAACATGGGCGACCCAATCCAAGTACCGGCATCTAGCGTGCTAGCAGATGCGCGGAGCCCAAGAAGTTTGCATAGAAACTTTGGCAAGTAAACAGCTATCAACGGCTCAAGGAGGAACTTCCAAGATATGGGAAGCCTTTCAGGTGTGTCAAAGGGTGCCGGAAGCGTTTGACTTGTAGGAGTCATTAAGAAAGAGGCACTCTCCTCCATACCAGCGGTCTGGCGCCATGCATCTAGAAAAGTGCGATGGAAGGCGACTCCAACCATGCCGTCTCCGAGAGCATGAGAGAATGCAAAGGCGACAAAGCATCGCTTCGCTTTGGATTCTTGGGGAGAAACCAAAGGGAGGACCACGATTCGCCAAGGTGGGATATCAGCAGGCCAAGGCCGGTCAAGTATGGCTGGCATGATCTTTTCAATTGTTGCTGTCTCGCCATTGCTACTAGCTTCGTCTTCGTGAATTATAGACAAATGATTGTGGAGATCAATACTAGAAACAGCTTCGTATGATGGCTTCTCGGTATCCTTGTCCTTGACTACCACGCTTAGGTGTGGGTACTTCTCTATGCAGTGTTTCAAAGGTGCAAGAAATGACTCGGCGCAATTGACATCTACATTTTCACTCGCAATTTCATAAATTGCCGCTATGACGAGCGCGTTGTAAAAGCCGACATCTTCGCGACTGATTGTTCGGCGTTCATTGGGACCTGGATCCCGGTTAGCACAATTGTTATAACTCAAGGAAAGAGATTTTACTAACTTGCAAGTCTCATGAACTTGGTGGGTTGTGACATTTCTATACAAGAGTCACTGGGTACAACAGGCAGACATCTACTGTCAATTCCAGGGGAATAAATATACCGGCATAACTATCTTCCGGCTATATCGAACGATCTATTTTGGGACATTGACAGATACCGGGAGAGCCGGAAAGATCTCGGAAACAAAATGAAAACATAGCGAGGCCACGTACGGGATTTTTTATGAACGATCCGCGAAGCGAAATTCCAAAATGATATTCGTCAGAAGAATGCAAAGTATGTTGAAATTCCACGTCCAACTGAGAAAGCCTCTGCCGCATAATCCTTGCGACAAAAACCCTCCAAGTTAGTGAGATTGCCTATCGGGGCTCTAACTAGTCTGCCCAAGTATACTAGACATCTGCCTTGTTTTCCAGATACTCCTTGCTAAATGGATAATCCAAATAACCCACCGCTGACCCGGAGACATAAAAAGTATCTCTGCTGTATGCATTGAGCTCCAAACCCTTCCTAATCCTAAATATGAGATCCGGATTGGAAATAAAGTGCCGGCCAAAGATAACCATGATGTTTTTGTCTGGATACTTCTCATCCACCAACTCACGGGCCTCATGAGACGTATACCCTCCAGCAATAAGAAAAGGCCCGTTCCATAAATCATATGCAAAATCCAGTGTCTCATCGCCATTGTAATCTTGGGAACCAGATATTCGCGACTCGACGAGGTGAATATATGCAATACCCGCCTCCCTGGCTTTGTTGATCACATTCGTGAACTGCGGGATCGGATTCTGCATTCTCATACCCTGGAACGTACTCCAGGGGCTCAGCCGAAGCCCGACACGTTCAGGGCCGATGGCATGAACAACAGCTTTGATCACATTGTCGAGAAGACGAGACCTATTCTCTACATTCCCGCCATACTCGTCGTCACGATCGTTGCTGACGTCTTGGATGAATTGGTCTAGTAAATATCCATTTGCGCCATGAATCTCGACTCCGTCAAAGCCGGCCTGAATAGCGTTCTTCGCAGCGTCGACATAATCCAGGATTGTCTGTTTGATCTCGTCGATGGTCATGGCCCTAGGCACCGCGGCGCCTTCTTCCATGGGAATAGCGCTGGGTGCTACAATAACGTTGCCTTCTTTCCGGGCTGTGTTGACATCCGCGGCACGGCCCATGGCAAATAGTTGACAGAATATGAAACATCCCTTACGATGAACTTCATCGGTGACGATCTTCCAGGCAGCAACTTGATCCTCACGCCAAAGCCCTGGTGCGTGTGGGAATCCGCCACAGGTTGCCGATATGAATGTTCCTTCGGTGATGATCAAGGTACCTGGCACTGCGGCGCGTTGGCTATAGTATTCCTTCATGAGGGATGTTGGCACTCGGTCTTCAGTTGCTCGGAAGCGAGTAAGTGGCGCCATTCCGATGCGATGTTTTACTTCCATGCCACCTATCTTGAGGGGCTTGAAAAGACGTGATTGAGGCATTGTCAAGAATGTTTGAATAGCTGTTCATCAATGGGAGAGTTGAGAAGATTTTGATCCACAGTTCAATCTCAGCGAAGACAAAGTACTTGTACTCGGCTTGCGAGTGAAAATATTCTGCATTCGTTCGGATGAATGTTGTCATTGTTCTATACAATTAAGGTAGAGAGATACTTCTCAAAAAGGAAAAAAGATACTTCCTATTAGGGATAGGCTAACGAACTTGACCATATATGGTTAGATTTTCAATATTGGGCCAATCATTCATCTGGAATATGAGACTAGTGGGGAACAATATCCGGAGAGTGCTTGCTGACTTTCAGCCCTCGAGGTAATCGGCGTCATTTGGGACCTCAGGATAATTGGCTGATGACAAATATAAGAAGGCATTTATTCCAAGGTTTTTATAAGGTCATTTCACTAGATATGATTTGAAATCAATATTTCAGAATTCTGACTGCTTTATCTACCACACATTGAGCAAATGGAGCCAAAGGATTACTCCGTTGAGCGAGTCTAGAGGGAAACTTCTTCCCAGAAGGCTTTGACCTGTGACAAAAATGCTTTGTCAGACCATATAAACCGCTTAAAAATCACGAGAAGTTCTGGCCACGATGTATATAGCCATCTGAATCTGTTATGATTCAAATGCAACAGTTTCATGTAGCCTTCCCGTATAGTCCCCACGGGGGCAAAAGCTCCCCCGATGTGCAAGAGCCAAGCCAACAAATCAGGCGAATCATCCCACACTGGATTATCGCTGGCTGCTTGTAACTTGTAGAGTAATTGTAATGAAAGGTGGGACTGATGGTGTGTAAAGTCAGCACAATCCAATAAGAGACTAGGAGGAAAACGCAGGTAATGATATTGGCTTACGGGTATGGTTGAAGTCCGCCAGATTTTGCAGCGCAGCATAGTTGAACATAGATATGCCGCTTTGTGGCAACAGTCCGGGATAGCTGAGCAAATTTGCAAGCTCGCTAGCCTCGACTGGATAGACGCTTGCTGGTTATCGATCTGTGCCATTGGCATTACATCCTCTATGCCGAGAATTTCTGAATCTCGGATACATTGCAACGCAAACACATCCTTGAGTATTTCAACAAAATCATGACCCAGTAAATATGAGTGGCTCCGAAACCCAGGCGGAAGAATAAAGAAGTCCGGATGGGAAGGGTCTCTCGTCCACTGGAGCTCAGAAAAGGTTTTGTGGTCAACAACTCGGCTTGAGCCTGTCATGGCCCAACCATTCAAGTCTGACCTGTTGTTTGGTGTGTAAGTTTTAGCCGTCAGGTAATACTCCAGGCTACTCACCAGAAGACTGCACGTTTAATGTCAGCACTCAAATATACACCCTTTCTTTGGCATACCTCAAGAATGTGTCGTATTGCCCCCATGTGGAGCTGGACTTGGCGCGGCATTCCAAGCTGGGCCTTGATTATAAAAGATTTAGCTTTTTTTTCTTCCAAATATGGCGAAGTCGAAGAAAAATATGCACGAACCTCTATACCGGCGAGTAGCAAGATGGTCCCTATTGTAGATTCCGTAGCAGCACTATCCGGGGAACTTATTCTTCGACGGATAGAGCTCAGAGCCGTGCTTTGATATTCGAGACACTCCCTGCTAGTCATACCTGCTGTGGCCGTAAATGAAAATGTGAGCATGACGGCGCTCAGAAGAGCTTCATCATCTTGTCCTTTTTGAAGGACGGAGCGGAAATTTTGGAGCACAAGTTCATCAAAAACACTCAAGACCGGCTCAGTGGTTTGTTGAAAACTTTCTATATCGAATTTTATGTGAGCCGCTGTCAGATATTGGGTGATTTCTACCATCTTACGTCGGTTTAGAAATCCTCGTAATATTGGTGACTCTGCAGCCAACATTTGGAACGGATCGGAGGAACACGTAGCAAGGGAGGCTGGTAGTACGGTAATAGCTTTCTCATGTTTTCCTTTTCTCTTGGATAGGCTCTGATCGTTTGCCGGGCATAGAACATGGAAATTATGGCCCGAGATCTGCTGATGCCGTCTTTTGTTCCGAAGACCGTGCGCTACAGCATGCGACCGGGCTGAACGCTTCGTTATGCGGTCATCCGGATTTTCTGTTGGAATGAAAAGAAATTGATCGCCTAAATGCACAAGTTTAACCATAAGATATAGGGTCATGCTCCCTTGAAGATCTGCCGTACCTGATATGAGCTCATTTTTTCCGGCCATTGGAATGAAACTGTATATGTAGGGCCTGTCGTTTTCAATCAGAATACATGCATTTTTTCCATAAAAGGAAGTATTTTCTGCCGTTGTCCAGGACTGATAGCCCTGGGGCCCGGGGTGTTTGTGGATTACAAATCAGAACTGCAGGGGCCCGGGCTCCCCCGAGGTCCCCGAGCGGAGCATACCGGCGATAAGGTTTCTAGGTGAGATCGCGGCCCGCTCGGCTAACCAAAAATGTCATGAAAATGAGGCAACCTTAATACCCCTTGAGCAAACTTTAGAACACGTTGGATTAAAAAAGAGCAAAATTTACGCAGCATAACACATACAGCGACTTTTCTGGTTGGGATAATGCAATAAACCATGGAGTAGCCTTGAAGGTCAACTATGAGAAAGCACTGATACGACGGTCACCACAAGGATAGTCACAAATATGCATTGATCTCAATCACTCGGCACAACTTTTATGTACATAGCCCCACTACCAGGCTGTCATACCACCATCAACCCGAATATCTGCAGCAGTGATATAAGAGCTCTCATCTGAAGCAAGAAAGCAAGCCACGGCCGCAACCTCTTCTGGCTGACCGGTGCGGCCAAGCATAATCTGCTGCATCATATTCGAGGTCCACTCCTGGTCTACAAGCAACGGTGCAGTTTGTAGAGTCTCGATAAGGCCTGGTGAAATTGAATTGGCTCGGATACCGTGCTCACGACCTTCCATGGCCAACTGGCGAGTCATGGCAATAATACCGCCTTTCGCAGCTGTGTGAGCAACACTAGCCACTGATCGAATGGCAATCCAGCTGTTGGTAGAGCCAACATTGATGATTGATGCACCAGAATCCTTTAGATGTGGCCATGCGACACGAGTCAACAGGTAGACGAGGTTTAACTCCTGGTCAATTGTTTTGTACCAATCGTCATCCTTGGCCTCATCAAGCCAGCTCATGTAGGCCATCGCTGCATTGTTGTACAGTACATCGATGCGTCCATGTGTTTTAATAGCTAGCTTGACCACTTGCTCACAGTCTTCGCGTTTTGTGAGATCACATGGAGTCAAGGATATCATGTCACCACCTTGTTCTCGTACAGCTTTGACAGTTGCTGCATCGGTCACAGCATTGATGTCACAACCAACGATTATTCCGCCTTCCTGGGCAAATTTGAGGGCTGCTGCACGCCCCATACCGCCGCCCGTACCGGTGATGAGGCATATCTTGTTTAACAGACGAGGTGCCATGACGGTGACTTCGGGGCTGTTATATGTTGGAAATTGTTTGGAAAGGTTTGACGAAGTACTTTATACGGGAAGATGGGCCATGGAGAGTAAGAAGAGGGGGTGGCAGATAGCTCTGATCAACTAATATATATTTGATGTTTGCTTTTTCGAGTAGCCCAATCAATACAACGCTTGTGTCTAACTCTACAGGTCTTGTTGGTTTCTCCACTTTAACTAAACACCGCGCCAGTTATTGAACTAAGAAATCAGTAGATGCATATTGTAACTGCACGATGCACGATCGAGTGGCCGATTGAGTGACGATCGAATTCAATAGCGTGTCGCTTTGTAATTACCTACCACTGCTTTGTAACCGAGACCAGCAGGCTTCTTCTAGCGAAATTAGTTCTTTGTTGACCGATAGAGGGCAAAATATTTTAGCACATACCCCCGGATAACCGCAGATATGAACTGATTGCCCCTCAGATCCCTGTTGCTTCCTAACACATGACACTAATCTGGTTTTGGGTGCGGATTCAGATACCAATGTTCACCAGTTAGCAGGGGAGAGAGCAGTACAACTCCATTCGCTATAGAGCACTGATTAGAAAAAGGAGGAAGGAGGAAGGAGGACAGGAGGAATTATCTGCTCCGCAATCCTGCACAAACACTCTTAATGGTCTTTACGTGGTCAAGACTAAGTACATAGCTTCCAGATATAAGATACGGTAACTACTATAGGCTAGTGAGATCTCATATATCCGACTAGTAGGCACCATTAATTTTAAGTGGGAGTTATGGTCATTGGGTTATTTTCGACTGATCAAAGTGCTATCGGAATTCTGTTAGCACCCCAGTACAGAGGCCATTATGTCTGAGGTCCAAGGAAATTACTTCACATAAAATGAAGGTTTAGGGGGCAGACAGGCTACGCTAGCTAGTTGGTTAATTAGGTAAAGATGATACAATCTATGAATCTTATGTGCTACCATTATAACTGTTTTTCTACGGAGTAGATAAGCACATATTATCTCTCGTGTACAATGATAGCGCCTGGGGCGAGAACTGTGGGAAGTCGCCTTAGCATCGCGCGACCCAGGGCGAGATAGGTGAGCAATTAACAAGGTAACCCTTGTGAACATCATCCACCTTAGCAATACCACCGCACTGACCCTTTGGGCTGAACTAGAGTAGAACATAATTGGGCCGCAAACCTCCACCTCATTTGGAGAATCTACACACAGCCCCCTTTGTCGCTTTCTACTGGGATTCTTCATTTTTATTAGCCAGTCAGAGCCCAGAGCGCACGTTGGTTGTTGGGAATAACCTTGGAAGGATTGGTGGGGACTAATCCATATCAGATCTAGCCCTACCCTCCAAAATCTTCAAGCATCGCACGTACAACTTGTTGCGACGAAGCATATATTCAAATAAGAATCTGTTTTCAAACTCTTTTCAGTGTTATAGCTCTCTTTGTTTCTTCAATCTACAGTGCTACCTTTGTACCAATTCCTGACTATTCTCTGTATGGGTATTGCTCATAAACCCGGGTGTTAGGGCATCAATACCCAACTAGTTTGGTGTATAAGGGCGGGCGAGTCTTCTCATTACCGAGACGGGAGGTTATGGAATGGACAAGCCAATCTAGAGGTGGCTTTGCAGGGAGCGCGAGAAGATGTGGCTATTCACCCTGTGACAATGCTGCATGAGTTTAAAGGATTATTCTCCGGTCAGGTGTATGGCGAATGAATACCGCACTACTCCGTATTAGATAGGAGGAACATTCTGTAACTATATATCACTGTTTTCTCACTTGAGATTCATCCTGAGAGACCAACTAATTAATATAATCTTTCCAGTCAAAACACAACTGAATAACCCTTATCTCAACCAACCTCGGCCCCTCACCCTCTCTCGATGATCATGGTCAAAACTTTAGGCTACCTACACAGATTTATTACATGTATAGGCAGGTTAGACGACAAAAGGACATCCAAAAAATGGGGCGAGCCGGGATTGAACCGGCGACCTTGCGAACTTCAATCGCACGCTACTCCCAACTGAGCTATCGCCCCATTTGATGCTGATTGGCCGCTTATTGAGAGCTAGGTTTTTATCGTTTATATACTGTTTGTGGTTGGTAGGCTTATACGGAGTAGGCTCGGTTGGTAACTTTGTTAGATTGGGAGTGGAACGGAATTTAATGTTGATATTAGAGTTGGGAATGCTAGCAGCAAACTAAGGGAGCAAAAAACTTGGCTTCCTAGCCACCCACTTTATTTATACACGGATAATAAATAAAATCCTCCGTACTGTCCTGTCCATTAATTAATTGAATTGATAATAAAATAAAAATAAGACTCCAATAATGTAAGTAAGTCAAAACAACAAAAACAATGGGGCGAGCCGGGATTGAACCGGCGACCTTGCGAACTTCAATCGCACGCTACTCCCAACTGAGCTATCGCCCCATGTTATTACTTAAAATTCTGGTAAATGGTCTTTATATACCAAAAACAAAGCAAGAATTCAGAACAGCGTCCATTCATGCGTCTATGTAGGTAATTGAAGTTACAGAATCAATAAATTATTAGGGTATATACATTGTAAAATATCTAGCAAGCAGAAAATGGCTCGACTACATGCGACCGTAGAACTTCGAAACCTCGCCAATCTCGATACGTACTGATTCCTTTTGTACTATTCGTGGTACTCTCACTTTGTTGTCGCTGCATGTAACATAAAATTAGACACTAGTGCTTATTTTGTATGAATTGTGTGGGAATTGGGGGTGGCAATCGATGTATACATACATGGTTAGGACGGTGCGGAGTACTATGGAGAAGTATATATCTCCACTATGCATGCACACTTAGCATCTTTGATTAGCAACACTGAAACAGAACCTTAAACATTGATTAAACCATGCATTCAAATACCCATTAGGTTGTCTAATCCACAGGCAGGGCAGTTTAATGCGATAAATACAATAGGATGGAGTACTGAGTCCACCTTTGCCTGGGATCAACTGCCGGTATAGTATTTGGCCACCGGGACTAGCTCTAGTATTGTTTATACCCTCTGACCAACTCCCTTGCACATACGTAAAAAGCTCGGTGCTCTCTCTACTTAGTAGATAGGGATAGGAACAATGGATATGCCCACTATACGAATCGCAATATAAGACGCCGAGGGGCTTTCAAGGAGTTTTAAGTGCGACATAGCTAACCCTAATTCCGTAGAGATACTAGTATGACAGGGGTTCTGATACTCAAGGGTTATGGAGAACCTGGCAACAGATTCATACCTCCCTTTTATTTAGTTTTCTCCAATATCTACTTCGCATTTCACCTAGCAATTCTAAACCTCCGACCTGCGCTACCGCACCGCAAACAGCAATTGTTGCCTAGAATCGTGTTTTCATATAAGCGACCGATCAACATCAAATGGGGCGATAGCTCAGTTGGGAGTAGCGTGCGATTGAAGTTCGCAAGGTCGCCGGTTCAATCCCGGCTCGCCCCATTTTTTGGATGTGTTTTTGTCTAACCGACTAAGACTCGACCGGAATTGATGCAGAAGGCGACTTTGCAACCCATATGTCGATGAATCAGGGATGAAGAATCAATCTTGCATGCAAACAAGAAGGTATAACGTGGAGTTCTAATTTTTGTTAGATAAGTGCTGTGTGACGACCTTGGAAAACTCATATATCATCTCATTTCCTTCAATCTAAGCTATTTACCCCATCGAGAGGCTATTGGGAACTTCAGTAGAATTGGAATCCCGGGATCACGCCGGAGAGCCCCTGAAAAAAAAAAAAAAAAAAAAAAAAAAATAAAGCAGATAGCCTGCCAACAAAGAACATATATGAATGAACCAGGCCAGAGACGAGGTGCATATGTAAAAGACTAGAGCAATTCCTTACTCATTGGAATTAGGGTATCGATATTCCGGGAAATGTGGACTGAACAGTATCAGATAACTGGGGTATCTCGCATTATCCCATGTCCGCTATAAATAGGCACCCGGAAAGGGACTAATGGGAATTAAAGCATATTCATATAGGGAGTCGTCAGAGTTGGAACTTAACGCCGAGTTGTCTTTAGCCTATAGAATTTTGTATTTGTTATGGCCAGACATGCCAGCAAAATACGTCGTACCCAGTCTTAACTAACGAGCCGGCTGGTATGAAAAGAAATCTCAAAGTAGTAAGTAGGAACACCAAAATTGGTGGAACTTCAATCCACCAAGATAAATGTAGAAAGTAAAAGTAGACTCAAACTGAAAGCAAAAAGTAAATAACAAGCAAAGCAGTAAAATTGACTACATAAACGTGACCGAACAAAAAACCACAGCGGGTATAGAAAGCACTTTCATTGATCTCATTGCCTCACAAGACAGGGGATCTTACGACCACCCCTCCATAGGCAGCGGCACACCCTCCCATTCACTGCCTTGTTGCATCATAGGGGCGCTGACCTCCTCCTCGCAAGTCCCACTGAGTATGTCATCAGCGGTACCCCAGCCCATAGACTCGAGTTCTCGAACGAAGAAATCACGCTCTTCCTCCATCATAGACGTACCCTCATCACCGCCCATGACATCCTTGTACTGACGCAGATGCCACCAGTGTGTAAGACCACGAAGGGCCTGTTCCAATGGCAAAGCCTCTTCAACCTCAGCATCGACGTCAGAGCCAGCGAGCCAGTCGTCGCGCAGCTCGGGGCGGCAGTACAAGTAAATAGCGGTGATGACGCGCATGTTGCTCTGGCGCCATTTGCGGCCGCAGTAGGGGACTTGGGATTTGAAGAGTTTGAGGGTGTAGAAGCGGAGGTGTGGGTCTGGGATCTTGAGGCCCTTGCGGAGGATGTTGCTTGATTTGTACTGCACTAGTAGGAGGCAGCGGTGGGCTTTGTTGCGCGTGATCTTTTGCATGACGTGTAGGTAGTTGATAGCGGAGAAGAAGTTGCGGAAGGAGAACACTTTGATTGGTTCTTTGGGGAGGGGCGCGGTTGGGTAGC